AGCACTGGTCTGCTTGTTTCTTTTGCTTATTCCAAGGTAGGTTTTTATATCTCCATTTTCTACCAGTACATTGAATGATGGATATAAAAGACAATTTGCTGTTTTTATTGATATTTTTCCTTTGGGGGTTATCCATTATGTGACATGAAATATTTTAAGGAAAAAAACAATGTAGTTATGGAATGGAATCATTCTGAGGTAAGAATTTCAACAAAAATTTATTTTATAATCTCTTAGAGAATATATGTCCACTTACCATACTGAAAAAATTTGTTGACAAGTCTTGTTGCTTATTAGACTTAAACCTTGAGAGCAGAAGCCATGTATTAATTATTTTGGTATCTCAGTTCTTGGCACTTATCAGGCACTTATCAAAAAGTATTTGTTGATTTCAATTGAACTAGAATACATAATGCTCAAGTTTTATTTCAGATAAGTGTATCTTTGAATTTCTGTCATGTGAAGATGTTGATTATAATTATACTTAGTTAAAACTCATATAATTATCCTAGGCTAAGGTCATATTATTCAGAAAAATACCAAAACAAAGAATAATATAAATAATACCTTGGATTTGTATAATCCATCACCTTTTAGAACGCTAAATATATTCAGTGCATATCCTTTGTGCTGAATAATAGCACCAGCAATTCTAAACTGGGTGTTAAGCTATTATGTAGATCATGGGTCACTAACCCTAAGGAATATTTTACTAGACTACGATAATGTCCCATTTCATTTAATATTTACTCTGTGACTGCAGTGTTAACTAGTATTTTATGAGAGAATGTATTTGCCGTCAACTCTGAAGCATGAAGGAAAATCCCCAATCTTAGTTTTCTTCTGTTCCTCTTCATAGATCTATCACAAGTGTATTTCCCTGCTCAAAACTGCCCATACTTTCAGTCTGGCTCCACTGTCATTGACAGGTGAACTTGGGTCAATCATTTATTTTGCTGGTACATTTTATGCTTACCCAGAAATTACAGAGCACTGGGATAGCTGATATGGAAGACCTTGAATGGGTTAAAACATCCTAGGATGATACAATTTAGATTTCTTAACAAACACTTTTATTTAAAAAAAGAAACTACCTATTTAAACCTTTCCCAGCAACTTCAGTTTTCCTGATAGAATCAAACAGTTTATTTTTATCCTCATCATATTCCTTCTAACCCACAGATCCGATTTTCATTTCTTATCAACTTGGCGAACGAGGTGGTGATGCTTTCTTAACCAAGAACATGTTATCTATAAGGACATGTTGCATCTTGATAAGATGCTTTCTAACTAAGGATGTGGTCCCTCCTAACCTGAGCTCAGCCAGCAGGCAGTACAGCATCATGCTTAGGAGTACTAACTCAGGAGTAAGATCCATGGGTAATTTGTTTGTTGGCTCATTCCCTAAGTGTTTATTAAGGCCTTAGCATGTGCAAATGCTGGAGTCTGTTCTGAATGTAGCAGATCTAGTCCCTGACCTAAGACTGTTTATCTTTAGTTAGGAAGATAGACAATAAAACAGATAATAATATTATGGAATGAAGATCACCATGATACAAGGAGTAAAGGGATCTAAGAATGTGTCTAAGAGAGACACAACCTAGAGAACACCTTCCTGTAGAAATGTTGCTTATTGGAGACCCAGTGGATGATTAGGAACACACCAGAGGGGGAGGAGCAGGGCTGAGTGTTTCAGGCAGAGGTCACATCATGTCAGATACTACTTCAGGGGCTTACTAGTAATGCATCAGCCAGCTTGTGACTGGGGGTGGGAGAATAAGGGAGATGGGGTGGGGAGATCAGGCATGCCAGAGTCGAGAGGGCTCTGCAAGCCCAGTGTCGTGTTGGACTATTATCTTAAGTAAAAACGTGGAAAGGTTTTAAATAAGATAGTAATATGATTGCCTTCCTGTATATGCAACCTCACTCTGGACGGGCTGTGATCAAAAGATTAAAGCAATACGCCAGGAGAGAAATGGTAATTACCTTAATCAGGGTGTTGGCAGGGGAAGGCAAAGATGTGGATGGTTCTGGGCGATATTTAGGTAAAGTCAGAAGAGCTTGGCAAATGATTGGATGTATAGGAAGAAATAGGAATTAAGGGTGATTTTCATGTATCTGGATTCCAAACTACAGATATCACTTGCTACCTCTCTGTGTCTTTATATAATGTGGTCATTATATATGTCCCCCATAAAGCTGCTGTGACTTATGATATATAAAGCCCTTATCCCAGGGCCTGGTGTACAACAAACCCCAGACATGGTAAATGTTAATTGCTCATATAAAATAGTGTTGATACTAACCCTACATGTAGGTTTTCAAGGATATTTGAAATTATCTTCTTTGAATTGTAAACTGTTATTTTAAAAATGTAGTTGTAGGTGAGAGGGGCATGCCTCCATGCCTGTATTGTCCTGTACATAACTGTATCTCAGCATGTCTCTTACTGGATTGTCAGAGCTGGTAGCCTTCTCTGCAACCCCACTGAAGAGGGAACTTCTTGAGGTCTTACTGCTCTTTTCACTCACAGAGCCCAAGAGGGCATACTTGAAAATGAGTGCATGATAGAATTTAATCAGAATTTTTCTCTGGGCAGATCAAGTAGCCGAGTACAGGGAGCCAGAGTTTTGACCCAAGATTGGAAGATGGGAAGGAGTAGGATGAAGTAGTCCCGGGAAGGATAGAGGGTCACGGACACTGAGAGAGGGCAGCCAGGGGAAAGTAGGGTTGAAGAGAAATGTCACTGAAATCTACTGTTTTGTGGGGATTGGCCTGTGCTTCATTAATGAACATGGAGAAGAGAGCAAGAAGAGGAAGGGTTCTCAGAACCAAGGAGTAGAATTAGAGACTGAAAAGTACCATTTGAGTTTGTATTTACAAGGTCATTAGAAGGAATGCTTTCTGTGGAGTGGTGGGAGGAAAAGCAAGATCCCAGCGGGCTGGGGAGAGACGAGGCGGAGGGGAGCAGAATCTGGGAGTGTGAACTGGACTGCCTAAACCCGTGGTCAGAATCACACTCAGCCTTTGAAGTGAGTGCTTCTAATAATTTTTGGGGGGATGCAACAGTCTTGTTTTGTAATCCAATTTGACATTTTAACATTTTTATTTGAAGGTGATAAAACCTGCTTAAAACCTCTGCCTTTATAGAAAGCTAAACTGCATATAAATAAATAAAATGAAGGTATTATAGCTGATTAAGGGGTGGTAGATTTATGCATAAAGACTAGCAATTAGCAATTTTCTACTGAATAAACCTTGCTGAGTTGAGGCCCGTAACAGATTACCCCAGCAGCATGAATATTAGGAGACATGAGTATCATTTATCTACCCAGTAGTGCCCCTAATTAAGAGCATCTTGTAGTATTTCTCCAGATTTGTGGTGTTCACTGGGCCTTGTAACTAAATGTACTTCACTTACTGCCTTGAGACACATGTTCCAGCTTGTTGGGAATCATTTAAGTGCTTGATGATTCTCCCCTTTCTCTGTTGACATCTGGATAAATCCATTCTCATTTTCAGGCACTTTGTCTCCAATTTTAATAATGAAAGAGGCTTTGTCAAGAGATTCTTAGTGTTTGTTTACTCAGAGGAATATTAATATTTCTTCTTATTACTTGCATCACGGTTTCCCAGCAGTGGAAGCCTTTGAAAGTAAACACACATAATAACCTAGCCTGATGAAGAACTCAAGTGAATCTAATCAATTATGAGGAAACCAAGTTGAAGAACTGTTGGGGTTGCTAAAAGGAAAATAATTTAACTCTTTTAACAATTTACTTACTAGGCATCGATTGATTTTCTGCTTCCAGGTAAAGTTCTAAAATGCTAATATGATATGGATTTCAAAGAAGAGAGACTGTGTTCCCTCCCTTCAGAAATGTATTGTCAGCTCTGATTGAAGGAGATAAGATAGCCTAGTGATGGATTCACTGTGGCCAGCAAGTGAGAGGATGAGAGGCAGTGTGACCTCCCAGAACAGAGCACCTCCTACATAAACAACACGGCTGTCTCCCTTCCATCTCCCTGGACACAGCTGCCCCCGAGTGAATTTCCCTCTCTTCTTCTCCATGGCACTGTTCTCTATTGTGGTTTTGCCCATTTCAGATACACTAAGCAATTTAGAAAGCAAAGCTACCCTCTTGCATATTTAGCACAGTGCTCCAAGACTGAACAACTGCTTGTTGAATGGTGATAGGAGTAGCTAAGATGGATTGAGATTTTACTATGTGCCACACTGTGCTGACATTTATTTATATTCAATATTCAGGTCAGTTTAGGAGAAAAAGTAAGAACCTATATTAGGACAAAGACTGGGATATATCTTAGGGATATTTTGATGGCAATAACAGAAATTCAAGATAATTAAAGTTGGGGGTAAGAGGAAAACAGAAATTTTTTGAAAGTTATTAAAAGATCTTATGGAAACCAAAGACAGGAATTGAATTTAGTTCTCAAGAGGTCCTATAACCAGGAAAGCTATTTGGAACATAAGCAATCTCTGTGTCTCTCTTTTCTCAGTCCTTAATGCTACTTCTCATTCTTGTGATTCCCTTTCTGTTGATATTTCTGCTGATTAGTATCCATGTGGCACCATGTGACCACACCATAATGCCAGCCTCAACCCCCAAGTCTGCATAACTCCATTCAAACAAAAAGCCCAGACTGAGAGTGTCAAGTAAATTCCAAATCGGTATTCCAGGGAAACACACCTGATTGTCCCTGATTGGATCAGCTACTCACACTTGGTCTTATCAGCTGGGCCAGGACCCCAGTGTCACAGGGAAGGATGTGGTTCATGTCTGTGGGTGAGGGTGTGCCCTTTTCAGAGAGGTGTGTGGGCTCAGCCAGCATTCCAGACTATGTCTGCTGAAAGTGGATAAGAAGCCAATAAATATAAATCAGTAGAGCTTGGTGATTAGTTGAATGTGAGCATGAGAAAGAAGGAGAAACTGGAGATGACTCCCAAGATTCTACGTTGGGGATGACCAGGGTCAAAGATGGGAATCTTTCTATTGAAGTGGCCAGAAGAGGATGATGGGGATGCCAAGGAGCCTACGGAAGAACAGTGTGAGGAAACAACCTCGTAAGAAAAACATAACCCACTGTGAAGCTTTAGCTGCAGGCGAGCTGGGGGTCACACAAGCTCACCTCTTCCCTTGGTTTCCACAGCTCCCCTGGCTCTCTCATTGTGACCTCTCTGCATGACCAGCACCATCCCTTCCTAGGGTGTGGCGATTTTTCTCTACAAATTTGTCTGAACTGTAGCCATAATTCAGTACAGAAAGAACCTCCGCCAACCTAACTGGGTCACAGTCTGTGGATCTAAGAGGGCAAAGAGTGTGCTTATCCTGACCACCATTCTACCCCTGAGCCTAGCATGGGCAATTATAGATGGACAATAAATGTATATTGAATGAGAAAATAAATGGACATTTCAGAAAGCCATTTATGAAATACCTAGGGAGATAGAGAACCACAGAAAATACAACCAGCTAATTTCCAGACTAGGGATTTTATTCTTAAAATAACTAAATGATCTAGACTTCAAAGTAGGGTGACTAGCTTGTCCCAGCTTGCCTGATGTGAGCACTGAACGTTCCAACTCCTGGGAAATGCTTTGGTCCTCAGCCAACTAGGATGGTTTGTCCCCCTGGCCGTGTCACTTCTTGAATGGCAGGCATTCACTTATTTCCTATCAAAGGCAACTAAGTTTTGACCAATATGGTCCTTTCCAAAGTGAAAAGCTCATATTTCAATTCTCCTTTCCACATAAGACCTTCCCACTCCTTGTCTTTACCTTGTTAACTAAGTAACTGAGATATAGTTAGTTCTGGAAATTATGCCTACCATTTTAAATCAAAGAGTGGTGGTTTATCTAGCACACAGTCCCTCGAAGAGCGCATGCTAGGACAGAACTGGAGCAATTACTTGGTTGGACAGCCAACTGAATGACAAGACATCCGAGTATTGAAGACCTCTCTCAGAGTCCAACTTTCTGATGGCAGTCTTCTCTAAGTACCCTGCGAATAATGGTAAGTAATCTAGAGACTCTGCAGTTATTGAAAAAGCATTCCCTTATTGTCAACTTATAAATTGTTGCTCCAGTCATAGATTCTCTTAAGTGGGGTGTCTGTGTGTCCTTATTTGCCTGGGGCAGCCTCAGATTGTTTTTTTATTGTTGCCCAGGTTTAATTACCAATGTCACTGCCTTTCACTCTCAAAACTGTCCTTTTGAAAAAAAAATGTCTGTCCAGGTTTCAATGATAAGTAGTATGGTCACCACACTTTTGAGCATAGCTATGTGACTTGGCAGAGTCCCGTCATTCCAGTGTGAAGTGACAAAGAGAGCCTGAGCGCTCAAAGGGATGTGAGGTATCCCAGGTACCATGCAGACGACCCTGGTGCCTGATGGCTTCCTCTCCTCCCCTGCATTCCTGCCCTGCTCCCTTTTCTCTTCTGTCTCTTAAACATATTTACTAGCAGATATGTTTACAACAGATCCCAGTATCTTTTGACAAAAATGCACTGAAACAGACAAGTTGCAAGTCTGTATTTCCTCTGGATATAGAGGTAAACTTTTCCTTTTGAAAAAGGTGACTTTAGTTCTGTATTCTGTGTTCATTTACATTTCTCTATCATGAATAAAATACAGGTTCTGTTTATTTTACAGGTAAGGTTAATTTGTTTACTTCCTTTGGGAGTTGGGGCTCTATTTTAAGGTGCTGATCTGAGCAGACTGTGGCAAGGTAGTATTCTGTAAACTTCTAAAGCCATGTGTGCAACTTGAAACTAAAGGGACCTGGAGGATACCAGGGACATTGGGTGAAGGAGGCGGAAGGCCCAGGAGGAAGGCAGATTCTGATGCTGCCTTTGCTCAGTTGGGTCCCCTTGTTGGCCTCAGCTCCTTTCCTCCATAGAGCTGCCCCATCCCCTGCACTCCAGGCACTTGCAGCAGCCTCCTATCTAGTGCCTCTTTCTACGCACACTGCCCCTCGTATACCTTTAAATACGCTAAGTGGTCCAGACTAGGAAAGAGATTTACATAGCTGTGTAAATTTTGCTGTGTCTTGATGTGATCTTTCTATCCTTGAACATTATAATGAGAACTAATTTAAAAAATCTGTTAATTATGAAAATATGTGCATATGCCATAAATTGAAACAGACCAGAATGGTAAGAAATGAAAGGTGACTGTGTCCTTCCCCCACCTATATCCCTAGACAGATACCTGCTTCTGAGTGCCTTTCCAGGAAATGTATACACACACACACACACACACACACACACACACACACACACACACACATACACACACATATTTATGGATATCTTCTATATTCAAAATATCCTTCCTGAGCTCTTCTGTCTACTAAGTACAAGCCACCAGGAAGTCACACATAGCGAGAGGAGGAGGATTCAGTTAAATCTCTCACAAACACAGACTTGCAGCTTGTCTCCCTGACTACAGGTTCTCCCTGTGCCAGCGCAACCTGAAGATGCTGCCAGAGCCATTTTCCTAAAATATTGCTTCCCTCATGTCCTTCCCAGAGACTTCAGTTTTCTATAGTCTATTCCTGAATTTTTCTGCTACACTTTCAGAGCTTTCCTTTCTCCTACCCCGTTCAATTTATTTAAATGTTAACTAATGTTCTGTTGTTATTATTATTGTTATTATTACAAATCCTGAATCTCTGTGCTCACCTGCACAAAGGTCAGTTTTGTCTTCTCCTAGGAAAGGTCACCCTCAGTTGCGTCTCTAGGCTTTTTTTGCTCATGTGCTTCTCTTGAGTAGTGTTTTTCTCTCCTCTACCTTGGGAAATGTCCCTATGGATAGTTCTTGCATTGTGTTAGGGAGGAAGCTGAACCTAGAGAACTTCTATGATTTCCCACAAGTGACATGCCTATTTTCTGACGGAGATAAAACTTTAGCCTTTGCTTTCAGCCACACTCCTGAGATCCCAGAGGTGGTATCACTGGTCACACCCAACTCCCCACAAAGGAAAGAATAGAGTAAGTATGGTGAAATACTTTAGTTTATTAGTTTTGCTAATTGTCACGTGTGTGACATAGTAAGTGATGGCCGTTCATTCTGGAGGGGATAGAGCACGGTGCTGGCCAGTGCTCAAGCGCAGCACCGGAGCTAAGCAGTCTTGGCAAGTCCTCTACCCTCCCTTCTCATCTATAAAACAGGGCTCTTGACACGTCCTGTGCAAACAAGTGGAGAAGGAGAAACCCAAGACTTTCTTTTGTCTAATTAAAAAGAATGACCTCTCATTTTGGATCATGATAGCCCAGATTCCATTTCTTCTCCTTGTTTTCAAAAGTAAAGTGAGAAGATTAAAAATAAAATAAGGAGTATAGAATGAACACTCCATGCATTTAGCCCTGATAGTTTCCTCAGCAATCAGTCCCTCCAAGACTGGAACTTGCCTTGCTTAAGCCAATCAACTAACTCCTTTACTCACACAAGCTCACTGCCTCCCACCTCCAGCCTGTGCCTACTGCTGCCTGAGGCCAGCTTTCTAAATGCCTCCCCACCAGGAGTTGTGCATGCCACCTGCTCCCAGACACTCATCTCTGCTGGGGTATTCACCTTTTTATTCCATTACACTCTACTGCTGAACATTTGTCTGAATAACTCCCCCCGCTTTGTCACCATAATCTGGTAATAATGCTCCATCTGCCTGGTATGCACCTAGATACCTAAAGGCCCGTCTTCCACTCCTGCAAGGGATCTAATGTCCACAAGTTGATGTTTCTCTGTCTGGCCCATTCTACTACCTGCGATTCAGGGTTGTGTATGAATTTCATGAGCCCTAGGCACTTCTCTGGGGGCCCCTTCCTTCACAAGGAAATATTAAAAATCAGATTTTACAACTGCATTGATATAAAGACTAATTATATAACCCAGGCTGGATTCATTATTACATTTAACAGATATTATATTCACATATTCTTCTTATTTTTAAAAGAAATTAAAATATTTCTTTGGGCCCTTAAAAGTGTCATGGACTCTAGGCACTGTGCCTCCCTGTCGTGTGGATAAGCGGGCTCTGCTACAGTCAGATGTTCTTTAGTCCAGTTTTGTCACAATCTTGGGACAAGGCAAGGAAGAGGAGGGGTAGAGATAGTTGGAAAGGAGACTTAACCCTTCTGGTCTACCTATGATGAGTGGTTTCTTGTTTTGGTGCCTGATGCCTCATCCTCACTGGTTGCTTCCTACACTTATCTTCTGCATAGTGAATCTTTTCAGCTTGCTTTTAGGCCCAAGTCTGTTTTGGTGGGTCACTTTAAGAAGGATGTCAGAGCTTGGAGAGGCTATAGCCTTCCTCAGAAGAAGCTAGGCTGAGCTACTTCTGCTCTAGACCACAGCCTTTGATGGTCAGACTTGCGGTGGCTGCTGGCTTCACTTTATTTTACTGCCACCAGGTGGTAGCTGAGGTATTTGGTGGCTTGTGAGGAACCATCAGTTCTGATGGTGCCTCATTTATTTGCTTAGGGTGCCATCTGCCTCTATGAACCTCAGATGGAGCAATTAAGGAGCTCAGAGGGTCCAGGACTGGGATGAAGTTGCAAGAAAGAGGAGGGGGAGTTGGGAAGCAGCCCAGACACAGGTCCTGTTTGCTTGGCCCTAAGAAGGATTTTCTCTTCCAGGAAGCACTGTTATAATGCAGACAGCCACAGGGAAGGCCCCAAATAACATCTTTTCCAGAAAGCTCTTACTGTCAGTGAATATCTTAGTAGAGAGACAGGACTGAGACTTGGACCGTAGGTGGGTCGGTACACTGTAAAAAATAAAGGAAAAGACTCTGGGAAAGCAGTAGAAATAGAAATTGTTTCCTGGCGTCTTCAGGATTTCTCATGTTGGAACCTTGCTCTCTGGCTCTCTTCTAGGTCAGCAGGATCACTCTGCCAACACTAAACAAAGATAATTGGGAGCCTTGCTCACCCTGATTATTAATTTCATGGTAGTTACAGGCTACAAAGGTTAATGAGGATTTACCCTCAATATAAAGGTTGAGTTCTATATTAAAATCTCTAAATAAATGTTTTATTTTTCTATCTTCCTTTATGTGTCTGAGCTGCATGGCCATCTTCTGAATTTCACTTAATTGGAGATTTAGAATCAGATTCACAGTGTCATCTAGTATCAAGCCACCTACATCTTAATTCCAGATTTATTCAATAGTGCAACATAAATACTGAGTATTGTTCCAGTACTCAGAATTAGTCAACATTAGACTTTAATATGACCAATTACAATTCAAGCCAGTTATGTGGGACATTATATTTCCATCTTGGACCAGTCCTGGATCAGTTCCCAGTTTCCAGTCACTGGATTTCATTACTATGATTGGATTTTAGAGTAGCTAATTATAATCCATCAAATCAAATACAAAAACAGAACTATCCCTGAGGAGGTCAACTGATCATGCACAAGCTTATCGAAGGTAGTTAGATAATGAAGGACATGATCAGAGCGGTGCCAGGGAGAAAATAAAAATTGAGCCAAAGTATTAGAGATAATTGGATGATACATTTAGTAGAGTCAGCACTGTAAATAATTACTTAAAATATAACAATCTAAACAATTTTTAATTATTTTTTTTTGGCCAAATAATCCTTCCTCATAGAAATGCACTGGCAGCCAAAAGATGAGAATCAGCAAAAGGTTTTCATTCTTCTGGGCTAGTAGGTAGTGCAGTTGGCTTTTGTGAAGTCAGGCTAATTAGAAGCATTATTATAAGAGTTTTGGCAAGTAGTTTCAGGTTTAGACTTCCTGTCCTTGACCCTCTGTAGCTGTGTAATTAGAGCAAATCACTTCATTTTACTGAGCCTCAGTTTTCTCATCTGTCCAATGGGTAATAATACTTTGTCTGCCTACCTTCCTCCATGAGGACCAAATGAGACAATAGATGTGAAAACAAAGACATTGAAAACAAACAAGCATTATTATGATTCCTGGGAAAGAAAACTAGAATTGTTGGGTGTCAGGGAGAAAGTGTGCTTTTAGAGACAAAGATAAAACACCATACTGGCACAAGAACAGACCCATAGATCAATGGAATAGAATAGATAACCCAGATACAAACCCACACATACATGGCCAATTAATATATGATAGAGGAACCATGGACATACAATAGGAAAATGACAGTGTTGCCAACTGGAGTAAGAGAATGAAACTGGATTATTGTCTAGCTCCATACACAAAAGTAAACTCAAAGTAGATCAAAGACCTGAATGTAAGTCAAGAAATCATAAAACTCTTAGAAGAAAACATAGGCAAAAATCTCTTGAATATAAACATGAGCAACTTTTTCCTGAACACATCTCCTCAAGAAAGGGAAACAAAAGCAAAACTGAACAAATGGGACTACATCAAACTAAAAACTTTTGTACAGAAAAGGACACCATCAGTAGAACAACAAGGCGTCCTACAGTATGGGAGAATATATTCGTAAATGACATATCTGACAAGGGGTTAACACCCAAAACATATAAAGAACTCATATGCCTCAACACCCAAAAAGCAAATAACCTAAATAAAAAATAGGTGGTGGATTTGAACAGACACTTCTCCAAAGAAGAAATTCAGATGGCCAACAGGCACATGAAAAGATGCTCCACATCACTAATTATCAGGGAAATACAAATTAAAACCCCAGTGAGGTATCACCTCACACCAGTTAGGATGGCCAACATCTAAAAGACAAGGAACAACAAATGCTGGTGAGGATGCAGAGAAAAGAGAAACCTCCTACACTGTTGGTAGGAAGGTAAATTAGTTCAACTATTATGGACAGCAATATGGAGGTTCCTCAAAAAACTAAAAATAGAAATACCATTTGATCCAGGAGTTCCACTCCTAGGAATTTACCCAAAGAAAACAAGAGACCTGATTCAAAAAGGCATATGCACCCCTATGTTTATCACAACACTATTTATAATAGCCAAGATATGGAAGAAACCTAAATGTCCATCAAAAGATGAATGAGTGAATAAAGAAGATGTGGTATGTATACACAATAGAATACTATTCAGACATAAAAATAAAATAAATCCTACCATTTGCAACAGGATGGATGGAGCTAGAGGGTATCATGCTCAGTGAAATAAGCCAGGTAGAGAAAGACAAATACCAAATGATTTCACTCATGTATGGAGTATAACAACAAAGCGAAACTGAAGGAACAAAATGGCAGCAGACTCACAGACTCCAAGAAGGGACTAGCAATTAGCAAAGGGAAGGGGTTGGGGAGGGTGGTTAGGTGGGAAGGGAGAGAGGGGCATTATATTTAGCACACATAGTATAGGTAGGTCACAGGAAAGACAGTATAGCACAGAGAAGACAACTAATGACTTTATAGTATTTTACTATGCTTAGTGTTCCTTTACAATTAAAAAAAAAAAGCTGTTTTCTTTATGGGCAGTGACTGCAATGGGGTATGTGCCAGGGACTTGATAATATGGGTGAATGTAGTAACCATATGTTGCTCATGTGAAAAAAAAAGGTAAAACACCATTTCAAAGCCAAATGTATATGTTTTTTTTATAACAATCTATTTAAAATAACTAAATAATTGAATATAGAATTCCTCTAAATTTCATCAATATCATAGAAAAAAGACTTAAAAAAATGGTTCAGATAGATAATGGTGGTTTTTTCTTAGTGTTCCTTTATAGACAATTTAAAAAAAGCTGTTTTCTTTATACATTTACTTTTTGATTTTTCTCCGATAAGCATGTTACGGTTGCATTGGAAAAGATATTTAGTCATCTAAAATATGAAATTATATAGACAAACTTCCAGAGTTTACAGATGAGAAAACTTAGGCCAAAAGAGATGAGGCCATCGTTCTGCATCTTGTGCGCAAAGCAGGACTAACATCCAGGCGGCCTGACTCAAATCCATTGTTATCTACATTCCCATCTCTGCAATTATCTATGAATGGAAAAAATGAAAAGTTGGCTGAATTCTTCAAGAACATCCCTGTCAGGGACAGGCCTCAAGTAGGTAAGGATTTTTGAAAATTCTTTTTTCTTACTGTTTCCAGCAGTGATAATAGAAAGAACTAATAATGAGGCAGGCAGGTGCTGAACACAATCCTTGAGAGAAAATTAAGAGGAAAAGAAGTTAAGCATATAAGATAGAGAAAGCACACTGTAATGAAGAGCTCTGATTTAGGAGATAGTAATCTATTTTCTAGAGTTATTATTCTAATGACTGCCATTAATTAACTATGTGACTATGGACAACTCTCAATCTCTGCTCAGGTTCTTTGTAAAAAATAATAAATAAAAATAAAAAAAGGAAATCTGTGCCAAGTGATAGCCATGTTTCTTTCAAGTGATAACATTTGGTTTAAAATGCAGCACATTTTCCTTAAACATACAAAATGTATGCAGAATGGTGCTTTTCAAATACGTCTATTTTTATAGATGCAATACAAAGCAAAATCGGTTTTTGCAAAAAGAAACCAAAATAACAAATACAATGCAAAACCAGTATTTAAAATGCAAATGACAAGTAGAAGCAAATGTAAAATCAGATAGGAAAACAAAAATCCTCTTGCTCAGCAGTTTTAGTGGTGAATTGGTTGTAATTAGGGATACAGGGAAGGGAGCAAAGTGTAGATTTAATAGCAAAAACGTAGTGAGCAGCAAAATTCTTTGAAGAGACAGACTTGGTGGAAGAAGAAGCAAATGCTCCCCAATTCACCTCCTTACACACCGTTTCCAAATCCTATTGTCTGCCTCCTGGGAGAGCATCTGCCGAGGGCTGCCTGTCCTGCTCCTGCAGCAATGAGGCCTCCACAGCTTTTGTGATTCCTGTGTCAAGGTGGTGCTAACAGAGCTGGCATTACCCTGCTATGGCTGCAGTGGGGTTTCACCTGTGCATCCCTAGCCATGGGTTCAGATTTTCTCTCTTCCAGCCAGAAGCCCTCCTGTACCCCTTCCCCATCTCCCTGAGGTGCTCTGACTGGAGACTTCTGTGAGCTTCTGGTCAGGCTCACTTGTCCTTAAATATATGTTTCTTACTCATCTTCCTTGGCTATCTGCCTTAGGTGTGCGAGAACTTGAGTGCTTCTAAGAGAGGCCGAAAGAAGCTGTCTCAGATGTTCCTAGAATTCATAAGAGTTCCGGCTCATTTCACTTGAAATCCCTTAAAGATTAACACTCTGTGGAGAGTTGCTTTGCTTAAGGATGGGCATGGGGAGAGAAGTCAGTGGAGAGAAAAATAATATATTAGGGAAAATAATATGAATTAGTTATGCCGTATGACAAAAACAACCCATATTCTCTCTCTTTAATCCTCTTGACTCCATTCTACCATGTAATTCTCTTAAAAATAAGGTCCAAAGAAACCCTGAAGGACAGGCATGAACACTAGAGAAAATGAAAGTTCTTATGTTCAGGATTCTCACCTGACCCAGGGTGGCTTGCCCACTGCACACATGTGGGCAATATATTGTTATTGACTCTATATAAAGAGCTCCACCCAGTGCTCTGGGCTGACAGCTGCAGGAGAGCATAGGCTGGAGTGGTGGCAGTGCCAAGGAAGGAGACTAAGACAGCTGTGTGGGCTGAGAGGCCCAGAGGCAGAGACCAGCTTGCTACATGCAGACTCGCTCTGAGGTGGACGAGGCTCTAGTGCTTGACCTGCCACTGTGGGAATAAAATTGGGTATAAACCCTTTCACCCCAAGAACATTCCATTGTCATTTTTCGGTCTCACTGAATCAAGAGTGAACTTGCCTGGGCTGAAACTCACTGGTAAGACAACCACTAACCTAAATTTCACTTAGTTGAAACCAGACCTTTCTGAGTGAAGTTTTTGGAGGAGAGCTGGGAAGGGTAAGAGCCCTGGGACAACCCCACAGACCCTGGGATTGTGAACAGGAACTAAATGCTGGTGTTGGGAGGGGTAGGTAAGGTGTTGGCAGGCACCTTTCTTATAGCAAAATGATCTGCATGTTCCCAGCCTCAGCCTGCTGAAAGATTTCTTGTTCCTACAGAGCCCATTGTGTGGGTGTATCTTCACGATGAGCTTTTGTGATTCTTATCTAACTTTGCAATTTCCTATATTGGTGACTACAAGTCGACCAGCAGAATTGGCAGGAATGAGATCATATCTATCAGTATGAGAGTGTCTAGCATACATTTTGTACAACAATGGTTACAATCCATTTCTTTTTCTCTATGGGGAAGAAGAAATGCTGGATTCATGATGGCAAGAATGCTTAGACTGAGGCCAAAGTGAAAGGGAGTGGAGATGATGGCAAAATAATGTTGAGACAACAGATGGAAAAGTAAAGGAATATATTTCCTCTCAGGGAAAGCTAAGCTCTGTATTTAATCAAATCATTAAGTTTGTCCTTTTTCTAATTATTTAATTAAAAACCTGGAGTAAGAGATGCCACTGGTACACTTCAGGAGCTTCATACTTAATTCCAGATTTATTCAATAGTGCAACATAAATACTGAGTATTGTTCCAGTACTCAGAATTAGTCAACATTAGACTTTAATATGACCAATTACAATTCAAGCCAGTTATGTGGGACATTATATTTCCATCTTGGACCAGTCCTGGATCAGTTCCCAGTTTCCAGTCACTGGATTTCATTACTATGATTGGATTTTAGAGTAGCTAATTATAATCCATCAAATCAAATACAAAAACAGAACTATCCCTGAGGAGGTCAACTGATCATGCACAAGCTTATCGAAGGTAGTTAGATAATGAAGGACATGATCAGAGCGGTGCCAGGGAGAAAATAAAAATTGAGCCAAAGTATTAGAGATAATTGGATGATACATTTAGTAGAGTCAGCACTGTAAATAATTACTTAAAATATAACAATCTAAACAATTTTTAATTATTTTTTTTTGGCCAAATAATCCTTCCTCATAGAAATGCACTGGCAGCCAAAAGATGAGAATCAGCAAAAGGTTTTCATTCTTCTGGGCTAGTAGGTAGTGCAGTTGGCTTTTGTGAAGTCAGGCTAATTAGAAGCATTATTATAAGAGTTTTGGCAAGTAGTTTCAGGTTTAGACTTCCTGTCCTTGACCCTCTGTAGCTGTGTAATTAGAGCAAATCACTTCATTTTACTGAGCCTCAGTTTTCTCATCTGTCCAATGGGTAATAATACTTTGTCTGCCTACCTTCCTCCATGAGGACCAAATGAGACAATAGATGTGAAAACAAAGACATTGAAAACAAACAAGCATTATTATGATTCCTGGGAAAGAAAACTAGAATTGTTGGGTGTCAGGGAGAAAGTGTGCTTTTAGAGACAAAGATAAAACACCATACTGGCACAAGAACAGACCCATAGATCAATGGAATAGAATAGATAACCCAGATACAAACCCACACATACATGGCCAATTAATATATGATAGAGGAACCATGGACATACAATAGGAAAATGACAGTGTTGCCAACTGGAGTAAGAGAATGAAACTGGATTATTGTCTAGCTCCATACACAAAAGTAAACTCAAAGTAGATCAAAGACCTGAATGTAAGTCAAGAAATCATAAAACTCTTAGAAGAAAACATAGGCAAAAATCTCTTGAATATAAACATGAGCAACTTTTTCCTGAACACATCTCCTCAAGAAAGGGAAACAAAAGCAAAACTGAACAAATGGGACTACATCAAACTAAAAACTTTTGTACAGAAAAGGACACCATCAGTAGAACAACAAGGCGTCCTACAGTATGGGAGAATATATTCGTAAATGACATATCTGACAAGGGGTTAACACCCAAAACATATAAAGAACTCATATGCCTCAACACCCAAAAAGCAAATAACCTAAATAAAAAATAGGTGGTGGATTTGAACAGACACTTCTCCAAAGAAGAAATTCAGATGGCCAACAGGCACATGAAAAGATGCTCCACATCACTAATTATCAGGGAAATACAAATTAAAACCCCAGTGAGGTATCACCTCACACCAGTTAGGATGGCCAACATCTAAAAGACAAGGAACAACAAATGCTGGTGAGGATGCAGAGAAAAGAGAAACCTCCTACACTGTTGGTAGGAAGGTAAATTAGTTCAACTATTATGGACAGCAATATGGAGGTTCCTCAAAAAACTAAAAATAGAAATACCATTTGATCCAGGAGTTCCACTCCTAGGAATTTACCCAAAGAAAACAAGAGACCTGATTCAAAAAGGCATATGCACCCCTATGTTTATCACAACACTATTTATAATAGCCAAGATATGGAAGAAACCTAAATGTCCATCAAAAGATGAATGAGTGAATAAAGAAGATGTGGTATGTATACACAATAGAATACTATTCAGACATAAAAATAAAATAAATCCTACCATTTGCAACAGGATGGATGGAGCTAGAGGGTATCATGCTCAGTGAAATAAGCCAGGTAGAGAAAGACAAATACCAAATGATTTCACTCATGTATGGAGTATAACAACAAAGCGAAACTGAAGGAACAAAATGGCAGCAGACTCACAGACTCCAAGAAGGGACTAGCAATTAGCAAAGGGAAGGGGTTGGGGAGGGTGGTTAGGTGGGAAGGGAGAGAGGGGCATTATATTTAGCACACATAGTATAGGTAGGTCACAGGAAAGACAGTATAGCACAGAGAAGACAACTAATGACTTTATAGTATTTTACTATGCTTAGTGTTCCTTTACAATTAAAAAAAAAAAGCTGTTTTCTTTATGGGCAGTGACTGCAATGGGGTATGTGCCAGGGACTTGATAATATGGGTGAATGTAGTAACCATATGTTGCTCATGTGAAAAAAAAAGGTAAAACACCATTTCAAAGCCAAATGTATATGTTTTTTTTATAACAATCTATTTAAAATAACTAAATAATTGAATATAGAATTCCTCTAAATTTCATCAATATCATAGAAAAAAGACTTAAAAAAATGGTTCAGATAGATAATGGTGGTTTTTTTCTTAGTGTTCCTTTATAGACAATTTAAAAAAAGCTGTTTTCTTTATACATTTACTTTTTGATTTTTTTCCGATAAGCATGTTACGGTTGCATTGGAAAAGATATTTAGTCATCTAAAATATGAAATTATATAGACAAACTTCCAGAGTTTACAGATGAGAAAACTTAGGCCAAAAGAGATGAGGCCATCGTTCTGCATCTTGTGCGCAAAGCAGGACTAACATCCAGGCGGCCTGACTCAAATCCATTGTTATCTACATTCCCATCTCTGCAATTATCTATGAATGGAAAAAATGAAAAGTTGGCTGAATTCTTCAAGAACATCCCTGTCAGGGACAGGCCTCAAGTAGGTAAGGATTTTTGAAAATTCTTTTTTCTTACTGTTTCCAGCAGTGATAATAGAAAGAACTAATAATGAGGCAGGCAGGTGCTGAACACAATCCTTGAGAGAAAATTAAGAGGAAAAGAAGTTAAGCATATAAGATAGAGAAAGCACACTGTAATGAAGAGCTCTGATTTAGGAGATAGTAATCTATTTTCTAGAGTTATTATTCTAATGACTGCCATTAATTAACTATGTGACTATGGACAACTCTCAATCTCTGCTCAGGTTCTTTGTAAAAAATAATAAATAAAAATAAAAAAAGGAAATCTGTGCCAAGTGATAGCCATGTTTCTTTCAAGTGATAACATTTGGTTTAAAATGCAGCACATTTTCCTTAAACATACAAAATGTATGCAGAATGGTGCTTTTCAAATACGTCTATTTTTATAGATGCAATACAAAGCAAAATCGGTTTTTGCAAAAAGAAACCAAAATAACAAATACAATGCAAAACCAGTATTTAAAATGCAAATGACAAGTAGAAGCAAATGTAAAATCAGATAGGAAAACAAAAATCCTCTTGCTCAGCAGTTTTAGTGGTGAATTGGTTGTAATTAGGGATACAGGGAAGGGAGCAAAGTGTAGATTTAATAGCAAAAACGTAGTGAGCAGCAAAATTCTTTGAAGAGACAGACTTGGTGGAAGAAGAAGCAAATGCTCCCCAATTCACCTCCTTACACACCGTTTCCAAATCCTATTGTCTGCCTCCTGGGAGAGCATCTGCCGAGGGCTGCCTGTCCTGCTCCTGCAGCAATGAGGCCTCCACAGCTTTTGTGATTCCTGTGTCAAGGTGGTGCTAACAGAGCTGGCATTACCCTGCTATGGCTGCAGTGGGGTTTCACCTGTGCATCCCTAGCCATGGGTTCAGATTTTCTCTCTTCCAGCCAGAAGCCCTCCTGTACCCCTTCCCCATCTCCCTGAGGTGCTCTGACTGGAGACTTCTGTGAGCTTCTGGTCAGGCTCACTTGTCCTTAAATATATGTTTCTTACTCATCTTCCTTGGCTATCTGCCTTAGGTGTGCGAGAACTTGAGTGCTTCTAAGAGAGGCCGAAAGAAGCTGTCTCAGATGTTCCTAGAATTCATAAGAGTTCCGGCTCATTTCACTTGAAATCCCTTAAAGATTAACACTCTGTGGAGAGTTGCTTTGCTTAAGGATGGGCATGGGGAGAGAAGTCAGTGGAGAGAAAAATAATATATTAGGGAAAATAATATGAATTAGTTATGCCGTATGACAAAAACAACCCATATTCTCTCTCTTTAATCCTCTTGACTCCATTCTACCATGTAATTCTCTTAAAAATAAGGTCCAAAGAAACCCTGAAGGACAGGCATGAACACTAGAGAAAATGAAAGTTCTTATGTTCAGGATTCTCACCTGACCCAGGGTGGCTTGCCCACTGCACACATGTGGGCAATATATTGTTATTGACTCTATATAAAGAGCTCCACCCAGTGCTCTGGGCTGACAGCTGCAGGAGAGCATAGGCTGGAGTGGTGGCAGTGCCAAGGAAGGAGACTAAGACAGCTGTGTGGGCTGAGAGGCCCAGAGGCAGAGACCAGCTTGCTACATGCAGACTCGCTCTGAGGTGGACGAGGCTCTAGTGCTTGACCTGCCACTGTGGGAATAAAATTGGGTATAAACCCTTTCACCCCAAGAACATTCCATTGTCATTTTTCGGTCTCACTGAATCAAGAGTGAACTTGCCTGGGCTGAAACTCACTGGTAAGACAACCACTAACCTAAATTTCACTTAGTTGAAACCAGACCTTTCTGAGTGAAGTTTTTGGAGGAGAGCTGGGAAGGGTAAGAGCCCTGGGACAACCCCACAGACCCTGGGATTGTGAACAGGAACTAAATGCTGGTGTTGGGAGGGGTAGGTAAGGTGTTGGCAGGCACCTTTCTTATAGCAAAATGATCTGCATGTTCCCAGCCTCAGCCTGCTGAAAGATTTCTTGTTCCTACAGAGCCCATTGTGTGGGTGTATCTTCACGATGAGCTTTTGTGATTCTTATCTAACTTTGCAATTTCCTATATTGGTGACTACAAGTCGACCAGCAGAATTGGCAGGAATGAGATCATATCTATCAGTATGAGAGTGTCTAGCATACATTTTGTACAACAATGGTTACAATCCATTTCTTTTTCTCTATGGGGAAGAAGAAATGCTGGATTCATGATGGCAAGAATGCTTAGACTGAGGCCAAAGTGAAAGGGAGTGGAGATGATGGCAAAATAATGTTGAGACAACAGATGGAAAAGTAAAGGAATATATTTCCTCTCAGGGAAAGCTAAGCTCTGTATTTAATCAAATCATTAAGTTTGTCCTTTTTCTAATTATTTAATTAAAAACCTGGAGTAAGAGATGCCACTGGTACACTTCAGGAGCTTCATTCAATATAAGAAACTCCTCCACTTACTATCAAAAATTTAATGATAAATATTGAGTAAATCAGAATAAAACAATCACCAATGGTTAAGATTATTGATCCTAGAACTCACGTTTTCCACTTTTTTATCAATGCTTCAAGTTTTTTTTTTTTAAAGGTGCACCTTGGAGTGAAAAACCTAAGGGACCATGAAGCAAGCTGTGTTTGTAGGATCAAGAAAGAGGGGTAATTTGAATAGGAATAGCACAGGGTCAGAGAAGCCAAGAGATGGGGGAATGGTCAGCAGTGTCAAATGCTAGAGAAGAGCATCAGGGTTTGGAGAAAGCCTTGGATTTCAGATTTAGAAGATCACTTATCAACTTTGAAGGAGAAGGTTAGGACAAGTGTTGGGGCACAAGCTAGACTGTAAGGGGTCAGAGGGACCATGCTAAGGAGGCTGTAATAGTTGCCAGTCCCTTCTCCCTGTCTCCAAGGTACTCAGGATAGCAAGGTACTGAGCAGACAGCTCACTCTCAGAATCTTTGCAGGTTGGCCTCAGGTTGCCTGCCAGCACCGCGGTGGTGAGCTGAGCCTTATTTCTGACCTGACTCTAATGAATACTTCCTTGTAGATTTTACAGATGAGTCCCTGCCCATATTCACTTCTCCAATCTCTTACAATTCTGCTGCAGCTCCGTAACAGGTGTAAGTAACATTCTAACAAACAGCTATAATTACTATCAGGAAGGTTGTCCTTGTCATACCCTTATCTTGGTATTTAGACTATGATCTAAAGCATTGTCACTTGAATTGTAAAATTCTCTATGCCACTCATAAACTACCAGTATGGTATCTTCATTTGCTGTCCTTATAGTATCTGGACATAGAAAAATACCAAATTAGGTAGATTTTATATAACTAACAATGCAATTAAGGGAGGAACTTGGTACTTATCAACAGGAACATAAATAGGTGGGCAAGGGAAAATTCAGAATGTCCTAAATAAGGAAACAGAGGGACTCAGTTGGGGCTATTTAGCATTGGGACAATATTCAAAGAGAAAAAGTATATTTGAATGTCTCTTTTCCATCATTATTTATGCTGGAATAATAAATGAAAAATGAAAGTTGAGCTGTATAAGTTCTTTATATATTGTGGGTCTTAGCTCCTTATCAGATATATCATTTGAAAATGTATTTTACATACAGTAGGTTGACATTTCCTTTTATTGATGGTTTCCTTTGCTGTGAAGCAGCTTTTTAGTTTGATGTAATTCTACTTGTTTGTTTTTGCTTTTGTTTCCCTTGCTTGGGGAGGCATATCCAGAAAAAAATTACTAATGCTGATGTTCAAGAGTTTACTGCCTATGTTTTCTTCTAGGATTTTTATGGTTTCATGTCTTATATGTATTTCTTTAGTCAGTTTTGAGTTTGTTTTTGAGCAGGTTGTAAGACAATGGTCCAGTTTCATTCTTTTGCATGTAGCTGTCCAGTTCTTCCAACATCATTTATTGAAGAGATTGTCTTTTCCACATGGTATAGTCTTGCCTCCTTTGTCATATATTAATTGACCATATAGATGTGGATTTATTTCTGGGCTCTCTATTCTGTTCCATTGGTCTATGTATCTATTTTTGTGCCAGTACAATACATATTGATTACTGTAGCTTTGTAGTATAGTTTGAAATCAGGGCACATGATACTCCCAGCTTTGTTCTTTTTCAAGATTTCTTGGACTATTTTGTGTCTTCTTTGGTTCCATACAAATTTAATGATTGTTTTGTTCTATTTCTGCAAAAAATACCATTGGAATTATGATAGAGGTTGCATTGAATGTATAGATTGCTTTGGGCAGTATAGCCATTAATTCTTCCTTTCTATGAGCATGGAATTTGTGTGTTCTTCAATTACTTTGAAATAGTATGTCAATGTTGCTTTTATTTGTATTTCTCTAATGACAAATGATGAACATCTTTTCATGTGTTTATTGGCCATTTATGTATCTTTGGAGAAATGTCTATTCAAACACTTAGCCCATTTTTAAATTGGTTTAATGCTTTTAAAAATAAAATTGTAAGAGTTCATTATACATTCTGAATACAAGTTTCTTATCAGATATATGATCTGTAAATATTTACTCCCAGTCTTTGTGTTGCCTGTTCACTTTTTTGAGCATCCAAGTCAAATTTATTAGGCCTCCAGATGAGAGGCTTGATCTTCTTAACAAATTCTCCCAAACTACTGTATTTTCAACAGCGTTTAAGGTGATTTGTAAATGTAATGTGGCTATAATTATTTTCAAAATAATCATAGAAGGAAGAACATGAAAGCAGTAAGTTAATTATGTAGAAAGAAGAGTCTAAAGGTGGTTTATTTGTCCTGTTTGTCCTTCTACCATACAATATAGATCCCATTCCCCAAGCCATACACTGTACCTCCCTGGCTCCAGGCTTCCTACTCCCTGTGTTAGAAGACACTACACTTCTAATCACCATTTGTCTTTATAACATTAACAGAGGCAATAAAGCCCATGGGTATAGAGTAATACTTATGGGAAAAAGTTGGTCATGTAAGAAAAGAGAAAAATAGAATCAGAGCTATGGGGAGGTATTTGAAGATGTAAGAGGCCTGATTATGTTCTATAGAAGAGAAGGAGCCCTTGAAGTATGGAAATTGAAGGACTCAAAAGAAAAGAGGTTACTGTTGGAACAATGTGAAAGAAAACTGGGTAGGAATAGGATCAAGAATATAAAGAGTGCAAAAGCCTTGGAAGAAGCAGCCATCACCAACTGGGATTAAATGGAACAATAAGCTGATACCAGTTTTCATTAATCAAGGAAAAGGGCTATAGGTAATGTGTAGAAAACTTTTGAGAGCAACTCTAAGCAAATATTTGACAGCGATGTGTCCATATTAATCAAGAGATCAATATTTTTTCCCTAGCATTGTGCTCTAATAACTTTAGAAGACAACATCAAAATTCCTTCTTAAGGTGCTTATAGTCTAGATAGGAAATAGTCTAATCGTTAATTATTAAAACATACACAAAGGTTAGTAATGACAAGATAGTATAGATTGTATAGATGAAAAAGACTTTAAAAAATGAGCTGAGGGAGTTGAGGAAGGTTTGACTAAAGGATAGGTGTTGAGCTAAGTGTTGAAGGATGAGTCTTCCTTTTTGATCCTTACTCCAAATTCCTTCTAAACCTCCAAGATATATTAAGCCATCAAAAGGGGCTAGATCATGCACAATATGATATGTGTACTCTCAGAAGTAATGAGAGTCAATGAGGAGCCACAGGATTAGGGCACTCCAAGACAAAATATTTTGATTCAACAAAAACACTTTTTAAAAGCTTCCTCTTCAAGAAAGGAGAGAGCATTGACAAGAGCAACATCTGTTTCTTATATTAAGATTGGTTTAACTTCTTCTGGCCCTATCCTCTAATGAGGCATCTTTTTCCTGATTCTTTAAATATTCTTTCCAGTGCATCAAATGAATGGCATAGAATAAACAGGGAATATACAGTATATTTTCTGTTCTCTGCAGAGTCTAAGTGTCAAGGAAGATAAAGTCCAGTACAGGAACCCACTGAAGTTTGAAATGATTAAAGTCATGGTAATGTTGACTCATCTCAATGAAGCATCTGTGCTGCATATCCTGAAGAGGTGCTATTGAATGATCTATGTTTGTATATATGCTTTACAGCTGAAATACCTGATTGGCACTCATATTGATGAAGTCTCAACCTTCTCATAGGTGTGAGATTTTACATTGAATATAAGCATACTCAAATGGGGATAATCCTTGAGGAACACCCACTGGGAAGGAACTTCATTTTAACCTTTCCCCAATTCTGTTCTGTCAACATTCCTATCCTTTCCCACAGGTTGTCATGCTAAAGTAAAGGCATGAGGCTGGACTCTGAAAGACCAGTGTTCCCAACTCTGTCACTTATTAGTCCTTAAGTTTATCAACTCCTTCCCTCCTCTTATTGGTAGAGTGGGATAGATTGCCTGGTTCTCCTAGGTAGTTTGGAGGATTAGGTAAAAGAATGTAAAGCACATAGTCCAATGCCTGTCACTTAGTTAGTGCTCAATAGATAAAATGCTTTTTTTTCATCATCGTTAGTAAATTGGTGACAGTTGGTTGCTCAGATTCTTTGACTCAGAGCCTGTTCAGCAGAAGCAGCTCTGAATAGGCTTGACTAGAATGGTGGCATTTGGGAGCCATTGCTATGGAAGCCATGACATGCAGCTAACTCCCTGCTTGGCACTCTGATTTGCTACATGACTGCTTTAGTTTCCCTGGGATGCTGTAACAGAACTACCTCAATTTAAGTAACTGGGTGGCTTAGAACACCAGAAGTTTATTCTGTCCCAGGCCTAGCAACTGGAAGTCCAAAATCAAATCACATGAGCAGGTTCACATTTCCTCTGGCACATCTAGGGGAGAATCAATCATTCCTTGTCTGTTCTACCTTCAGGTGGCTCTTGGCATTCTTTGTGGCTGAATTACTCTAATCTCTGCCTCTGTCTTCATATAACTTTCTCTTCTCTGTGTTTCTTATAAAGATATTGGATTTAAGGCCCACCCAGAGAGCATCTTGAGATCTTAATTTAATTACACCTGCAAAGATCCTTTTTCCAAATAAGATCTCATTCCCAGGTTCTAGGGATTAGAACACAAGCACTTCTTTTGGGTCCCAAAATTCAACCACTGTAGTGAGTGAATAATGCTCATGAGCTGTTCCCCTCAGTCCCTTAGAAGTCAGGGTCCTCATTTTGCTGAAGCACAGATCCCCTCTGGCTTCAATGCCTGACAGCTGCTCACTGTACCCTACTGGCCTGATGTCAGCATCCTGTCTGTCCTCCAGAGGTGTCTATGTCAGGCTTGTTAGCAGATTTTACAGGACAGAAGAGATGGAAGTTCTATTGCTGCTCTAACTTGTTTCTGTCTCTTCCTCTTAGAAGTCCTTTCTCTGACAGAACTAAAAGCTCTCTTCTTTTTAGTTCCTTTGTAAGTAAATATTTAAGCAAATGTTACCTGACAACATAAGAGCTGACAAACCTGGAAGTATTTCTAACCTGTTTTCTGAAATCTTTTCTGATTGTCCGTCAGATGTATTCAGGTCTCCTCTGTGTGAGCATAAACCCTTACAAGTGGCTTCTAGTGTATCAGGAAGAAGTCGTAGCTGCCTACAAAGGCAAGAGGCGATCAGAGGCTCCCCCTCACATCTCCACCGTTGCCCATAACGCCTTTCAGGATATGCTTCACAGTCAGTGGCTGTCCTACAAAATGAAAAGTAAAAATATCAGATCTCCTTTTTCTCTGTGTCACTAAGAGGCACATAGCCATTGTGAGCAGAGCATGGCCTTTACAGTTACCTAATCACTTGAAGCCTCTGTTTCTATCTGGACAAAAAGTGGGCAAAACAGAGCCTACCTCCTAGGGTTATGGGAATGATTAGCTCAAATGTCAAATTAAGTGAGATAATGCATTGTAAGTGCTTGGCCCAGTGGCTGGCCCAGAGTAAGCCCCTGTGGATGGCAGCTTTTATTACATAAAGCGCCTGCTAGAGTTTTTGGCACAAAGAAGTTTTCTTTGTAGCTATTATTGCACTGTGCTTAAAATGGCAAAGTTGTCAACCATTAGTTGGCTACCGTTTGTATGTGGAGCAAGGAAATAACCTAGAATTTGTATGTTCTTATGACTGGCATACACAGGGGAAAGAGAAAATCTATTTTATTCTGTACTATTTAAATAGTATTTTTTTCTAACTTTATATAGAGCAAATCCTTTCCCTTGTGTCTTGGCTTCAAACTACAACCCAGGAAATTTTGAATAAGTTCATGCCAATATGTAGAAGCTCTGGCAGAAGAATGTTCTGACGTTTTTACCTTCTTTTGTAGATTGAGAGAATCAGTCTGTACTCTGTGTGTTTCCCTGGCTTTTTTTGGCCAACAGTGAGAGTTTCAATAGAAACAGACACCTACATTTCACTGAGAATAAAACATTAATTCACTGTCTTTGACTTTTTTGCTTTTTAGATATAGAATACATTCTAGGCAAGAATAAGATACTCAGGAAATTGTCATAACATTTCAGGCAGTGATTATTCCAAATCTGGTGCCAGCTAGGCTGCCTCCATCATTTTAGGAGATCTGTTAGAGCCCACAGTGCCCAAGCTGGTCTTATCTTCTTGAAGGAGAGAGCTCCCTGTCCAAACGATCATTTTCAAAGGTCTCTGGACTGGCTAATTAGGCAGACTAATTGATAGTCCAGTGGGTATGACCATGGAACAGATAACATGCTGTTGTGGGCAGCCAGATTAGGGCAGGCCAAGGTACATGAAGCAGTGGGAACTAAAAGATGGCAAAGCTTGGAGGGGTAAGAAAATAGGGTAAAGCAGAAAGAAAGAAAGGGCTTCAGTGATACCATATTGTATGTTAACTTTGATGAAAAGAGCACTGACTGGCCAAGTGAACAGGTCAGCATGGTGGTTGAGGGGATAGGCTAAGACTCAAGAAGCAGTGAAATGCTAAGGTCCATGGTCTTCCCATGCAATGATGATACCATCAACATCAGGTCTTAGAGAGATTGTGTGTTGGGCTTTCCATTGGCTTCAGCTATCCCAAGAAAAATAATAGCCTCAGAATCTTAGAGCTAGAAGGGCAGTTGGAGCTGAGCCCTTAAGAGAGAAGACAGATAGACTGTTTTCAGGAATTTCGTACATTTGAAGGCCAGCCCTGATCCTATGATGCTTTGGGTGATGAGACCATACATGCACCACTGTGTTCTTCCCACATCACTGAGTTACCTGGTTATCAAAGGTAAAAGGGAGGTCTAAAACCCAGCTGCCTGGTGAAATGATTGGCAGGCCTGCTTCTGAGGGAGAGGGTTGGACCTGGTCATGTGGTAGCCTTAATATGTGAAAATCTGTTGAGCAGTTGGTGATGAGAAGACCTATCTCTAATTATTAGAGATGTTCTTTGACTTTTTGTGAATGGGACCATGAGGAACACGCTTCTTGTTTTTATAAAATTTTTGATCTACTTCAGACTTTTGCTTAGGCTGTTTTTCTAGCCTGAGATGCCTTTCTCCTTCTCCCAGTCAATTAAACGTCTATATCTCCTTCAAATTCCTTATTAACTTCCACTTTTCCATAAAAGTTTTCCTTCTTGCCTTTAGCTTATATGGTTGAAGTGATTTAACTTTCATTACATTCATAATCTGAGCCAATTAACTGTGTCAGTGAATTTCCAGTCATAGTGGAGAATCTGGTGCTGGAAAGATTGTGAACATCAAACATATCCAGTATTTTGCCACTATAGCAACCACAGATGAGTCTAGGGAAAAGTGGGTAAGTATTCATAAAACTTGGCAGGAAGGGTCATGTGGTCTTATCCATTGATCATGGAGGCTCTGCCTTGACCATTCATGGGGAAAATGGAGTGGACAAAAGCCATAGAACAATTAGAAAATTACAGGAAAATTTTTTCCCCTTTCCTTTGCATCTTAAGAGGGTTGATCAAGTGTTCCAAACCAATAACCTCCAAACAGAAAATTACATAATTTGTTTCAGATATGCTTGAAAGGGCATCTGTGGCCTGATCTTTGTTGATTAGACTTCTTAGAATTAGGCACTTGAGAGCCAAAGCATTGTCCCTAAAAGCTAGGGTCATCATTGCCTTGAGTGGCAACGTTTGTTATTTCTGGATCCCCTTAGCTGCAATGAGACCTTGGACTCCCACAAATATGCACCTGAACTCCTGAATCAATTCCAAATGTCTTATAGATGCACCTTCAGCTTTAATCACATTCCATATTCTGAAAAACTTTACTTTCTCTCTATTTTTGTCCTTGGTGATTTTTTAATTTAGCTTACTTTGTTTAGCCCCTTTAACAGGTTGCTGGGTTTCCTAATAATTTGAGGCTAAGTAGATCATGAGAGTTGGTATGCAAAGTAAAATTAGATACTACTGAGTGGAACTCAAAATCAATGAGTTATTGAGCTGTTAGAGACTCTCTTTCATCTTTCTATGTCTGTCTGACACTATTATTCTGCTTTTTCAACTGTAACCTGGATGTTTCCTGCTGTTTTTGCAATGTTAAAGAGCATATCAAAATAGCAATCTGGTCCAATTTTCAAACCGTGGAAAGTTTCTTTTCAAACCACCATGTTCCTGAATTTGATTGATTTCTTTAGGTATTATTGAACTCTATTATTTATTAAATAAATATTACCTCATTTTGCATGCATTTTAGGTCGGTTGGTGTGCATTTGTTTGGTCTAGCCAAAGGGATATAGTATTTGTAAATGTATAAATGTTTGAATACTATACACTATAGAATTCCCTTTAATGTTGAGTGTAAAATAACAAAGCCATGTCACAGTGTGGGTGCTGAGTGGTCACTCAGACTCACTCTGTGTAGATAACCTGCTTTGGCCCATCAGCTTAAGCACACATGCTTCAAATTCAAGGCTAATGCCATGACAGGTCACTACTTTGTATGGACCACTAGATTACTTAGGAATTGTAGCAAGGAAAAATATAATTTAGTAATGCCAAAAGTTTGCTGTATTATCTTTAGGATTTCCACATGTGAGAATTAGATGGGAAGAGAGGGAGATTAAAAGTGGGGAAAATATATGGAATAAAGTTTGGGAACAGGCATAGTACTTATTATTTTTTTGGTTTATTTAAAAAAATATCCATTTTCTTTTCCCAGTTAGTCCAATGCCAACCAAAAGAGAGGCCTTCCAAATAAACAATCTCCACATATATTCATAGGGGAATTGTATGTTAAGACAGTCTGTTATCCATCTATTTTTCTGAGTTCTCATTCAAAATTTCATTTTATAACCAAGTCTGGAAGTGGCTTTTGGATACTGGTTATCCAAGCAAAACGGGTTTGATCTGGAGATGGAGGGCTTGCCACGTAACAGAATTCTGCTGAAAACTCTATCAGCTGTACTTCTTTCATCTGTAGCTCAGGGAACGTTAGAGATCAAATCAAGCAAGTGAATCCTATCTTGGAAGCATTTGGAAATGCCAAAACCCTGATAAATGACAACTCTTCTCATTTTGTCAGTAACAAGATGGAGCTGTTTATTAGAGTCTTTAATTTCTAAGCAACTGGTAAAATTTATATCTGAGCATACAGTTATGAAAAAATTTCTAGAACATTGAAAAGGTCTTTGATTAAAGTTTATAATATTGTTAGCATCTTCAAAAAAAATTTCCAGTTTTATCATTAATTAAAAATACATATAAATATGTATCAGAGAAGTTTCTATTATTTGGCCAGTTTCAGGAAGAAAATATTTATCTTAATAGTTTTAAATTCCTTCTGTCCCAGTAGGGAAGCTTTATATTTGATTACATTTTAGATTTGAAAGTACTTTCTCCTTTATAATTCCTTTATAACAAGTCAATTTAGTAAATTCTTCCTAATTAACTTACTACAATTACTGTTTCCATTTCTGCCTGTGGTCTTGTCCCTCCCTACATATTTTTCACTGGGGATTTTTTTTTTAATTGGGAGAAAGTGGGTTTTTTTGAGTAGCTTTTAATAACTAACAATCCCATAATAGAGGAGGAATATGAATTTCAAGCCCTGATTTCATGAATCCATTTTATGTTAAGAATGAGTTGTAGGGAGCCACTATATAGTTTACAAGGAAAGTTGTGGACAGCTTCCTGTTTGAGTAATTAAATAATAGCCCCAGGCTGATGTGGCTAGTTTCCACCCAAGGCCTTAGGGTTGCTGTTCCTCCACTGACTTATGCTTGCACGGTCTGGCTGCAGAGCAGGTGCTGGCCCACGACACTACTGCTGGATTTGGGATCGGTTGAAATACAAAGGGACTTTCTGCTAAGAGATGAAAGACAGCTGCCAAGAAAATAAAAGGAAGAGGGGGGAAGGGGACAGAAGGGAGAGGGAGAAAAGGAAGATTAAAGAATAAAAGAAAAGAAAGTGCAAAAGAAAAGGAAGAAAAGAAAGAACAGCATGTGGAAAGAAAGATAGCAATTGACCAAGAATAAAAACAAGAAAAAAGTTGGAAGCATAGAAGGAAAGAAAGAAGTAGAGAAGCAAAATAAACAAAGGTGGATGAATGGAAGGAAGGGAAAGAGGGAGAGGAAGAACAAAAGAGAGAAAGGGGGTCCAAAACATCAAGAAATCCAGGTTAAATTCTTTCAATTAATACTGTATACACATGTATATATGTAAATGTGCACACACTTGCATATATGTCCATATATGTGTGCCTATGTATACATGCATATATGTGCATGGGTATATTTGTGTGTTTTGCTCCCATTATCCTACATATTTTTAATTTCATGGTTCAACCCCACTTTATGTAGCCACTCTCCTTTGCTTGCCTGGCTGCTCTCCTGCTATGCTGCCTTCCTTGCAGGGGACTGACGTCCACCAGGCTGCTTTCTGCCCTGCACCGTCATCCTCTCCCCACAGGCTTCCACTGCCACCTGACTGCCCCCTTGGCTGCCTCTGGTGTTCTGACTTGGATTCTGTTTCATTTGGGCAGCCATTCAGCCCCACTAGATCTTGTTGAATGGCTTTTCATTGAGAAGAAAGGAAGGGAGCCCCATCTATTACTTATGTCAAAGTGGTTTTAAAACATAAACCCAGTCATGTCACTTCTCTGCTTAAAACCTTCAGTGTCTTTTGAGCACACATAAACTAAAACCCTCTTCCTTCCTTATGGCCCATATGGCTTACATGATACAGTGCCTGATGCTGTCTGCTCTCTGCCCTCTTTTCTTTTAGTTTCTAAACTCCTGCACAACTGGCTTTTCTTTTGATTTCAAGACTCACCAAATGTTCGTATGTTAAAACCATCGCTTCAGCTGCTAACACCTAGAATCTAGAAGAGTAAGGAGCACCCCTATTTTTCCATTGTGTTATATCCAGTGCCTGGCAGGTTTCACAGGTCATAATAGATGATCAATGAGTGTTTGTTGAATAAATGAATAAATATACTAAGCAGATATTATGTTTCTCATTTTTAGATAAGAAAATAAAGGCCCAGAGAGATTCAAAAATGCACACAAGAATACACAGCTGGCAATTAACAGGTCTGAGACTAGAGTCCAGGGTCACTGCTGGTCCTGACAATCATTCTGGCTGCCTCCTGACATTAAATGGTGCTATGTCAGGCCCATGTTACATTTTTTAAAAACTTCTGGGGAAACAGTCACTTTGGGAGTAATGTGAATAATAAAGCCATTTCAACTATTTGGGATATTTCAACAGGAGCCTATGTTCTCTGCCTCCCCAGGGGAAATTCATCAAGATGCACTTCTGTGCCAGAGGCAAGTTGTCATCTGCAGACATCAACATCTATAAGTGGCCATGCACAGTCTGAATACTTCTATTCTGTTTTACAAGAACACCTAAGTATGAATTTTTATCCATTTCTCATCATGCAGATTTGCTTGAAAAATACTGGGTGATTTTCCAGCAGCCTAGAGAGAGTTGCTGCCACATATTCTATCAGATTCTGTCTGGAAGAAAAGAACTTCATGGTAAGTGTATTATTCCAGAGTTGAAGGTCATTCTGAAACAAGAGACAGAAGTCAAATGATCGGACCTGAAATAGTGCTGTTTAATAAGTCTGTTAGAGTCTTTAGAACGCAGTTCATTCATCCTAAAGTATAAGGAATTGAAGCAATTATAGAACATGTGTTCTATAATTTTATGTGGGTAGAGAGTAAGTGGTAACACTCTCAGTTTGGTAGTGTTTGGAGCTTGGTAGGATGCCTAGCAGAGTTAAATAAGGAGTGAGTGTGTATGTGTATAAAAAGCATTAGATAATTTAAGGACTTAGATGATTAGAACCACATGGATGGTATAGACAAGAGGCCAGAGGTGGGAGACATCACCGTAGTGTGTGGTCAGCAGGTTCGTTTGGGTTGGGATGTGAAGAATGGAAAGAGGATTTAACCAAAGTAATGAGGGGAGGATGTTTCTGGTAGGAAGAACAGTGCACGTCAGGTCAGGAAAAGACAAAGCAAGACCAGGAAAGAAGGAGGTTAACTAAAAAAGGGGATTTCCTTAGAGGGATACTGGAGGTTTTTTTCTGATGATTTTTGGAGTTAGGGAGTTGGCAGGGTGCATTGCATGTGTGTGTATGTGTGTTGTGGGATGGGGTGGGTAATGGGAGGTCATGATCTGTTAGGGCAGTGACAGGCTGGCAGGATGGACTGCAGACAGAAATACTAGAGGAAAGTGACTGTAATAATCCTGGTGTGAGCTGACAGAACAGCTGTCTAAGGTAGTATCTGTGGGAATGGGGGGAAAGAGGGACACATGGAAGGACAGGTCTCAGCAGTGACTGAATGTAGGGGTGAGGTAAAGTGATGAGTCAAAGATACTCCCACAGTCTGTAATTTGACTGGGATAAAGGTAGTGCCATGAACAGAAATAGAAAAGCAAATTGTTGGGCAAGAGAATGAATTTCAGGTATTAATTCAACAAATATTTATTGTGGGACTGTTATGTGTACAGCAGGTACTGCTTTTTAGGTATGGGGGATAGAGAAGTAAGCAAGACAGACGGGTCCCTGCCCTCATGAGCTTCCATTCTAGTATGGAAGACAGGTAACAAACAAGTATATACAGAAATACATAATTTTGGAGAATGGTAGGTCTACAGATAAAAATAAAGTAGGGTGAGGGGAGAGAGTGAATGGGGGTTTGGCAGGGCAGTGAATGGTTTTATCTTAGATAAACAGCCAGGTAGGATCTCTCTGAGAAGACAATATTTTTGCCGACACCTGAATGAATAAAGGGGCAAGTAGGCAAGATTTCCAGTAATAAATTCTAGGAGGAGGGAATAGTGAGTGCAAAAGCCCTGAAGAAGGAATGCATTTGTTTATTCTTGAAACAGCAAGATAGCCATTGTGGGTGGCAGAGTGGAGAGGGTAATGCAGGGGGAGATAGGCAGGATCAGACCATGCAGTATCTTGCAGGCTATGGCAGAGAGTTTACACTTTTAGTGTTATGGGAAGTCACTGGAAGCAGAGAAGGACAAGCTGATTGGATTTCAAAGGTATTGCATGTGAGGTGAGCCACTGAAGACCACGGCACTCCAACGGGAGTAGGTGTGGGATGAGATCCAAGATTCTGGTGAGCAAATTGGTGGGGAACAATTGCCCTGGCCCGTTATGCTCAGATTAAGTATGTCACAAATATGGCAGTGTTTTGACCACACGGTCTTCAGATCCTAAGTGCCCCCCGCCAAGTGGGGAAGGCTCTGCAAACCAGATGGTGCTTTTTGCCATGGATGCAATTGGTGATCTGCCATCCACTAAACCTGGAGCAGATTTCTTTTGGTCTTTCTTCCATTTAGTGGGGCTGTGCTAAACCTAACGTTCTTGACACAAATCTCTACACTGTGCAGGGCATCTGACACACAGGATCCACTGTGGGTACCTGCAGTGACAGCAACAGTTGGGGAGCATCTCTACTTACTAATAGAGCCATCTAAGACTGGGCTGCTATGGCAAATGCATGCTTCTGGTTTCATCTGTTTTGTCATCTTTGGGGATTGCTGAGATTGATTATTGTACAAAGACTGACATCTGGTGGTCCAAATTGGGTATTGTCACTCCACTTGTTTTCGACACCAATTGTCATTCCTTGGGACAGTTTTAAATTTGGAGCTCTTTCTATTCATGTTTGCCAAGGAAGAGCGTTAGAGTGTCCTGAGGATTGATACAAGAGGCCACAATGTTGCATATGAGGGTTATGTCCAAAATTCCTAAAATATGAGCATTTTCAGTGTGAAAGAACCTGGTGTCGAAAATCAACCGAGAGGCTGGCTACGCACTGAGGGAGCCAAGGAAATCGGATGATGTACCTGAGAGCTGGTCCCATCTAGTGATATGGCCTGGGACGTCTCTTCTCCCCTTATCTTTCCTCCAGGCATAGCTAAACTCGGTTCCTCGGGCCCTCAGGTTAGATGCTCGAGGTCCTTTAGCTCTCAGTGCCATCTATATAGCTTGGCCCTGCATGTGTCTTTCTTTTTCTCTCCTTTGACTTTTTTATTTTCTGTTTATTTGTGATATCCATTCTTGTTAGTCACCTGTGGTATGAATTCTAGGACAAAAGGTCAGGAAACCTGTCCTTGCCTCTGAGAATCCTTGACATTTTGCCTAGTTTCCTGAATATATGGCAATAATGCATAGTAGTGGCTGCCAAGACATGTACCTGAGTCTGTCTACTAGTGGCCTGAATGCCTCTGGGAAAAGAAACCGTCAGCATCTGACCTCCTATTTCAGAGCATATTCAGTTATGCTCTCTTGAGCTAGTCTCATACCCTTACTCCCTTTCTCCCCAATAGCTGTTAGGGGATACAGATGTGTGTGGGGTCATCAGATTGTGGATGGCCCAGCTCCAGAGAATGCTCTTCAAACTGTAGGCTATGTGAACAATTCTGGAGTTGGGCAGTGCACAACCTCTTCAGCTCTACATGGCACCACTGGGGAACAGTTAATGACATGGCATAGCGGCACTAGCTACAAAACCTTATTTGTGATTCTAAACTTTTTTTTGCCCAATGTCAGCCTTGTTCCCTTTCATACTGAACACAGTTGAGTCTTGGAGAACATTCAGCCATGTGGAAAGTAAAATTTAATGTCAGGATGACATGTAAAACAAAGCCTAAAATGATAAAATGTTCCTTCTTAAAGGTGTCTTTGCATCTCCTACTAGAGTGTAGAATCTAGCAACGAAATTGTACAAAGGTTGACACCTGTACTTTTTGAAATTGTGAAGCAATTTACTTTTAGCATCCTTTCATGCCTCCTCTCTATGCTATCCACCTCCCATCCCTCTTGACAAGCTCCCCCTACCCTCATGTGCCACAGCCTGGTAGACAGTCTTCTATGTGGGCCCTTACTGGCCTAGATTATCTCTGGCACTAACAGTATCTTTAAAAAAGTACAATTGTGCTTTGCTTTTTTTTTTTTTTTACATTCTTTCAGGGCCATTTCTATTGGTAGAATGAAATTAATTAAATAAAGGAATCCCTGTTTACATGATACTCCTGTGAGATAACCTCAAGCCTCAACCCATTAAAATGCACTGCTCCTTGAAAATAAATCTTGATAAGGCCCAGTGGGGAAGATGTTTTGAGCTAAAGACCTTTCAGAGTTCTTCAACACTCATGCACTTAGTCTGTACATTCTTTAGAATGACCACGGCATACTGAGTACAGCCCTGCCCAGAAAAGGTTAGGCCAACACAGCAGCCATGTTTCTGATTGGAAGCAGATAGAAGGAAAGTCCATTAGGTGTACTAATGACTTCTAGAAATGATGTATCTGGAAGCAGGGAGGTGCTGAGAGGTGCTGAGGGAGACATGGCTGTACAGAACTTGGGCACACCACTCCACCTTACTACCCACCCCTCTGAATCTTGCCTTCTCCCTCGCCCTGCTCCTCTACACCTCAGGCATGTGGTGTTCTTCCTCCCTGCTCGGCTTCCCTCAGTGTTTGCCCAATTGTTGGGCCTGCTTGGATGGAAGCAAGACCCTCCTTCTGTCTGTGACACTGGAGTAAATGGAATCCCATCATAAATATGGGCACAAGTTTGAGGAGGTGAGTGGTGTAGTCTAACAGAAATACTAGAGACTAAATTCTAAGTTCAATTTATCATTAATTTGATCCTGGAAATGTAGTGAGCCTTGCTATAGAAGGTTTCTATTTTCCTTTATTCAGCAGAGAGAATATAATGTGAACCTTTGATCGCCATAACCAGGATGAAAGTGATTAAAAGTGACATAATAAACATGAGAGTAAAAAGAAAAGTATATAAAAGGCACATTTAGAATTATTTAGAAGGTAATTCTTGACAAAACGATCATAAAATATAGATTTTTCTTTTTAATGAGCCAACTAGAATATGCCCCCACCCTAAAAACACACACACAACATTTCCTGCACTTGTTAGGTCTGCGATTCCTCTAGCCTCCTTGAGGGAAAGGACTGTGTTATTTCTGTATTCTTATCTCTTCCTGTAGGATATACCTGTCTTAGAGAAAAAAGATAAAGTAAATGCTTTGATTTGAAAGACATGGAGATGATGTCTGAATTTGAGCTGTGAAGGAGGGGAAGGGACAGGATATTGTGGCACCCAGGTGTCTTATATGCATAGGGTGGTGACATTCACTGGCAGGAGGAGCCACTGAAGAGGAATAGCTTCAGGGCAGATATGGAAAACATCACAGATTCAGTTTTGGGAGTGCTGGGTTTGAGTTCCTTATGGCCACGCACACTGAAGTGCCTGATGGGAAATTGGAGATCCAAGTCTGGAGCTCAGAATCCAGATTTGAAAGTCACCGGTAAAGCCACAAGTGAGTCTCACCAAAGAAAACATAAAGATATTCTTGACCTTTTTAGAGTGTGACCGTATTTGATACCACTGATCACTCCCTCCTCCTTGAAAATCTCTCCTGTTGGCTTTCAGCGCATCACCCTCCCGTGTATATCACCCTCACCTTTTCTCCTAAATCTCCGGGAATTTTTGAGGTTCCCTCTTGTTCATCTAGCCCATGACTTTAGAGTGCCCTGGGGCTCAATCCCTGAATCTGTCTTGTGATGACCTCATTCAGGCTGATGTCTTTAAAGATGATCATTTCTATCTGATGACTTCCAAAATTTGATCATTAGTCCAGATTTGTCTCCAGTATTCCAGACTCATTTTAGACTCTCCACTTGGTTTGGAGAAGGGCCAAATCATATGAGTGGCTTATGATGAAACTACTTGCTATTGATTTTTTTGTTCTGTCATGTCACTATTTTTTGAGGATTTTCCACAGTGTAAAAACAAAATAATCATAAATTGCTATGGTTTAGGCTGTATATACAGTAAACAGTATGGTTTTTTGAGCGAGGGAAATTTATATGGAAAAAATGGCGACATGTAGAAGAACCTGTAACAAAATTAATGTGTATGCCCAAGGTCTTTTGAGATTCTGGTGTATAAATTTCCTTTGGGCTTACACAAAAATAAAGTCAAATTCTTTTTTAGAATTTTGTAAGATGGAATCATACAATACATGTTCCTTTTTGGCTTATTTCACTTGGCAAATTATTTTGAGTTTCTCCCATGCTGAGTAGGTATTCATAGTTCACTCATAGGCATCTCAAATTTAATGTGCCTAAAATCTAGTTACTGAACCCCACCTCCCCAGACCTGCTCTTACCAGTGTCTCCCAGGTCCGTGGAAGACAGCTCCATCCTTCCACTTGCCTAGTCACAAACCCTTGAACTTTTTCTTGATTGTCTCTTTCTCCCACCTGATACTTATTTTAACTCCCACCAAATCCTTCTGACTCCACTTTCAAAACCTGAGCTCTGACTGCTTTGCACCATCTCTGCTGTTGCTACTCTGATCAGATACATCGTCTCTCCTGGGTTACTCAGCAGTCTCCTGCCTGGTATTCCTGCTTCCCCTCTTGCCCCTCTGTCTTTAGCCCAGCAGCAATGGTAAATTAAAAAAAAGGAGAAATCATATGACATCGCTCCTCCACTCAAATATCTTCATGGGTTCCTATTTCACACAGAGCATAAACACCCAAATCCTCACCATGGCTTATGAGGCACCATGATCTGTCCTCTTGATGCCTATGTGACCGCATGACCTGCTTCTCCCTACTTCCTTAATTTGTCCCTTCCAGACCCACCTTAGTCACTTAAAATACCAGGCAAGCACCCACCTCAGGGCCTTTGTTTTGCATAAGCTCCTCTCTGTCTGGAGCACTCCTGCTCTGTTCATCAACTAGGTTCTCTCCCCTAACTCCTTCAGGTCTCTACTCAAATGTCACCTTATGGAGTCCTCCCCTGATCAACCTATTAAAAGCTGCAACTCTGCATCTGTCATACTTTCTACTCCCTTTCCTGCTATTTTCTTCATAGCACTTATTCCCATCTTACTGTCCATATATTTTCATACATTTTATTTATTTTTAAAATTTCTGTCTCCTCCTGCCAGAATATAAGGTTTACAAGGTCAGGATTTTCTTTTTTTTACCTGATGTATCTCTAAAATTTACATTGTTTGATCTCAAGAAATATTTGTCAATATCAAGAAGGGCATGAGGAAGAACATGAGATTCTTGACAAGCATTAACATTTAAGAGACATTTGTATCATCATTCAAATACATAAAACATTTTTTATGGCTTACATTTCTACTAAAAATATGTATATTGTACTTGCCATCAGCTTCATTTCCTTTGGATTGGTCAAAGTTTTTACTTTTTAACTTTCATAAATTAGTTTATTGAAGTAATATTGACATAAATGTAAGTGTTGACATATAAATATCTGCATGAAACCATCACCCCAATCAAGATACTGCTGAATCCACTCAAAAGTTTTCTCAACATCCTTTAGAATCCCTCCCTGCTGCCCCTTCTCACTCCTTTGAGTCTTTGCCTCCCCACTCAGTCCCTAACTTTGTCACTATAGATTGGACTGCATATTCTAGAATTTTATAAGACAGAGTCATACAGTGTGTTATTTTTTGGTACTGCTTTCTTCACTTAGTATAATCATTCTGAAATTCTTCCATGTTGTAGCATATATTTGTAGTTCATTCCTTTGTTTGCTGAGTGATAATCCATCATATGGGTACACAACAGTTTGTTAACTGTCGGTGGACATTCGGGTTGTTTCTTAGAAAAGCTGCTGTAAACGTTTAAGTGACACAGTTCCTTTGTTTCTGAGATTTGGGATCCAGGAAAACAGAGCTTCATTTCACTGAGTGATGAACACAAAAATCAGATCAGCTCAAAGAAACCTCGGTAGGAGGAGGTGTTGGGCAGTCAGTGCTCGATGTGATTCAGCCACGTCGGGGGCTGACGGGCCCTGACAGGCGGCTTTGGCCTTGGCCTGCGTTGTTTCCTGACTAAGTGAATCATGTCAGGAATCTTAGACATATCAGAGGTGTGGTGCTGAACACAGTAGCTGATTTATGGATCCCTTGAAAGACAGACTCGGCCTCCTAATAGGGAGGATGTGATGTGACAGGATTACACAGCTCATGTTCCCTGGGCGCTGACCCCAGGGTCCACCTCTTCCTAGCTTCAAAACTCCGTCTTGATACACTTATAATTTTACAAAACACTTTTGTCCTCTGCCCTCCACCACATATCTAGGCCACATTCCTGTTTTCAAAGTTTTGCCAACACACATCATCTTGTTTTTTTCACACCAATTCAAGCTGCTGCAATTGAATCTGATTTTGGATTTGGCCTGCCTGATCTTCTCTTGGGAGGCATTCATACATGACTGACAAGTTAATAGAGGGCAAAATCTGATTGCAGAGGTTTGGGTGTTGAATATGGATTTTATTTTGGCTTGTTTACAAGTATGCTATAAGCTGGAAGAGTAAACTGTGAATATTGGTCAATTATATTTTCTAAAGCCCTGAGGATTTCCTTAATCTGTTTAACTGATGGTTTCCCACTGCAGATATGCTCCTGGTGTTTGAAAAGCCCTCTGACTTTCACTTTTCTCTCATGGGGTAGTTTCTGTGGAGAACTTGGATGTTGCCAAAGAACTGCTAGCCACAGATGTAAGGCTTATTAGTTTTCAAAGCAAAGTCTGGAAAATCAAGGAGGAATGAAAGTAAGCATCTTAGGGTCTTTCTTTGAAAGGTCCTGGGGAAGTGACCCTCCTTCCCCTGGGGGTGGAGAGTGGATGGAGCCCCTCCAGGCTGCTCCTGTCCAAAGTTTATTAGTATATATTGTCAATAGAGTAACTTCGGAACATACAGGAAAGTAGGAAGATGTTTCAACTCTGTCGCACCACACTTTTTATTTGGTATACGTCTTTACAGTCTTTATCCATTTTTTGTCTATTTGGGGTTGATGTTATATAGTTGTTCTGTTGTTGTTTTTAATAAAAGATTGTAATCACACTGCATATACTATTTGGTATAAAAAGTCTTCTTTTTTAAGTAATCTTAAGCATTTTCAGTATTATTACAAACTCTACAGAAACATTTAAATGGATACTTAATATTTTTTCAGGCATTTTTCCTGTAGTAGGCTGTTCTTTTGTTAGACTCAAGGGTTTGTGTTTGTTTTCTTACAGTTGTGAATATCTTGGGTGGTAAATGCTTTTTCTGTATATTAGATTCACCTTATGCTAGATGTCTAAAGGTGAAACTACTAGATAAGGATTATGAATTCTTTATAGTCGCTTGATACATTTTCTAAATTAACCACCAGAAAGTTGTGCTGATTTCCACCCTCCTGGAGCATGTGCGAATGCACATCTGAGCATGTGCAGAGGCTCTAAGGACACAGTGCTTTGGTGACAGGGTTTTCCTTTTCTTTAATACTTTTGTCAGTTGTAGAAATGTCTCTGCTCTGAAATAACGTTGGGAGTAGTTAAGGGATCCCAGAAATAAACAAACCCATCTGATACGGTGCTTCCTTCTGCCATAGCCATGAAAAGCAAAATAATTTACCTCATACAGAAGGGTAATGATCAATGATCAATTGCTAGAAGGGAGAGGAGGGGAGGAGGGCACTGAAGGAAACTTCTTAAACTACTGGAAATGAAACAGGCCAAGTACTGTGCCTTCCTAATTCTCTTTTAAAGAGATAAGCAGACTGCAGGAGACCAAGTGCCAACAGGGCTGATCTGCATTGCTTTGAACAGAGCTGTCACACCTTGGGCGGTGGTGATCTGTCGCCTTCCTTTGGCAGCCCCAGCTCAGCGCCCACAGAATGTGGGGAGGTGTGACACACAGTGGGGGTGAGGTGCTTACTGCAGCCATTAGGCAAATGAAGACACCACCATCTGTTTCTCTTTTTACTGCAAGCCCTGGCCCTCTTGGGCTTCCTTCCTGATGAGAACTATGGATCCTATAAATTCACTGGAGCATCACACACTTTGGCAACATGAAATTTAAACAGAAATCCAGAGAAGAGCAAGTGGAAGCAGATGGCACAGAAAGCGAGAAATGCTCTGAAGACATGGCCTATATTCTCTTCAACTCTGTGGTCTCAGGCCTGCTCCTCTTTCCCTTGCAGTTGACTTTGTCTCTTGGTTTTTGGAAAATGTTCAAATTTCTCAGCAGTCTTTCTTGATTGCTAGTCCTCAAAATTATTCTCTCCATCACCATTCTGATGTAGTATCCTTGGATCTTAGAATAAAGAGTTCCTTAACTAATTATTTACAAAGCCAGTAGACGTAGGTGATATAGGATTGATTAAGCCCTAGCCTGCCTTTGGCACATAGACTATTGAGAAAAACAGAGAATGGAGAAAATTACCATAGGATGTATTAAGTGACATAATGGAGGTGTGAACAAACATGTTTAGAATTTCAAAGGTGGATTCTCCACTGGGTTAAGATCCAATGCCTTCATTTTTCTTCATTTTTTTTATTCACATTTAGAAAATCTATAGCATTGCCTGCTTACCAAAAAGATTTGAGGCATCTTACAAATGAGTGCTCTGTCTAGAGTGATCATTAAAACAGAAAACCACATTTTGAGAAGAAATAAGCATAGTTAGGATAATTATTTCATTTAATATTAAAATTCATGGCACTTGAAACTAAAAGAGAAAAACCTCCCAAATTTTTCAAGTAATTTTTAATTTTAATTTTTGATTACAGTAAAATATACATAAGATTTATCATTTTAACCATTTTTAAGTGTATATATAGTTCAGTGGCATTACGTACCTTTGCATGGGTGTCTTTAGACTTTTTCATCATCCCAAACTGAAACTCTGTACCTATTAAGCAATAACTCCCTGTTACCCCCTTTCCCTAATGCCTCGCAACCACCATTCAACTTTCCATCTCTATGAATTTGAGCAATCTAGGTCCCTCAGGTAAATGGAATCATTTAATACTTATCCATTTGGCTCTGGCTTATTTCACTTAGCATAATGCCTTCAAGATCCATCTATGTTGTAGTATGTGTAAAAATACCATTCCTTTATAAGACAGAAAAATAGTCCATTGTATGTATATTCCACATTTTTAAAAAAATCCCTTTATGGACTCTTGAGTTAGTCTGCTTTTCATTATGATGAATAATGCTGCTGTTAACACTGGTGTTCAAATATCTGTTGAGGTCCTGCTTTCAAATCTTTTCTGTATATATCCAGAAGTGGAATTGCTGAATTAAATGGTAATTCTATGTTTAATTTTTTGAGGAATCACCATACTGGTGGCAGCTGTACCATTTTACATTCCCACCAGCAAAGCAAGAGGATTCCAAATTTCTCCACATCCTCGCCAATACTGTTTACTGTTTTTTTGATAGTAGTCATTTTAATGGGTGTAAAGTAGTATCTTATTGTGATTTTGATTTACATTTCCTTGATGATCAGTGATGTTTAGTATCTTCTCATATGCTTATTAGCCATTTATGTATCTTCTCTGGAGAAACATCTATTCAAGTCCTTTGCCCATTTTGTTGGGTTGTTTGTTTTTTTTATTTTTCAAAAAATAACTTTTGGGTCCAGCCTATGCCAGGGACTATTTTTGGTGCTGGGAATATACCTGTGAACAATATATCATCCCTCTTGACTCTCTAGTGTGGGAGACAGATAATATATACATAAACACACAAATATACATGAAGTTATAATGAAAAAAGTAAAGCAAAGTCTAAGTGTAAAGAGTAACTGAGTGAAGGGGTTCTTGGAGACGTGGTGCTGAGAAAGTTTCCTCCAGAAGAGAGCGCTTTAGCACAGACGAGAGTGAAGTGAAGGAATGTGACCTGAAGGTCGGGCAAAATCTCTTGTATTGACATATTAATATGTTTTTATAGCATCTTATTTCATTGCCTTATTTTATTGTTTTGTCATTTTGTTTTTTGCTTTTTCCATTCATTGAAACAAAGGTTTTTAAGAATAATTTTTATTACAGGAGCATGGCATACTTAATCAGAAAACACAGGTAAGCAAATAAAACATGTACTATCACACCCAATGTCCTTGAGAAAGTGATTCCTTCTGAGGCTCTTTGCTGGAACTTCCTCAACTTCTCTATCTTTAACTGCTATATGGCTGCTGGGCTCAACCCTTGAATCACTTCTCTGCTCATTTTTTAGGTGATCATCTCAAACCTAACATGTATGAAATGGGACTCTTCATCTCACTTCTGTCCCCACTGCCAACTCCTTGTTTCTGTCTTCTGACTAAATGTCAGTTGGATTCTCCAGTTGCCCTGACTCAGATCTTAGAGTTATCCTGAACTGCTCTCTTTATTGTTTTCTCTACCTTTAAAATATACATAAAATACACAACTACTTACCATGACCATGTGCACTGCTGCCATCCAGCCCAGTCCACCTTCTCTCCCCAGATGGTTGCAACAGCCTCCTTACTGCTCATGCTGTCTCCATCCTTGTCGCGTTCCCGAGAGCACTGCATGTAGCAGCCGTGGTGATCCTTTTCCTGCCCCCATCTCTGCTCTAGATTCACCCATAGCTCCTATCTTACTTAAACCCTACGTCCTCATCATCACCCCCTTGATACCTTTCTAAATCTCTAATACCATCTCCTACTGTGATATTGTAATTTTAATAAAAAGTTTATATTTGGTCTTCCTTCTCATTTCTGGCACAGAGTTCTTAAAACCCTTGGAATTTTCTGAGTGATGAGAGCAATAATGACCTATGACTATAACTAACCATTTAATTAGAGAGTTAGAACTTGTAGTCCGACTCTGGAGAGAGGAAAGGAGAGGGGTTGGAGATTATCACCAAAGGCCAAGATTTAACCAATCATGCCTATATAATGAAGCCTCAATCAAAACCCAAAGGACAGGGTCTGGCAAGCTGCCAGTGGGTAAAGAAATGGAGACTGGGGAGAGTGGCGTGCTCAGAGAGGGCCTGAAATCTCTACACGCTTTCCCCAGACCTTGCCCTGTGCATTCCTGGCTCTTCCTGAGTTATATCCTTTTCTAATGAGCTGCTGAACCAGTAAGTAAAGTGTTTCTCTGAGTTCCATGAGCCTTTGGCAAACTAATTGACCCTGAAGAGGAGGCTGTTGGAACCTCTGATCTGTAGCCTGTCAGTCTAGTCCAAGTGACAAAGTAGACTTGGCTATCAGCATCTGTTGGTGAGGAACAGCAGTCCTGCAGGACAGAACCCGTAACCATGAAATCTGATGCTATTTCTAGGTAGATAGTATCTGAATTGAGTTGAATTGTAGGATACCCAGATGGTGTTGCAGAATTGCTTGGGATGAAACCCACCTCCACCCCACCCCTCACTACTGGAACTGAGTGCAGAACCTTTGCTACCATTTTCCCTTCACTCACTCCCCCTGGTTCAGCCCCACCATCCCTTGGGCTCATGGAGCATGCAAGCAGTTGTGTTCCAGGACTTCTCCACTAACTCCTCCTGCTACCTGGAGCTCTTTTCCTTGGCCCCCTCATGGCTTACTCCCTCGCTTTATTAAGGCTACGTCTTGGTGTTACTTGATCAGAAAAGCCTTCTCTGCCCATTTCTACCACCTTCCCATCACTCTCTATCCCTTTACGCTGAATATCTTTCTCCTTGTCATTCACACAGCTATTTACTATTGACTGCCCTACTCTCTAGCCCCCATCAGATGTAGGCTCCCTGAGACCAGGGACCTAACTGGTATGTTCACTGGTGCATCTCTAGGTTTTAAACCATGCCTGGCACATGGTAGTAGATAATTATTCGTTCAAAGACTCCTGCCTACTCAGGGACAATCACTGTTAATGCCAAAGGACACATCTTTCATGTCTTTTTCTAGTTGAATATGCACAGGTAACTTTTTAAAATAAAAATGTGATCATCCTCTTCATGTTATTTCATAAGATATTTTTTTACTGAATTATTTGTGAATATCTTTCATATTTTTTGCAATATCCTATTAGATAACTACAAAGCATCCCATTGTATGGTTATACCATAATTAATTTAAATATCTCTTATTATTGAATAGTGAATTTATTTCCAGATTTTTGCCATCATGAACAAAATTTTGGTGACTATCGTTAGATTCAAAGATATATATTTATATATATATAGTATTTTCTTGAAATAAACTTCTAGAAGTATTTTTTCTCAAATTTCCCTGTCTTACCCTTTATATTCCCAACAGTAGCATCTGAGAGTAATTGTCTAACTATCCTCACCAGTGTTAAGTTACCATTTTTCTTTTGCCAGTTAGCCAAGTTTTTGTTTGTAATTAATTTGAGATATTAATAAAGTTAATTATTATATGTTATTACTTATTTGTATTTCTTTTTTTGGCTTTGTGTTTCTACCCATAGCCACTTAAAAAAAATTGAGATACTAGATTTTTATCCATTTCTAAGGACTCTTAATAAAATAAGCTTTGTTGTTTTTTTCCCAGTTAATCATTTAGGCAGGGATTGAAGGAGCTAGACAAATGGAGATGAGGGTGGAAAGGGGAAGGACACCCAGACTTAAGGACTATCCTTGCTTTTACCTTTTTCTTGTGTCCCAACTTCACATTTCTGACTTTCTCCTGCATAATCTCCTGGCACCCCAAACCGCATGGCCCAAAGTCATTGTACCATTTTCTCCCCCAGGTGATGTCTTTCTACTGACTTTTCTCTTTGTACTCATGGTATTACTCTTCTCTCTTCTTCTCAGCCCAGAAACCTCCTAGTCATAGTTCTCAGTCTTGTTCCCTTTCCCATGGCCAGTTTAGACCTTCAGATTCTTGAAATGGGTTCACTGTCTCTGTATTCTTTCCATTCTGCTCTCTCTTGTACACTTCCACAAAATTAAGTGTTCTGAAGCCTGACTGTGTCATTTCTCTGCTAGAATACCCTTTAATGTTTCCCCATTATTTACCTAATACCTTATAGTGGCATCAGATGTCTTCAAGGGCCAGAAAATCACCTGCTCTTTTCCATTTATCACTCACCCCATGGCTTTGTGGTCCAGTCTGTATTCTTGGACCATACCTGCTCTCTCCTGCCTCTGTGTCTTTAAGTTATGCTATTCTCTGTCCCAGAAATTCTCGTCCTCCCATATTTGTCTATCAATACACTTCTCAAGACTCAGATCACATGCTGCTTATTTTTTGAAATCATCTCTCGTCATGCGATCCAGAAGGGATGACTCTCTCTTTCACACTTTCAAAATACTTGATTTGTCCCTTACAAATAATACAATTGTTTTATTGACTTGCCATTTATGTTTGTGTTTTATTTACAAGGATTATAAACTCCTTGATGCCAAGGATTTTTGTCTTTCTCTTTTATACAGCTTCTAGTACCAGGCCTTGCACATAGCCAGTGCTCAATAAACTTTGTCAATAAGTTAATGGAAAGTGAACAGCTCAGAAATTGTATTATAATCCCACATGAAAGACTAATTGAATGTCATTTTCATAACCCTTCTTTCACATCAGCTGGGTAGTGGATCAGCAAAACTGGGGTTTGTTCCTTTCTATACATCTGGTTATTTACAAATGGGATTGGATTGGGATAAAATTGTAAAGTTGGAAAAGATTACCTTGTTTTCTCCTACCTCCCTACCTGTTTTCAGACTGATCTCTCCGTCTTCTTGACTTCAAAGTGTACTTACCAAATCTAGCTATCATTCTCTAGAGAATAGTTCTCAAACTTGGTTGCACACTGGGGAGTTCATAAATTTCTGAAGCTCAAACTAATGAAAACTGATCTCTGGGGGTGGATGCAAGCATCAGTGTTTGGTTTTACAACTTGCCAGGTGTCCCCAATGTGCAAGCAAGGTTGAGAATCACTGTAGTAAGGAGTTCATTCATAACCGTCCTGTATATCAGAATCACCTGGGGAACATAAAATCAGGCCGGAGCCTACCTTCCATCAGCAAGCCCCATCCTTTTGCTCCTTTATGAGCTCTCCAGGTTAATCTGGTCCATACCCATGTGTGAGAACCCCTGTTGATGTTACCTCTCCTAGGTAAGATCAGAGAGCCTGATTAAAACCCATGGGTTTATTCACAAGGCCCTAGGGAGTGATGTTCATTGGTGGGAATTTCATGAAGTTTCCTTTGGGAACACGCCTGGTCACATGATGAAAATGTATTTACAGACATATATTCATAATAGCATTTCCTCAATGTGAGATAGACATTTACTCAAAGATTTAAACTATTTTCATCTTGGCTGCAAAACTATACATTTTTAGTGCAAAGTAATTTAATTTTTGGAACATGATGACAACTATTGTTTCTGTCAAATAAAACAAAAAATTGGAGAGAATGTGATGTATAATGTACAGCTGTGGGGTAAACCCTAGCTATACTACTCCTCTATCTGTAAAGACCTGACTGTCCCTGGAGTAGGTGAAACATAATTCTGTAACATTGGATGCTATTTCTGTTAGAGCTTAAGGTGGGATACTGTACAGAGTATTTGGGTTTCCTTTGGTCATGGATAAAAGTGGACTCAAAGGACTGCCCTTAATGCTGGTAAAAGGATGTATGAACTTGAGACCATTATTATCTGATTATCCATCTGAATGCTTCCAACGCTTAGAAAACCCAACTCCTGTCTTCTTCTCCCTGGATAGATATTGTGCAATTGTTCACTTTTTACATTGTTGCTTGCTATTCATCGCCACTCAGATTCATCTGGCACATTGCATTTCTCTCTTTCTTTTGAATGTTTTCATTTTGGGTGAGATGCTTTCTAAAATTTCTTCCAGTTCAAAAAAGTCTATGTTTCTGACCCATTGGATTCTCAACTTGAAATAATCAGGTTTTTGTCTTCAAACATGGCACTCTTAGCAGGGTTATCTCAGCAGAGGATGAGCATGTTTGCCCTACTTTTGATTTTTCCATGTATTTTCCCAGACAGGCTTTGCATTTTGAAAGGTTTTGCAGCAACTGAGTACCTAGGTCATAATCCCTGACAGAGAGTAGGTGTGTAGCTTCTAGAAATGTTTGTGTAATATATGTTGATTTTATTAACAAGCAACTTAAACATTTCAAGCTTTTTAAGCCTTTGTGAAAATTTTAAAGGCCTGCAAAAAGGAAATGGATATCATTAACACTAATGACATATAGCTCTCTAGTTATTTTGTTTTTACTTTATTTCTTGTTTGTGGTTATTGCCTAGCAAATTTAATATCTCTTAGTGAAGTAAGGAAAGACTGCATTTCCTTCTATCATAAAACATTATTTTGCAAAGTGACTACATCAGATACATGAGTGCATCTCAGGATTTATTTAAAATGGGAGATACAGCAGGGAAGTTTCAGGTGAGTGAAATATTCCTTTTGTTTGATAACTGAAGAAATCTGCAATTTGAAATGTGCTTATAACTTTCTTCCTGCAGGATTCTTTTGTGTTATTGTCATTTTTAACACATGATATGAAACATGCCTATTTACTTTTCCTTCTGATAACACTTATTTTTCTCTGATTCCCAAGAAAATGGAAGCACTGTTTTCATATTATCAAAGTACAGTTGTGTGGGTTGTAAGTATTGTTGAGCAGCAGAGGGCACTGTGGAGCAGAGACCACTGGAGAAAAAGGTTTTTGATAGTGGGCAGTGCCCTGGCTTCTGTTGATTAGTGGTTGTCTTGTATTATCAAATTACATGGTCCAAGTCCCTGTTTCATTGAAAGAATCTACAAGCATATACATAGAAAGGAGAAATAGGCAAATAATAAAGATGAGATTTTTTTCCATGTCTGCCTGATAAATGTTTCTTTTTAGTAGAGGGCCAGTGTCAGGAAATAGGTAACAATTTTTTTTTAACTCACATACCATAAAATTCACCCTTTCAAAGTATACAGTTCAGTAAACTCTAACATAGTCACAAAGTTGTGTGACCATCGCCACTATCTAATTCCAGAACATTTCATTACTCCAAAAGGAAAGCCTGTACCCATTAGTAGTTACTCTCCATTCCCTTCTCCCCCTAGCCCTGCCCAACCACAGGAGCTACTGTCCGTCCCTGTGGATTGGCTTATTCTGGACATTTCATATGAATAGAATTATAAAATATGGGGCCTTTTGTGTCTGGATTCTTCCACTTAACATAATGTTTTCAGGTTTCATTCACATTACCGCATGCATTGACACTTCATTACTTATATTTATATACACAATTTTTTTATCCATTCATCAGTTGATGGACATTTAGGTTTTTCTTCTGCTTTTTCACTATTATGAATAATGCTGGGAACATTTGTGTTACAATTTTGTGTGTGAACTTATGTTTTCATTTCTATTGGGTATATATGTAGGAGTGGAATCTCTGGGTCTTATAGTAACTGTATTTAACTTTTAAGTAGCTGCCAAACTGTTTTCTATAGTGGCTGTACCATATTACATCCCAACCAGAAATGTATGAGAGTTCCAATTTCTCCATATCTTCACCAACACTTGTCTTTTTTATTGTAGTCATTCTAGTGGGTGTGAAGTAGCATTTCATTGTGGTTTTGATTTGCATTTCCAGGAAATAAAGTCATGTAGGATTCAGGCATTTATTTCAAAACCCCTGTCCATCTTGCTACATTGATCTAAATATACCATCCTTCCTCTGGGTAGTCTGTTTGGCTGTAATGGAATGGATTTTAACAGTGCTTTTTTCTTCCCTCACCCTTTCTACTTCCGCCCCTTTCTCCTAACCAGGTGCTGACGAGGTTGCTTTTCTTATGGGCATTAACTCCTCTGAGTTGGTGAAGGGCTTAATCCATCCTAGGATCAAAGTTGGTATTGAAAGTGTTTCTGGGGGTCAAAACATGGAACAAGTAAGGTGATACTTCAACAGCATTATGATTCTGTGGTCTTGTAATTACTCTATACATAGTGTACTTGTTATTTTTCAGATTCTGATGATGTCTGCACCAAAAGCTTCTATAAAAAAAGCAAAAAATGAGCTATTGTGATGAGTATTCCAAATGTTTTTACTGTTGATACATACATACCACTGTAAATGCTCTTGTGTTAAGTCTTTCTGGTCTGAAATATACTGTTTTGACAGTTTTCCCTTAGGTAACAAGTCTCTTTGCTAATGTAGGCAAGCACTCTACTTGTTGTGATCAACATCTCTCCTGTCCAGCTAAGAAGCTTTCAAAGCTGTTAGTTCCTGACATGAATAAAATTGGCAAATTGGTGTCCCTTACCTGTTTGAAATATTGACTTTTTAGAATAACAGACACATTTGTTGAGAAAGGGCTTGAGAACACATGTTGAAGTTAGTATTCAAAGGGAGGGACAATTGAGAACAGAAATGAGAAATGGAAGGTCCTGTAGGTTTTGTTTAGAGTTCAGGAGAATGTTTTAATGGTAGAATAACAAGTGCTCTGAGGACTGCTGATTCTGAGGTTTTGTCCAAATGCAGTAAATATTCCTAGGGCTGTTGGTAATGAGATCATCTAAGTATGCTAGTGCATTCCAAAATAATAATTTACATCTGTAGTATGTATTAGTCAGCATGAGACAGGTCATGCTGCAGTAACACATACACACTAAAATCTCAGTGATGATAAAATAAATGTTTCTTACTTATACCAAGTCCAATACAGATTGGAGAACCTTCTTCCATTTTGCAGCTAGGCCACTTGGAACACCTGGCCTCCAAAGTTGCTGTACAAAGAGAAAAGATAATTTGTGGAGAAAGGACACCCATATTAACTGCTTGGAGCTAGAGTGATATCATTTCATTAATATTCTGTTGGTGAGAGTTAGTCATTTTATCCTTTAACTACAGGGGGCTGAGATGTAGTCTACCTGGGAAGAGGAAATGATATGATCACATATAAGATGTATAAGGCATTCACAGGTGTTTGCTCCTTCTATTCTTAAAACAATGCTCAAAGGTAACTAAAGCAGCAGTAATTGGCATACTTTTCCAATTGAGGAAGTTGAGAATTAGGAACATAAATAACATTCCAAAAGGCACATGGCTACTTTTCGGTGGCACTTAGATTGTCTTACTCTTTGTACATCCTTAATCTGAAAATGAGATTGACAACATACATATTTGTGATAGAAGACAGTTGTTTCGGCTAGAATAAACTCTATTTCCTTTGTTAGATTAAGACATCTGGTATGACTATGTTATTTAAGGTATTTCAACTACTCAAAATTAAATTCCAAGCTTAGCTTACAATATAAATCAATCATTCTACCTTTACCATAATGCTAATTATAGTGAATCAATGTGTTTACATTTTTGTCCTTCCTGTTAATCTGAGCTCCTTGAGGCCATGCACTGTGCCTAATTCATTTTAGTATCTGCAGCAGCTAGCACAGTGCCCTGTGCACAGTAGGTGCTCCATAAATGGTACAATAAACTAAATATCAGACTGAACTTGAACCATGATCAGTGGGAGAAGTAGTTGAGCTATTTCTCGGTAGTGAAGTTAGAGGGATTTGGCAGCTTTTTCTTTTTAAGACATACACCACAACATGCAGGCATGACATGCTATGATTATAGAACAAGGACTTGCTCTGTGTAAAACTAATGAGCCCATAGGAGGACTGCAATCAGACCTTTGCCTCTTTAATACTGTGTTCTCAGGGACTAAGCTAACATACCAGCCTTTACTATAATAGAGCCAGTGAAGCAAGTTAATATATTATTATTCAACATAAAAGAGAAAACCGTCATCCTCCATCCTCTCCTCTCTCTTCCCCTCTCTCCCTCCTCTCCCGGAGACAGAGTAAGAAAGCAAACTGTAAGGCTTTTCTTTTCTTAGGAATTTTTACTGACTTTATAGAGACAATTGCCATTGCTAAAAATAGAGATGTATATGCTCTGTTGATGACAATTGCAAAAGATGGCAAAAATTCTTGCAGTGTTAACAATCTATACAAACTTTAGTTCTAGCTCAAATGCTGCTAACTGCAGGATGGTGGTCAGATTCCTTCATCTCTGAGCACCCCAGTGATGGGGTTGAATTCTTCTGTGTCTCAGTGGAGGGGTAATTGGCATCTAACTGGGACAATTCTTCATATATAAGAGTGTCTTGCATATTGTAGGAGGTTTTGTGTCCCTGCTCTCAGGCGTGAAATGCCCATAGCCCTCTCGGTCTTTATGACAATCAGAGAATGCCACCCCCCCCCACTTCACCAGGCACTCCTCCTTTGCGGGGGACATGCCACCGGGAGTTGAGAGCCACTGCACACGATTATTAGGAACTAAGCTTCCTCAGTTCTAAGAGTTTAGGAGTCCATGAGAGTTCCAACTATGCCTATTAGAAATAAGTTATTATAATTTTAAAATAGTAATAATGATAAAGCAATAGTAGTAATCAGTGCCTGCTACGTATTTTCCGTGGGCACTGTGCTAAGTGCTGGTGGGTACAGACAGCTCACTCACAGAGCAACCTGGCAAAGCCATCTTATTTCTATTTCCATTTTATAGTTAAAGACAGTGAACATGAGAAAGATTAACTACTTGAGGTAACACACTGATAAACACTGGAATGAGGATGTGGAAGTGATAAAAGCAGAAAGAGGTTGGGAAAGGGAAAACTAACATTTATTTGTTACTAAGTGCCAAATGTTGTGCTATATATATTTACATCCTCTGTCTCAGCAACTCTGAGATATGCATATTTTAATATTGTTGTTTTAGGATGAGAAAGGCAGGGGTCAAAGTGGTTAAAATTATGGCCATCTGATGCCATTTCATTTGTGCCGTTTTTGATCTTTCTATCATGCACTACTGCCCCCAGTAATCAAAATCTTCTTTAGGCCTCTTTTAAAATGAGCCAAGAAACAAGTCTATTTAGTCCCTGAAAAATGGAATTCTTACTTCATTGGACAGAAAGTGATGAAAATGACTGATTGGTGAGCAGCATGTTGGTGTACTGGTTTTATTGATCAGCAGACATCATCCCGTCTATGTCTTCCTCTGCCTACCTCTTCAGGCTTTCTCCTTGTGCTTCTTTGCTATTCACTACCTCTGGACAGTTTTTCTCCCACCCTCATTTCTCAGATGATTTAGAATATTGAAATGGGGTGAGCAAGTTAGTCATGTTCTTTTTAAAGTTTTGAAGTGACTGCTGCAGACAGAGTGCTTTCTTCCATGCTCCAGAGGATAAAACTCACTCCTGGGGAGGGTGTGCTCTTGATGCTGATCATAAAAAACTGTGATGCCATCCAGCTATGGATTACTGGGGAAATGACTCAAGATAACTGATAAGAGAGTGGGTGACTCCTAACTAAATCACCACCAGACACCAACGGGCTCCGGCTGTGTGCTCTTTCCTAGGCAGCTGAAGGATGGATGTGATAGGCCTATTTTAAATGTTAAGTGGTTGGAGCATATTTTGCTTCCAGGCTTGGACTATGTCCAGCTGATATTCGCTCCTACTTGAAGTCTATCACCTGCTACTACTGCAGCGACTTTGCATCGTAGCAGTGGGGCCTGACATTTGTACGGCATCCAGGCACAGGGGTTGGAGCTCTCCCCAGTAGGTTATGTTTAGAGCCTTGCCTTTGCCAAACTCCTCCAGGGAGGGGAAATGCAGCCTGAGTTTACCACAGAATCTGAGTTAGATTGGTGTGCTAAATTGCCACTATCCCTATAGGAAGTTGACCCTTGGGAACTAATATAAGAAAGGTGGAAGCTGAGGCTAGAAGGAACCAAGCACATCATTCAGGTGAAGATACTGCAGTTCAGAGAGGTTATGTCACTGGCCTTAGGTTACACAGTTTGTTGGCAGCAGCAAGACAAGGGCTAGGGATTCCCAAACCCTAACCTCCTCAGCCAAGCATTTCTGAAACTTGGTGATGTGTAGAAACTTGGTGGGATTGTGTCAGAGTGCAGATTCTGACTCACAGGTCTGGGACTGGATGCTGAGAGGCTAAGAGTTGGTGTTTCTTTATGAGCTCCCAGGTGATGCCAATGCTTCATGTCTTAGGACCACACTTTGAATAAGTAAGGCTGTATGTAGAACACATTGCCACCTGTCCAGGATTTCTGGTCCTTTAATAATAGGAACATGATTTCCCTCACAAAAGAGTTTGGTAAGGAAGACCCAGGCTAGCTCGCCACCTTATCCATACCCTTCTTCCCCTTTCCCCCCTTTCCCTTCCTTTCCCCTTTCTTGACTTCCTAGCCTCTTTCTACCTTTCTTCTCATTGTATTTCCCCTCACGTATCCCCCTCAGCTGCATGCTAGAACCCCAGGAAGTCTGTCAGTACATCCTGGTGTTACTAGAAGGTGGCTGCTGGTAGAGAATGCCCAGGATGAAAATGAACACTGCTGTCGGATGGAGGAGTGCGCTCAGTGTGACCTCCGTGTGGTCCGTGCTGTTGGTGGCCTGTCCAAGGCAATATGTGAAAGGCTGTTCAAGTGGCTGGTGGCATGAATCGACAGGGCCCTGATACCAAGCTGTCACGGCAGTCCCTCACTGGCATTCTTGACATCACTGGTTTTGAAATCCTGGATGTAAGTACATCTGTTAAGAATGAAGTCAATGCATATTTACAAGCAGATCAGAAAATGTGAACTGTATGTCAGAAAATGTAGTCAAAACATGATGAGATTCACTTGGTGCAAACCCTAAGAGCTCCTTTGGTTGGAAAAAACCTATTATTAATATTAATGAATAATAACTTGTAATGAATAGTATTAATAAATTAAGTTAGCCTTAAAGGTAAACAGAGATAAAGGAATCTTTTATGATTTTGCACTGTAGTATCAAGTGTTACTTTATTGTCACAATCTGTTGTTTGCAGGTATATGTGAAGAAGCTAAGAATTTAGTTGAGCATTTGTTACTTCCTCAGTCTACTTGCCATCGTATGATAGTGGTTATGGTTTTCTTTTCATATTTTTCCAAGTGAACACCAATTTTATTTTTTATTGTGGTGTATTTGGTGATTACAAGTATATATGTTTAAAGTACACAATTTGATGATTCGGTGCACATAGACATTGTGACATAATCTGCACAATCAAGTTGATTAACATATCCACACTGCAAATAGCTTCCATCTTCTCAATTTTATTTTTATCTCTTCTTCCTAGCTAATCACACTTTTGAAATATAACAGCCTTGAGCAACTTTGCATTAATCTTAACCAATGAAAAATTGGTAGTTCTTCATGCAGCACACGTTTGTTCTGGAGCAAGAGGAACATAGGAAAGAGGCACTGACTTAGTCCATGGACGTTGGTCTGGATTTGCAAGCCTGCACAGATCTCGTGGAGAAGGTAATGCGTGTTCTTCTCCGTGTCCATTTTCATTTAAGGAGAATTGCCCTGCTTGCCATGTTGATCCATGTCACGACTCAGGCTCTGCCAGGGGATGGATGGGAAATGGGGCAGGAGAGCTCTGCACATTTTCTTGTAATGGTCTTTGTGTGCAGCACACACAGTGCCCTACCTACACCCTTGCGCCAGTCTCCCTATTCCATCATAGCCGATGCAGACGCAGACTGTCGACGCATTTGCAGCTTATGTACGGCTTCCACCGTTAATGTGTGATGAAACTTGTCGAGATTAAAAATGGTCATGCTCTTGACTTGGAAAAACACAGAGCTGAAAATATGAGCGCTGTGGGGCCTGGCTGATTAACATAAGGTGAATGAGTAGACTCAGAGCAGCTTAACAAAATTTGGCACATTAGCATGCAAACAAACAACTGCCTTAAATCCTCAAGGCCATTGCCTTGCAGGATGTAGTTTGTTCATTTAATTGGACAAGTACCAGTTAGTTTAAGTAATTTATGACAATACTTCATGGCTTATTAGTAAATTAGTTGCAGTGTATGGTTTCTGAATCCAGTGATGTGCCTGTCCTCTGAAATCTTTCCACTTGCTCTGGGAAAGATTACCAGAGTGTGCTGGGGGAATTCAGTGTGGTCTTTCCTGTGGCTTTGTCCATGGGAGCAAGTGTGGCAGTGTGTTAGCAGCTGTATGCGCCTGTGTTCTGCTATAACTGTGGACTGCAGTGAATTCTGGAGACAGGTCTGGGCAGGCCCAAGGCTGGTGCTTTTAACTTTCTGAACACACTGTTTAGCTACACTGTTGTATTTGATTCTTAACAGCATTGCCAGGAGGACCTAAGGTGACCAACTTTTCAATGTCCATTGCAGGTCTAAGATTTTATCAATCAGTGTCCCATCCACTTTACTTGTTAGGCTTTAGATGAAACTGAATCTTCCTTGGAAATAGCCATTATATCCTAATAGGAGTGGAACGTCACACACATTTTATTTATTGGATAGCTAGTGAGTTTTGTAGGGAAAGGACTGGCTGATTAAATAATGATAATAAGCTGATTAAAAATAATAATGACCCACCCAAATGTTGCTAACATTTTTAAAATTAGAAATGGAACAAAAGAACTATGTTCCTCAGAGGAACAGCTATAGCTTCTGGCAATTGTCACCTGTACTATCTACTTTCTCTGATAATGGCAAGATAGTAGTTTCAGGCAGGAAGGTGGGATATAGACAGTTCTGTGAATGTGACTGGTTTTTAGTTGATCTGAAGCCCATTGTCTCACTTATGCCAGGCTGTTATTCCACATAATATACTAGCATTATGGTTGTAAATTCCTGTTGTATTTTCTACTGATAGGGTAAAATGAGAAAAGCAAAACAAAACAACACAACTGACCAGATGACAGAAAGAAAAGATAAGTCTTTAGCTTCCTATGGTTGACTTCCTATAGATTTTTGTATTTTGTATGAAAAGTATTAAGGTCAAGCCAATGAAGAATAGCAAAACTTTGAATAGCAAAGCATATATACTTTGAAAAGATCCCTTGTGTTGGTTCAGGCTATATGAAGAAAATGTGTAGTAAATCTTAGTAATATAGAATAATATTGAAATAGAATGCATCATGGAAAGTTTTGAAAATTCAAAGGAACTAAAACACATCAATATGTACAAACTGTCTTAGGCATGTGTGTGTGTATACAAGGAAAAGGGGTTTTCATACATAAAAGTTTTAAGTTTTTATGTTTAAAAAAAATTTACATCAAACTAAAAAATTGTATTTTAACACCAGCTTTTAATTGTTAATTGGTCTTCAAGCATACAGTGACCTCCTTCTCTATATGTAGAGAACAAATAGTGAACAAATTTTTTATAGGATTATCTCACACTTATTTCATTATTTGAAATATTCTAGTTTGTTTGGAACTTAAGCATCAATAGTTTACAATATTAAAGTATTAACATGATTAGATATTTATGATTTTACATAGGTATTGGTAAAGAGATTATTTCTATTTTTTAAGAAACAAGTATATCTGAAATTATACCTTTAAAAACTTGTTGCCCCTTTATTGTAATCACCTTAGGAGGCTACATCTACCTCCCAGTAAGTCAGTCCTTTTGGAAAAAGCCCTTCACAGGATGGGGGTTAGCAGAAGGTTTTAGAATGTTACCACTTTGAGAGAAAATTATCTTCAATACTAATCATCTTACCTGTTTTTGAGACCCAACTGTATCCTCTAGCTTGATCTTATTTTCACCGTATTTACCTAACTTTGCCTGAATAATTTGTTTTCTGTATAGTGATGCATTGTCAGACAACAGGAATTTTCCATGTGCCAATAGTTAATGGTGTTAGGTAGCCCATAGAAGCTTCTAAAACATTTTCAGTCCTGATAGCATCTTGTCAATAAGTGTTGTTTCCTCCCAAATGGGGTTCTTTGGATATGCTAATTATGGTGTTTTTAATTATGAAACAAATCACATTAATATCTAGTCATCGCTTGTAAGTACATGAACATTTTCTCTAAACATACAACTCAATGCTTTTTTGTTCACAGCTCTTACTTTCTGTTTTACTACCGCTCACAGCAAAGCAGCCCAGGTCCCAAAGCTCGAACATGTATATCTTAGTGTTCACTTGTCAGTTAGGTACTCAACAGAAATTTGCTGAGGACCTACATTTTAATGCAATAAGAAATTCAAATCAGAGACATCATCTTGGCACTCCAAGAACTTAAGGTATAATTGGAAAGATGGCTTAAGACCAAAACTTTTACTTTTTTTTCCCCACTAAACAAACACATTTATTTAGCAACTATTTGTTTTCATCACTTCCTTGACAATCTGTTGGTGAGGGAGGGATTTGTGCCCTAGAGTTACTGGTATGGCTGAACATATGATACCCAATGCTGGACAGATGAGATTGACAGCAGCTTATTAGTCACATAAACACAGTCTGGGGTAGAGGACACTGTGTGCCACTCAGTGCCACATGGTGGTTGCACTCCTGAACAGAATGAATAAGCAGATGCTGTGGGAGGCAGGCTTTGTAATAGTAATAGGGTGAGGTGACTGTTGGTTCCCACAGGAGGATATGATTGGCTTGTTTGAATAATTCTACATGCTGGCAGGCAACTGAAACCCATTCCCCAAGGAGAAGCAGGCACTGTGCCTGGTCCCACCATTAGAAAGGTTTCTTGACTAGCAGACCTCACCCACAGCACAGTGGGGAAAGGAGCTTGTGATCAGATCACTTGAGGCCCTCCTGGTTTTCCCCAGATGTCAAGGCACATATAATGTTGGGCCTTCATATGCTGCTTAACAGTACACTACTGCGCATGGGATTTAAATGAAATGTGGCAGAAAACTTAAGCATCTGCCACAAGCAACACTTGTCCTTAGGAAGTATGCAGTCAAGAAGGAGATTCACAAGTCTAATTAATGTAAAAGTATGTGTCAAGATGAATGCAGTAGAGGCCTAGAGACCCGCAGATCTCAGAAGGGTCTGGGAAGGCTTGATCTGGGTTGGGGGTAGAATTTCAGCTGAATCTGAGGAAACGGGAATGATCTCGGCAGGTCGGGGGAAGAGGGTGAGCAGGTGGAGAACTTGGTGAGAGCAAAGACATAGCAACAGGAAAGCAAAGGACTGGTTCTCACATGTCACGCAGCTTAGTTAGAGTATGGAAAGCACAGAGGAAGTGGCTGGAAGAAAAAAAGGAGTCAGATTGTGAAGGGATTTTAATTAATTTATATCTTATTTTTTGGTGCTGGGGAGCCAAAGAGGGCTCTTCTCTGGGCAGTGGGGCCGTCAGAGCAGCTTGTGTGTGTTTGTTCTGGTGGGATTGTGTACAGTGTCTGAGATGGGAGGAAAGATCAAAGCTGAGGCAGTTAGGGAGCTGTTACAGCAGCCCAGGTGGGAAATAAAGAGGTCCTGAGTCAGCACAGCAGAAATGGAAATAGTAAGAAAGTGACAGATGTAAAAGAGAGGAAGGCAGAACTGGTCATATTGGAAGAGGGAGAGGTTACAGCTCTAATGTTCTATAATTAGTGGAATAATTTAAAACAAAGGATTCTACACCACAAACTTTCTTTTAATGTAGCGCCCATCCAGTCTTGACTCAGAGTTGGTATGTTCAACTCAGAGGTTGGGGCAATTGACTCAAACCATTTACTGTGTAATATAGGACAACTGATGTGACAGGGCAGAAGATAGTTACCGTTTTTTCCTGACCCATTTGGAAATTAATTTGCTAGAGGGCCTTATTTTTATGAAAGAGCTTTATGCCTCCTGAGCACTGGCAAAATGGATAAGACCGTGGAGAAAAAGTATTCCCTCCTCAGTTGTTTAGTTGTTACATTTTGAGCTGTGACATCTACTTGCTTAACATAAAATGTCCATTCATCCCAAAATGGAAGTTGGCTTCATTAGATCCTCTGAGTAATGGCAGTCCTCATGTATGGAAGGTGGTTCTGCTTGAGATGAGGGTTATCCCTCCTTGTGACGGTTTGATTGGATGCCATCCCAGAAGATGCTTAAATTTTTAAGTGATTCATTCCCGTTTTCTTTGAGTGTTGACTACAAGTATGGTATGAAAATATGTGGCCCAAAATGGAGTCCATGCCTCCAAGAACTTAGGCCAATGAATGAGCTATTTATCAGATTCTCCCTTCTCCTCGGGTGTTGATTTCATTTAAAACAGTTGATCCTCACTTAGAACACTTCACATATCCCCTCACTGCATCATTCCCCACCTAGATGCATGGGAAGAAGGAAGATGTCCCAGAACTCTGCAGTATAAGAGTTATTCGTCAGGTGTTGTTCTATACATTTCCTATGAAATCCAGGTTCTAAGTCTATGAGAATATACAAAAGACGTGGAAAACCACAGTCCAAATATTACAATGGTTGACTCAGGTGGATCAAAATTGTGATCTTCAAATATCTGATGATCCGCTACTTAGAAGAAGAATTAGACCCATTTGTATGGCTCCAGTGGGATAATTTAGAACAAAGGATTCTGAACCACAAACTTTCTTTTAATGTAGCACCCATCCAGAGTCTTCACTCATGAAAATATTCAAGCATAAGCTGATCAGCTTTTTTAGAAGGGAATTCAAGGAGCTTTTAGGTGGGTTGGACGAGACCTTCAATATCTCTCCCAAACCTGAGAGTCTATGGTTCTCAGGTTCAAGGAGTTGGTAGAGAATCATGAAATCTATGTTGTTGGACCGTGGGGTCATGTTCTATCTTGGAATTCTGATGACATTTTCTCTGTACCTCTGTTATGTCTGCTATGTAGTCTACATATTATGTACATGTTTTCCTGGTTAGATTCTCTGGGGCCAGAACTGATTCATTCTGTTATTATCTAAAGTGTCTCGTACAGTGATCTGTTCATAGAAGGCACTTCAAAAATATTCATGGAGTAGATAAATGCATATACAGATATATAAATATAAGAATTCTTGATTTTCCCCCAAACCTGTTTCTCCTATTGTATGTATTGTATATTGCTTAAAAGCAGCATCTGTTACCTAGTTGCTGAAGCCAAAAACCTGGCCATCCTCTTTTTATTACACTGCACATTCTATCCATCAGTAAGTTGTGACCCAGCTCTACTTTCAGCCTATATCACATTTCAGTGACTCCCCACAATCTCCAACACCATTACTAGTTTAGACCAGGGTCAGCTAACTATGGCCCGGTGGGCCAAATTTTAATGGAATATTGTCACATTCATGTTATTTACATGCAGTCAACTGCTGCTTTCAGGGCTGAAATGGCTGTGTAGATGGCCGAGGTGTCAAAGACTGCATGGCCCACAAAGTCTAAAATATTTACTATATGGCCCTTTAGAGAAAAGCTTTGCTGACAGGGGTCATCAGGATCTCTTACATAACCTTTTACTGTTTTTGTTTTTACATCCCTTTAAAAACCATTATTAGCTCATTGGCTTTCTAATACAGGTCCATAGGCATGGTCTGGCCCACAGGCTTTATCTCATCAGTCTTTGTTCTAAAGAAATGATCCTTTTCAAGCATAGTTCAAATCACATCCCTCCATGTTAACAATCCCTCAAGGTGTCCCATTATGCTTAAAATAAAATCCAGTGTCTTACTATGGCCTGTAAGGTCTCCCGGACCCAATGCTGCTTACCTCTCTGACTTTATCTTGTACCATGTGCCCTGTCCGATTAGTTTTGCTCTGCCCACTCTTCACTCTGGCAGGACCTCAAACTTGCCAAGTGTGCTCCTGTCTCAAAGCTTTTGCACTTGTCATTTCTCTGCCCAGAATACTTGTATGCAGATCTCGGAATTTGCTCTTTTTGTTCAGATCAGAGGGTTTTACCTGACTCTCCTACTAAAACAGCTTCCATTCAGCATCCAGGATGTTCTCCCCTTACTTGGCATGATTTCTTCAGGGCACTTATGTGAAACTAAGTTATTTATTTTTTGTTTACTTGTCTATCGTTTGTCTGCTCCACTAGAATGTAAGCACCCTGAGCGTAGGCTCTTTCTGTACACTGGCAGGTTCATGGTTACACTGCTAGCTCCTACAGATGCCTGGCACCTATTAAGTATTTTAATAAATATTTATTGAATGGATGATCAACTGGTAATGTGTAGTGAATATCCTTTCCCCTTGTCAACTGATTAAGATCCTGGGAAAGAATGTGAACTGACCCCCTACTGAAAATACTGTTTCCTGGTGATTTTTTCATCTGTTGTTCATATAGACTTCCAATAGCCAATGGGCATCTTTTCCATCCTTGAAGAGGAATATATATTTCCTTAGCCTACAGATGTGGCTCTCAAAACCAAGCTTTTTGACAACCATTTGGGAAAGTCAGCTCATTTCCAGAAGTGTGAGCCTGATAATAAGAAGAGATATGAAGCTCACTTTGAACTTGGGCGTTACTCAGGAGTGGTAAGTTACCTCCAGATCCTTAGACCTGAATTTTCTTCACTCTATTTCAAATGCAATCAGCCAAAGTCCTTAGATAATATATAAGCAAAGTTTAGATTAAATGAAGAGGTGAATAAAATAAATCTCAGTTCCAGAAAAAAAGTTAGTGTAGCCTTTTAGTACTTCAGAAATGAAATACCAATACTATAATAGTATTCCATGTGCACAGAGGTCAAAAATCTCAAAATAGACCCTGTTATCCCAGCTCAAAGTAAGACAGCTTCAGAAAGTCACAGAGATCTTCAAAGTCACGGGTTTTTCCTTATTTGTCCTCCTTTTTAACTTAACATTGTGTGAATGAATGATTTCAAATGATCTTTTCTTTGAAGTATTTTTTATTCTCTTATAAAGAAATCACCTCTGTGAAGTAATGGTCTTCAAACTATGGCCAATAAAGGTTTCTAATGACTCTCCCTGTCTGTCCTCATTTCCCCACTGGTGAGTGTGTATGTGTCCCCCGACCCCCTTTTTTTTTTCTGCTTTTCTGTTTCTGATCCTGATCAGTGATTCTGGATGGTGTTAACAGAAAGAGAACTGATAAAGGACAAAAAAATATTTCAAACCAAAAATTACCTGTCAACTATACATAGATGTACTTGTTATTCTCTTTGATATCCTTGAACTTTAATTATAATGATATTTACAGTAAAACACCATTATAATTGCTGATGTTTCTTTGAATATTGTGTGTCAGAAACAGTTGGATTATTTAATCTATTTTTGCCTATGAAGGAGAGCTGCTGTGAATTGTTTCTACAGGAAATACTATACAGTTCTTCCTCTCTCAGCCTCTCCACCCCTTCTCTTCCTTTTTTTCAACCATGTAAATGGTACTGCCTGAGAATCTCTTTGGGTTGCACAATGGACTCCTGCAGTATTAATTCAGTACTGTTACATCAAACTGATTTAAAGTTAAAGGACCCTTACAATTTGTGATTTTTTTTGAAGGACTGCACAATTTGCTATGTTAATTTATGTATTTTCCTCTTTTGTTACCTGAATTGCATGCCTTTCCAAAGGTGCCTTATAACATCAGTGGCTGGCTTGAAAAGAAGAAAGATCTTAATGAAAGAGTGGTGACTGTTTTTCAGAAGTCATCCAACAGACTCCTGGCAAACCTTTTTGAAAATTATGTCAGTACCAACAGTGGTGAGTCGAACAATGTTCCCTAATTTTTCTGCTTCAGAATGGAACCCATGGCTGCCTCAGAGCTTATAGAAATCCTTGCTTCTTTCCTGTGATAGCTGAGTCTGTTGCTGTGGTCTGAGTCATCCTCTCTTACTAGTCTTTCTATCCTCAGGCTGGCAGTTCTTTAGGGAAAAGGTGCTTTAAGATAGATATATTTCAGGAGCCTGCTCTGGCCTGCTTTTATCTTCTACTAGACCCAGCTGCAAAGGAAGAGCAACAAACCATGTTTTATAAATGATTTTGGGGAAATAACAATCCTATTTAATATATATTCCCCAAATATCTTGGAATTCTCCTTTACAGTGCTTTTATGTTATAGTGCTTTGAGAACCTGATATACAAACTTCATGAGGGCAGGCATTATGTCTGACTTTCTCAGGTGCAGCCTCAAGCATGTAGCAAATGATTGTTTAGCAGGCACTCTGTAAATATTTTCTGACCAGCTAATAAGTAGTCTCATTTAGGTTTGTAATTTATAAAGCACTTTTAGATACATTATCTTATGCAATCCTTGCCATGACCCTTTCAGACACATGCAGAAAGAAATCTCTCCTTATCTTACAAGAACAAGTACAAAAGAGTCAAGTAGCACCCTTAATTTCCTAATTACACTTAAAAGAAAACTGAGACATAATAAAAACTTTGAGAGCTTATTTGAGCAAAAATTGATTCAAATTGGGCAGAGCCATACAAGAAGTTGTTAGGAGCCTCCACACCCAGGAGCTCAAGGGGAGACTCTTACAGAGAAAAGGAGAAAGCAAGGTAAGACAATTACTGATTAACTAAGTATAACTTAAATCCTAGCTGGCTGTTTGTGATTGGTTGTCTTTATCATTTGATTTCATAACCTTGAGACCTTCCAGGTTTAGATGTTGGTCTGCTTACATAGGCCTTTGTGAAATTGCAGCCACCTCAGTCTAAGGCCTCCTTGTTTAATTAATTTAATATTACTAAATGGCAAAGCCAATGTAGGAAGCAGGACTTCTTCTTCCTAGCCTGGTGCCAATTCCATTCTCACTGGCTTCCAGAAACAGACAAAACAGAGTTATGGACAGGCTACACATGTTTAGGATATAATTCAGACTATTGCATCATGACTCAAAGGATTTGAAGATACTGAGTCCAGCTTGCTAACATCTACCTTGCAACTGGACTAATGCTGGCTACAGAGGAAGTTCTCCATGATTCATAGCAAAAACCACAGATTGGCAGCCCCTGAGTAGAACCTGGCCTTTAAATAGACATATTTTGTTTGATCCACATAGGTAAAAAAAAATCAGAAGGGTAGAGAAATACAAATCAAAACCACAATAAGATATCACTCCATACCATCAGAATGGTAATTATCAATAAGACAAGAAAAAACAAATGCTGGTGAGGATGTGGAGAAAAGGGAACCCTCCTACACTGTTGGTAGAAATGTAAATTGGTACAGACACAGTGGGAAACAGTATGGAGGTTCCTTAAAACACTTAAAATAGAAATACGATATGACCTAGTTAATCCACTTCTGGGTATCTACTGGAAGAAAACAAAATCATGAATTTGAAAATATATATTTATTGCAGCGTTATTTACAATAGCTAAGATATGGAAGCAACCTAGGGTTCATTAATAGATGAGTAGATGAAGAAATGGTATGCATATACAAATGGAATATTATTCAGCCATGAAAAGAATGAAATCTTGCCATTTGAAAAACATGGATATGTATTATGCTAAGTGATTAAGCCAGAGAAAGACAAAGACCATATGATTTCACTTAATGTGGAATCTAAAAAATAACAAATGAACAAACAAATAAAACAAGTAAAATCATAAATACGGGAAACAAACTGGCCATTATCATAGAGGAAGGTGGTAGAAGGATAGGCAAAATAGGTGAATAGGATAAAGAGGTAGAAAATTCCAAGTATAAAATAGGGTAATATGGGTATGAAAAGTGCATAATAGTCAATATTGTAATAACTTTGTGTGGTGATAGATGGTAACTGCACTGATCATGGCGAGCATTCAGTAAGGTATATAAATGTCAAGTCATTATGTTGTATACCTGAAACCAATGTAATATTCTTTATCAACTATATTTCAAGTATTTTAAGAAGTATTTAAAAAATCAGAAGTTTCCACATATATATTTGGATTCCCTTCTTCTTTCAAAAAATGAAAATTTTAGGAAAGTAGAAAATTTGACCAGCCTTGGTTGAGATACCCTTGTGGCAATGGGAAATGTGGTTCTTTAAGTACATATTCTTCCTAACATTCTTACTCATCTATTAGGTTATATCCAGTTTCAAGTGAACTCCGGCACCTGTAGGCTGATTTGGGGCTCCTGATTGACACGGTCAGGGATTGGAGAACCTGACACTTCCTGGCTCCATTAGCACATGATGATGTAATGCAGGATCGTGTCTGAAACCCTGTTGGCCTGTCTAAAGAGGAGGTTGAGAAATGGATGTTACTGTGTTTGGACCCTGATCATCTTCAGGCAGTTCATTTGCTGATTCTAATAGCTTCTAAAGTGCCTCTGAGAAATATGATAGTGGCCACAATAAGCTTATGCCTCCCAGATGAGTAATTCTCTGATCATAAGAGATGAGAGAGTGGTTTGGGTAGAGAATTAGAGAGGAAATCATCTTCTAACTCTTCAGGGTATGTGCTGTGTTCTTTGGAAGTGGAAGAGAATTGTCCAGAATGTCCTTTTTCCTAATTCTTTAAGCACTCTAGCCTTCAAGTTTCTGACTCACCCAAACATTAGACTACCATAATAACTATACTTTCTTCTGGAAAATTAAAGTACTTTAAACCAGAGTCATAATTCTTTTAAAAAATTAATGAAAGGTAGTATAATTCCCTTTTCCTAATATTCCCAGTATGGGTAGAGATACTGAAGTACATAGAGGTCAGATGATTCACTTGGAGGGACATTACTGGGACATTAGTGATTAAAATATGACACCTGCCTCTGTTTAGTTGCTACTCAGGCACAGAGATATGTTATTAGTTTTTCATATTGATAGCTGTCCCATCTTCTCCAGATTGCCTATGGATTTTGTTGTGTACATCTTTGTGAGTTAGCACTACACAAAGTTTGTAAAACAATTTGGCTTAGCATAGATTCTTTTGCTTTCAGAAAATGGTAATAGATTGCCTTTTTATAAATTAAGAAAGTAATACATGAGTGTTGCCAAGAACATACAATATAGAAAAACTAGAAAGAGGAACACAGAGATTACCTAAAATCTCACAGGTAACAACTGCTAATGGTTTGGTGGCTACTACTTCCAACTGTTCTTTATATGTATAGTCACCAGTAATACCACCACACTTAGAAACATGTCTATATACTCGAGGTCATAATACACTAACTGTTTTGTAACCTAATTTTTCTCTTAAATTAAATTTTAGCAATCTTTCCATGTCAGTTATATGGATCCATGTCATCATTTTAAAAGGTGACAGTGTTCCATTGTACACATGCTCTTTCATCATTTAACTAACCCATCTCCCATTAATGGACATTTACTGATAATTTTATTTTTTGCTTAAATTTTTTCTTTGCAGTGACTAACAATGCTTCAGTAACATCATTTTAAAAGGTGACAGTGTTCCATTGTACACATGCTCTTTCATCATTTAACTAACCCATCTCCCATTAATGGACATTTACTGATAATTTTATTTTTTGCTTAAATTTTTTCTTTGCAGTGACTAACAATGCTTCAGTAAGTATCTTTGCATAGTTGCCTGATTATTTCCTTAAGGAAAATCACTAGAAATAGACTTCTTATGTTGAGACAAATATTTTTAAAGCTTTTGGTAGATTATGCCATATTGCTTGTAGAACTTGATGAATTTATGCTTTCATCAGCAGGGCATGGTAATATGACAAAAAAGAGTTTTTTAAATACTTTTTTCTTCCTTTTTTAGCTCTACAGTATGGGGAGAAAAAATGCAAGAAAGGAGCTTCATTCCAAACAGTTGCATCTCTGCATAAAGTCATTTGTAATTGCATCTATTCATGTATTAACTGCCTCACAATCTGCATATGTTATTACTTATTTGAAACTTCACATCTTCAAATCTCAATTAGCCAAGTTGGAAAACATGAAGTTTATCCTGATATTATTAGACTTCAGTGGACACTGTTGGTGTCCCACCTCTGTCCCTTTATCAGCCAGGACCTGTCTTCCAGCTGAAGGGAATGCTGGCTCATAACAACTCACAGTTGCCAGAATTGACTGTGGCCAGAAGGGAAGCTGGCCCCTCCCTTGCCTCAAGGGGAGACCAAACTGTGCTGTAACTGGTGCATTATGCTCAGAGATCCTGCAAGGATCAGACTAAGTCCATACCATTTTTTTTCTTCTCATACCCTATCCTACTTCCCCTACTCTTCATATAAATCTCTCAAACCAGAATCCCCATCTTAGGTTCTACTTCCAGAGAATCTGCTGTAAAATAAAAATTTTTCATACAGAAAACTTGAGGGAACAATTTCTTTGTCCAAGCCATTTTATTGCCAACCATAAATTATTGCTATCAAATTCAAAACAGGTGGATATGATTCACAACAGAACTGTGTCTGTCAGATAAATGTTGACTTGCCACAGGAAAGAAAGAATTTATGTTTGGTAAGATGGGAAGAATATTGAATTCATTATTTTATTGTTGATATGCATCTTGGCCTCAAGATTAAGTTGATAGACTTGGAAACATTTGTGAGGTAGATTGGTGTTTTAGTGATTTGCAAAGTGATTTTGTGTCCCTTATGCTCTCTATTTTAGGAAAACCTAAATAAATTGAAGACTAATCTGAAATCAACAATATCTCATTTTGTAAGATGCATAAATCCCAAAGTGAACAAAATGCCAGGTAAGAACTAGACTTCTTTGTAAACCACACTAGAAAATACACCTGACTTAAACTACATTGAATGTCTTTTTAAAGAAATATTTATCTGCCCCTTTTATATAAAGGTAGTTTTTAAAATAAAAAATGAAGTAAGTTAGAAGTGAGGCCCTCAGATCCTCCTTAGGATTGTCTTTGAAATGTACATACAGGAAGATTTCACAAAGCAGGCTCAATTAGGTAACATTAGAATGCTTGATTTACCATAATTCCTCCTTGAATTTTGTGCTAAAACATGGATGAGCTTTTATGCACTGTCTATAAGGGCAAAGTATAATGAAAGGGCATTGGATCATCAGTTGGGGATTAAGGTAGATATTTCAGCATGAAGGAAACTATTTAGACTGAATTACCTAAATTGGCCCCAAGGACAGTTCCTAAATCCATTTCTAATGTTAATAACTCTTTCTAGTCTTCCCTCCCAGTATAATATCTTTCCTCTCCCTAATAGAACCCATGTCTTTAGTTATGTACTGCTGGGCAGTAGATACATCTTTTTTTAATGTTTCTTCTTCCCAGTTTCATTGAGATATAGTTGACATACAGCATTATATAAGTTTAAGGTATAAGCATAATGATTTGACATATATATAATAAAATGATTACTCCAAGTTTAGTTAACATCCACAAACTCATATAGATTTTTTTAAAAAAGGAAAAAAAGTGTTTCCTTGTGATGAGAACTCTTGGAATTTATTCTTTTAGCAACTTTCATATATACCACTCAGCAGTGTCAGCTATAGTCATCATATTGTACATTACATTCATAGTACTTATTTATATTATAAGTTTACACCTTTTGATCACTATCATCCAATCTGTTCCCTGCCTTCCACCTCTGGTAGGCACAAATCCACAAATCTGTTTTCTTTTTCTATGAGGTTGGGTTTACTTATGTTTTTAGATTCCACATTTAAGTGAGATAGGTATTTGCCTTTCTCTGACTTACTTTACTTGGCATAATACCCTCAAAGTTCATCCATATTGTCTCATATGGTAGGATTTCCTCCTTTTCCATGGCTGAATAATATTCCATTGCATATGTATATGCACCACTACTTCTTTATCCATTTGTCTGTCAGTGGACACTTGGGTTGTCATCTTGACTGTTGTAGTGGATACTGTTTGATGAGTGGATGGTAGTAAGGGGATGATGGGAAATGTGGGTGGTGGTAAATTATTATTTCATGTTTCTAATTGCTCAAGCAACATTTTTACAGATATTAACTACATGCATTGCTTTCCCTACATCATGTATTTGATGATACTCAGATTTCTTTTTAGAATTACAGGCTTCTATGGAGCTTGGTTGGGGGGTGTCAGCCTCAAACTTGTGTATATGACAAGCTCTTATGTCTTCAGAGCACTAATCACCCTGGAATAGGTAGCCAGATGTTGCTGATTCTGATTTCTGAGGTTCTGTAGTATTTTGCATTTTTATTAACCTCCTGTAATTAAGACCCCAATCTTGACAGGCTGTGACCTATTTTGGGAACGTGTGATGCTAAACAATGATGCTGCAGCTTGAGCTTTTGCGATACAAACACTTCATGTTCATTCACGCTTTATGTTTTGCCTCATTGTTTCTTATCAGCTGGGTTTCTGAATGCATCTGGGGACACTGCTTCCATCTAGCAAGGAATCTAATTAGCTGCATCTATTTTGGAGCAATTCTGTTACCTATTAGAGTTGTCTCCTATCGAGTTGGCTCTGATTTCAGCAGGTTTCTTTTTAAGACTAAGTCATAAAAAAGTTTCATGTCCTAATCACGGCAGTTCTTCATATGCACTCAAAGAGAATGAGCATGCTTGATCTTACGGTGTCATAGGACTCTAGTTCTGCCCCTTCTTACAGATGATCTGTTTCTATGAAAGGGACTGGAGTACAGGATTATGGATATGAGGCTTAGAGTTTATTTCTGTAACTGTGGGCACAGGCAGAGAATCATCCATTTTTATTATAACACAATGGTAGGCCTTTCTGTCAGAAGAAGGGCTGCTTGGCTTCTTCCAGAAGATTCACTAAAAGCCAGATGTGGTGGTTCCTTGGATGGCTCTTCAAAGGCACTTCTCAGAGCTTGCAGCCACTGTGCTACAGAGGCTTCATCTGGTGAGTGAGGTGTTAATAGGAGGATGCTTATTCTAAATATAAAATATATTAATATTCTAAAATATAACAATGCTATCAATATAATAATGGCAGAATGTAGGCCAGGATGGCACCAAGTCCTTCTGTTGCCAGGCAATCCAATCCAGGGAGACCTCTCTGTGTTCCAGGTGAGACAACCCAGGAAAGGGTTCTTGACTCTGATCAAGAAAGAATTTGTGAGCAGGTCAGCCAAGTGTAGGTAAGGAAGGAATTTATTAAAGCAAGAGTAGCAGGGAATGGCAGCCGCCATGCAGACAGCAGAGAGCAAGAGAGAACAGAGGGAGGAAAGGGAAGTTCCTTGAACTCCTGCTCAGCATAGGGAAGATCCCTTGGCAACCCCTGAAGCCAGGGTTACCTGGCATCCAGTGTCCACTTGATTTGCATGGTGTGGGAACTAAGCCCCTACCACCTCAGAATTTGAGGTACCCACAGAGCACTGGATGGAGTGAGAGTATGTTCTGAGAACTCACAAAAGCAAAGAAAGGAGGTTTTTGGGCAGGGTGTTAAAGAGCATGATTGTGCAGCTGCAGTCCTGTCTGTGGTCAACCAGGTGACGGCAACTCTCAAGCCTAAATAAGAGATCTCCATAGCCCTTCTCTACCTGTCTGAAGCAGAACAGAGGGAATGAAGACCAGTGGTTAAGTCTAGAAAATTGAATGAAATAGCAAAGTAGCAAAGACACTTACCACTAGGAAAGGGGTCTCATTAACCTCCTGATAGGCCTGGAAGAACTCAGGGTCAAAACGCAATAAACTAAGCAGCAAGAAGGTTTTATTTGAAACAAAGTACATGTTCAAAGAAAGGGAATGGGTAGCCTTGGAGGAGATGTGCACCTAAAGGCTTAGGTTTCATGTTTTTAAAGGATTTCAAGAATAGGGTAAAGGGCCAAGGGAACATAGGCTGACATGTGGCCTCATGATGTCTGTGTCCAGTGAGAGTCATTATGTCATTATCCATTGTCTGTCCTCTAGATATTCTGTAAGATAAACTTAACACAAGGAATTTATTGATCCTGCTTCTCCAAGATAGTGGTCACGCCTAAGCAGTGGGAACATACCATTTAGGACTCCTTGTCCTGCCTTAGGATAGGATGGTTGTTGACTGATTACCATAAAGTATGTCAGGAATCTTACCTCCTAACTTCCTGGTTTTAAAAATGGAATCTTAGCCTTAAGATGGAGTCCCTCTTGTTCTTAACATACTAACTATTAATATCTTGGCATTTTCACCATAGGCAGGAAAAATTAATTACAATGCTTGTCCTGTGTCCCTGTCTACCTCACTTCAATAGGGCATGTTTGGGAGGAAGAATTTTCCTCCATCCTTCAGGGTTCTTCTAGCTGGTCTACAAATCAAATTGACATGAGACAGATTAACAGGAAAAATAATCCCAGTTTTATTACAGACATGCAAAGGCCTGATAATGAAATTGAGACCCAAAGAAATGACCAAGGTAGAGCAGCTTTTATACATTTTAGAGAAAGAGACAATAAATCTGTGAGAAATTTACAGGAAAACTTGTATTTAGGAGCTTCGATTAGTAAAGAGTAACAAGATTTGTTTATGCAGCCTTCTGGGCACTGAATTTCCTGTCTCGTGATGAGGATTCCTCTCTATCCTGCAGAGGTGCAGGAGGAACAGCTTTCTCATGGGAGATTTAATCCCTGGTTTCGGGGGGTACAGAGCAGGTCAGAATATCCCTCTTGCACCAGCAATTCTCCAGTTGCTTTAGCTCAAAGCAATCAGTATGCCAGAGTGGCACACCTCGGGGCTGCCTGCCCTTGGTCGCTACAGGCAAAGTAGTAAAGGGAATTTTGTGGTTTTCTCCCTTCTTATAATCCCTTTCCCTACCTATGAAGACTCAGTTCTCCTTTGTGTTTTTATCCCCCTCTCTACCTGGTTTTTGGTTTACAAATAGATGTCACATTGGCCATTTACAGTCTAGCAAAAAAGTATCCTTTTTCATCTTTTAGGAGTATTTGCTTATAAAACTTTGACAAATTGTGAACTGAAGGGTTCGTTCCATTTAAACTAATTTCGGGTAAATACTATTTGGAGACTCCTACATAATAGGACTGGCACTGTGAGTGCCATCAGTCTGGGATCAAGTCAACTATTACAAAGAACTCCAAATGCAAACACTTTAAACCCAAGATGTAGCAATTAGGACAAAATTTAGAGTGATCATTTTTTTAGACACAGACTCAATTTTACCATTTTTCTTCAGGTGTAATGGAACCTTACTTGATTCTACAGCAGTTGCTCGGCATGGTGTTTTAGAAGGGATCAGGATATGCTCTGAAGGTTTCCAAACTGACTGCTGTGTGCTGATTTTAAACAAAGGTAAACATACATCCCAGGATCCATGAAGCCTGAGGCAGTCCGTTCTGTCTCCCTCTCTTTCTGAGTGTTAGGCATGCATTGTTTGTTTAGTTGATGCCCTCCAGACTACAGATCAATGTGTTTTGGTGGTGGCAAGATATATTATGACAGAGTTTCCATTATTAATTCCCCTTAAATCTGACATCCATGTAGCTGTAATATCCTTAAATCTCTATTAATGGATAATAGACCCACATATAGAAGAAATATATACAGAGGAAAGATATGGAGGCTGAATTGAATCTCTGAAATGTTGTACATACTTAATCTAAGCAGGCTGTTGTGTGAGTAAGTCTGAGAAAGGAAGGACACCACCAGGGTGTGCGGCAGAAGGCGGGAGAGGGATTTTGCTTTCTATTTCCCAAATTCTAAAAGAGTAAATTACAGATCATCAAGAAATTTGAGCAAAGTATGGTAGACTAGAAATAGTACCTATCTCACAGTAAGAGGCATATCTCTACTTCTCCACCAACACACCATTAGGGGGAAGGAGTCTTGGAAAAGACATTTAATGTCTCTGCTTTGCAGTTTCCCTATCCGTATAATAGGTACTTAAGCTGGCCTCTTCCCTGTTTTGACCCTCCCCATCTCTCCTTCCCTAATTTTGCAAATAATCAAATGAGGTTGTCTCCAAAGCGCAAAAGTACAAAGCAAGGGCTTATTGCTTGAATTCTCATTATTGTTGCCAAGAGCTTTGTGAAAATTGAATATATTGATAGGAGACAGAAAAGTCTGAACTGCCTTTTATCGCTCTTATCCATATCATTCCTTATTTGAATCACATGACCCCTGACTCCAGGATTTATTCTTTACTTATTTTAAATCACATACTACATTCTGAACCTGAGGGGCTTTCCAAAGGGCAAGTCTGTGAGCAGTAGACATGCAGCTGAAGAACTAGTTGGCTCTTGGAGACAGACCATATCCAGTACCACTTTGAAATCACTAAGGTAACCAAAAAACTACAAAGAATGTATTTGGAGAAGAGTGGGAGGAGAGTATATATTTTCAAATACCCATGAAAGTGCAGTTATGTTAGGGGGTTGAGTTTATTTTCCTCAGTTCTTGTCCCTGCTGCAACAAAGAATTGAAGGGCAGAGACACAGTGGTGAAGCAGAGTAAAAGTTTTATTTGAATGTGCTCCAAGAGAGGAACGGGCTAGAGTCAAGGTGCATAAAGGCAGGTTTACTTGAACAAAGCAGAGAGAAAAGAAAAATAGAGGAAAGGGAAACTCATTGAACTGCTGCTCAGGCATAATCCCATGCCAACTCCTGAAGCCAGGGTCACCTGGCATCCAGTGTCCACTTGAATCTGTACAGCATGGGAATTAAGTCCCTACCACCCCAGGATTTGGGGAAGCCGTAGACCACAGTGGATGGGGTGAGACTATGTTTTGAGAACTTCCCAGAAAGAAATAAAAGAAATTTTCAGGCAGGCTACTAAGGAGCATGATCATAGAGCTGCAGTCACCCAGGAGACAGGAACTTGCAAGCCCAGATCAGAGCTCTCAACAACCCTTCCCTACTTACCTAAAGTAGGAGAGAGAGAGTGACGCACTTGACGGAAGGCTAGTGTGGGCAGCCTCGGAGAGGAGGCGCACTTAAGGGTTTGGGGTCTGAGGTTTTATAGGGCCTTTTTTGGGTAAGGGTCAGTGTAAGGCATGACGTATACAGGTGAATTATAATTCCTTTGGAGTTTTGTCTTAAGAATAGGGCTATTTAGGTAACTATGTTGGTTTGGGACATTAGTATTCTTTGTCCACATAGGTTTATTTATACTTTAGAGGTCTGTCTCCTGCCCTGGTTACAAAATCTCTGCCTCAGCTCCAACCTCTGCTCCCAGCTTCTGCTCTCTTCTCTAGTCTCTGCTCTTAGCATCAGGGGAGCTCTTTTTTTTAAATTCATTTTGTTATCATTAATCTACAATTACATGAAGAACATTATGTTTACTGCACTCCCCCCTTTACCAAGTCCCCCCCACAAACCCCATTACAGTCACTGTCCATCAGCATAGTAAGATGCTGTAGACTCACTACTTGTCTTCTCTGTGTTGCACATCCCTCCCTTTGCCCCACCCCCACATTATACATGCTAATCATAATGCCCCCTTTCTTTTCCCCTGCCCTTATCCTTCCCCTCCCACCCATCCTCCCCAGTCCCTTTCCCTTTGGTAACTGTTAGTCCATTCTTGGGTTCTGTGATTCTGCTACTGTTTTGTTCCTTCAGTTTTTCTTTGTTCTTATACTCCACATATGAGTGAAATCATTTGGTACTTGTCTTTCTCTGCCTGGCTTATTTCACTGAGCATAATACCTTCTAGCTCCATCCATGTTGTTGCAAATGGTAGGTTTGTTTTCTTCTTATGGCTGAATAATATTCCATTGTGTATATGTACCACATCTTCTTTATCCATTCATCTACTGATGAACACATAGGTTGCTTCCATTTCTTGGCTATTGTAAATAGTGTTGTGATAAACATTGGGGTGCATCTGTCTTTTGCAAACTGGGCTGCTGCATTCTTAGGGTAAATTCCTAGAAGTGGAATTCCTGGGTCAAATGGTAAGTCTATTTTGAGCATTTTGAGGAACCTCCATACTGCTTTCCACAATGGTTGAACTAATTTACATTCCCACCAGCAGTGTAGGAGGGTTCAGGGAGCTCTTTTTATAGCATTACCAGCAGTAATGCCTTATTGCCAATGGGTATGTAAGCATACACTTGTGTAGTAGGCTAAGTGTTCCCTCATTGAACATACAATGGGTATCAGGTGAGGATCCTGGGCATGGAACTTCCATTTTCCCTTCAGTGGTCTTGGTATGATCCATATATTCTGGGAAATATGTGACTGATAGATTTGGTTTCATCTGACCATTAACATCAGGTTGTTCCTAATGGCATCTGTACAAGGACCGATTATTTGAAGGAGAATTGCAAGTGAAGAATGTGAAGAGCTCACAGAAAAATTCTGTAGGATATAATTATAAAATGTTATTTGACTCCCAAATTTTGAATATCTGAGAGTCTTTCTGCTGTCTGCTGTTTCTGCTGATTTTCACTTCTGGTGTCAGGTTTTCTTGTGTTTTTCGTGATTTTGCTGTATACTACTCATATAGGTCAGGACTAGTATGAAGTGAGGTAGTCAATCTTAGGGTGGGGTAAGTGCCACCCTGAGAGTGAGTGTTTCCTTAAAATTTGAGCCTTAGAGGCCTCTCACCTCATCTTGATTACTACCAATGATTCTAAAAAATATGTGTATTTCTGTGAATTCTTAATGCCTAGGACAAAAGTGACTTTCTCTAGAGCAAAGGTAAGGTTTAAAGGTTATCTCCATGCTTCATTTTTTTAATATAGCGCACTAGTTAAAAATGGCTTGACATTTTTAAAGCATTGCTTAAAAAAAAAGAACATTCTGTGGGCACTGAATGGGCCTGCAACACCTAAAAATATCTGATAGGGATTGCATTGAATCTGTAGATTGCTTTAGGCAGAATAGCCATTTTGACAATATTAATTCTTCCTATACATGAACACAGGATGTATTTCCATTTATTGGTGTCTTTTTTAAATTCTCTCATGAGTGTCTTGTAGTTTTCAGGGTATAGGTCTTTCACCTCCTTGGTTGGTAATCAAATTCTGTTGTTTTATTCTTTTCAATTTTATTTATTTCTGCTCTGATCTTTATTATGTCTCTCCTTCTATTGCATTTGGGCCCCATTCTTCTTTTACTAGTTTCACTAATTGTGAGTTTAGACTACTAATTTGGGATTGTTCTTTTGTCTTGAGGTATACCTATATTGCTATATATTTTTCTCCTAGAACTACCTTTGCTGTACCCTACAGGTTTTGAGCAGTTGAGTTGTTGTTAACACTTGTCTCCTTATATTGCTAGATTCTGTTTTTATTTTGTCATTGATCCATTGATTACTTAGGAACATGTTATTAAGCCTCCATGTGTTTGTGTACTTTTTTGTTTTCTTTGCATAATTTATTTCTAGCTTCATACCTTTGTGGTATGAGAAGCTGGTTGGCACAATTTCAATCTTTTCAAATTTACTGAGGCTCCTTTGGGGCCTAGTGTGTGATCTCTTTTGGAAAATGTTCCATCTACACTTGAGAAGAACGTATATTCTGCTGCTTTTGAATGGAGTGTTCTGTAGATGTCTGTTAAGTCCATCTGTTCTAATGTGTTGTTCAGTGCCTCTGTCTCCTTACGTATTTTCTGTCTGGTTGATCTGCCCTTTGTAGTGAGTGGTGTGCTGAAGTCTCCTAAAATAAATGCATTATATTCTATTTCTTCCTTTAATTCTGTTAGTATTAGTTTCACATATGTGGGTGCTCCTATGTTGGCTGCATAGATATTTATAATGGTTACATGTTCTTGTTGGATCGACCCCTTTATCATTATGTAATGTCCTTCTTTGGCTCTTATGACTTCTTTGTTTTGAAGTCAATTTTGTCTGGTACAAGTACTGCTGCTCCTTCTTTTTTCTCTCTATTAGTTGCATCAAATGTCTTTTTCCATCCCTTTACTTTTAGTCTGTGTATGTCTTTGGGTTTGAAGTGAGTCTCATGTAGGCAGCATATAGATGGGTCTGGTTGTTTTTATCCATTCTGTAACTCTATGTCTTTTGATTGGTGCATTCAGTCCATTTACATTTAGGTTGGTTACCAATAAATATGTGTTTGTTGCCATTGTAGGCTTTAGATTCATGGTTACCAAAGGTTCAAGGGCAGCTTCCTTACTATCTAAAAGTCTAACTTAACTCACTTGTTATGCTATTTCAAACACAATCTAAAGGTTCTTTATTTTTCCCCTTCTTTTTTTCCTCCTCCATTCTTATATACTAGGTATCATATTTTTTACTCTTTGTGTATCCTTTGACTAAATTTGTGAGTAGTTGATTTATTTTATCATTTGCTTAGTAATTAATTGGTCTTCTTCTTTTACTGTGGTTTTATTTTCTCTGCTGACAACTATTTAGCCTTAGGAGCATTTAGCCTTAGTCAACTAGAGCAGTCCCTTTAAAATACACTCTAGAGACAATTTGTGGGAGGTAAATTCCCTCAACTTTTGCTTATCTGGAAATTGTTTAATCCCTTGCTTCAAATTTAAATGATAATCTTACTGGGTAGAGTATTCTTGGTTGGTGACCCTTCTATTTCATTGTATTAAATATATCATGCCACTCCTGGCTAGCCTGTAAGGTTTCTGCTGATAGACTAATGAGCTTCCCTTTATACGCTGTCTCTCTCTGGCTGCTCTCAATACTCTCTTCTTGTCCTTGAACTTTGCCATTAAAATTATTATATGTCTTGGTGTTATCTCATCTTGAATCAATTTAGATGTTTCTTTTTTAAAAGATATAATTTTGCATTTAAAAAAATATTTCCAATTTGTTAGGTTATGATTTTTAATCTCTAGTATATCTATAATTATTTCTAGAGCAAAATCCTAGAGTATTATATTCTGACAGTATTATTATTCTTGATATTGTTTACTTGAGTCTTCCCTTTTTTCTTGATATTTCATGTCAGATATTTATCTAGATTATTTAATAAACCAACTTTTTCATTTTTTTCATTTTCTAGTTTATTAGTTTCTTATCTCATCTTTATTCATTCCTTCCACTTGCTTTGGATTTATTCTTTTCTTAATTCATAATTTTATTAAGTGTGTCTATTTCAGCTGCCTAAATTTTCCATTAAATGTTTGATTTCAAAGACTACTTTTTAATATTAGACATTTTATTTGTTCTTCTACTGAAACTGTCTGCCCTTTTTTCATAGTGCCTCATTTCTTATTATTTTTTCAATTCTTTACTTTATGCCTTTAATAATTTTTAGCAATTATTTTATGATCTCCACCAGAGTGTTCAATTATCTGAAGTTCTTGGGAGTTTAGTCAAATTTTTTATTGTAGGTACTCACCATCACTGATGGTTGCTTTCTTTCTATATGTGTTTTGTAATTTTGAATTGTAAGCTCATCTTCAAGGGGACTTTAAGAGAATCTCTGATGCTTGATTTTAGGGTGTATTCTTCAGTCTTCTTTGAATTTTTCTCTCCCAAGGTCCCAAAGCATATTTATTACCAGTGGAAAAAAAGATTATGTTAGTTTTTTACATTTTTCTGCACTAATAAGGTATAATTTAAACTTCAAACATTCCAGGGTTGCTGGTCCAGAATAATAAAAAAAAAATCCTGGAGTAAGATGTTTTTCTTCACCCTGAACCCAGATGAAATCAGATGTACTTATATTTGACATCTTTCTGGGCCAGTGGGTGAATTTTTTATTCTTCGTTTTCATTAAGGGTAAAATTCTTTGAGGATCTCAGCCTATCTCTTTGCCCACGTGGACATGAAAATACAAACTGTTGTCTACAATACCAAAACTGGTTCTGTCCTCTCATGCAGATGGCAAAGCTGTACACACATTGACTTTTTGTTCAGGTTTTTAGCTCCCTCTTTATTTCTTACCCTTTTTGGCTCAGCTCTCATCTTAAAGATGTCTATGGTGAGCATTTTCAGGACATCTAGTCCACAATATTGCTAATCTCAGAAGTCCCTCATAGGGCTTTTGCCAGAATCAAATGAGAACCCAGATGTAGAAGTGCTTTGAAGACTAATGAGAATGTATAATGACTCCTAAAAAGATGTGCTTATTGAGGATCTTAATTTGGAAAATAACTTGCTGCCTGGCTTACTTGTTTTTATTTTTTCTTTCCTGATTTAGGGATGCACTTCTTTTGATCCAGTGGCATACAAGAGCTTTCATGGCTCTGAAGAACTGGCCCTGGATGAGGCTCTTCTTCAAGATCAAGCCTCCTGTGAAATCTGCCACAATGGGAAAGGAGATAGCAGGACTGAAGAACGAGTGTGTGCAAGTGCAAAAAGCCTTGGAGAAATTAAAATTTCAGAGGGCAAAGCAAGTCTCCCTCATCAGGGAAAAGAATGACCTGCTTTTCAGCTGCCAGCTGTGAGTAACATCACCATTTGTTCTTCAAATCAAGGTTTTAATTAGATTCCCTTGTTTTGTAGGCAGTGTCATTTGAAAGAAAATGTTTTGTAGGCACATGTTTTTCAAATACTGTAGATTTTCATCAAACACAATGGTAACACTCAATGGACACTTTGCTTCATAGTGAAGTGATTTCATTGGTGGGGTATCTTTGAAAAAAGGGACAAACTATTAAATGGATTTTAACTATATAAAACATCACAGTCTATCATGGGAGCCAGGAAACTCTGGGTCTTAATTTAAATTCTGTATGTAGTCCATGACTATTAGCAAATCAAAAGGCGGGATTGTATTAAGTCCTGAGAAAAGCTTTACTGACATCTTCAGGATTATTGCAGTATTCTTGTAGTTGCTTTCCTGATTTTGGTCTCCCTACTTCTCCTTCCCCAGTCCAAATCAACATTACTAATCAGTGGAGTTCCTAAAACAGCAGTTTTCAATATTGGCTTTGCACCAAACTCATTTGTGAAGCACTAAAAAGTGAAAAGATGCCTACACCCCACTCTCAGATATTTTGATTAAGCAGTCTCTGTGTGGGTCTAAATTATCTGTATGGGGATTCTGATGCTTAGTCAGGATTGAGAACCATTGTGTTTAACAATCTCATGTTGCGTCTGTAATGAATAAGTTGCAGACCCTCCTAGATGTCAAACCCTCAGCCCTGGCATTCCGGCCTCCATCTGCAATCTGACGCCAACATGCTGTTACTCCCTTTCACATTCCTCCTCTACAGCCCCTGTGCTACTGTGTCCCCAGATATCCCAAAGACAAAGGTGAAATTTTAGCCACCGTTATTGTATTTTCCACCTCACTTAGCACAGTGCTCAGTTTTAAAAATTCTGGGTCCAAATCCAGTTATATAAATAAAGGCTTTTCCTGCTTTTTGAGCTAAATGAAAACAGAGAAAACTTAGTTAGTCTGATCCAAGTTATTCTTTGATTTTTGTAGCTGCGCTACCCATCAATGTTCCAATAGGCCATATTTTACATAAGAATTTATACCCAGATCCACATTTCTGATACCTATTGAGTATAGCAGTGATTCTAGAACTGTAGTATAGATCAGCCTCATCTGGATGCTTGTTAGGAGCACAAATGCCTGGCCCTTACTCTAAACAGACTTTAAGACCTATACTATGAGTACCACAGTTTGTGATACCATATTTTGTCTGGCACATGGTAAAGAATCAGTATGGAGAGCGTGAGAAACACAGGGAGGCCAGTTCCAGGCCAAACCCACAGAGGCTGATATGTGTTCAGATTGTAACTAAGATTAAAAAGTTAACAAAGTGTGGGGAAAATGGAAGTTCCTAGGCCAAGATCCTCACCTGACCCTAAACTACACACCCATTAGCAGTGAGCTATTCCTGACTGAGTCACTATATAAAGAGCTCCTCCCACTGTTCTGGGTGGAGGCAGAGATGGAGGGGGATTACAGAGCTGTAAACTGCTGGACGCAGACATAATTCTAGTGCATGACCTACTGCTGCCAGAATAAAGCTGGATATGAACCCTTTTACTCCAAGAACGTTTGGTTGTCATTTCTTAGTCTCACCATAGTGAACTTGCCAGGGGCTGAAACCCTCAGGTGAGACATAGAGCTGTGAAATATTTTATCATCATTTATTTTTAAGGGACAGAGCTAAACACAGTAGAGATTGATAAAACAAAGATTCTTTAAAAATCATTCACTTAGTTAAAATACCAGCAGAACTGAGTGAACCCATTCTGGTTAACACTGAGTACATGAGAGAAAACCTGCCATTGGGGAAATGGTGCTCTTCCTGTTAAGCTGCCACACCACTGCTCAGCTGGCCCTCAAATCCTGCTGCCACAGTTAATGAAGGGATTAGTGATGGTAGACTGGACTGTCCTCTTCATTCAGTGATGGTGACAGGTCCCACTACAGAATAGAATAGAGCAAACGGTTCTGCTTGTCAACCTGGCGTGAACTAAGATCAAATGTCCCCCATTACTTCCCAGACATTGGAAGTTTCTCTGATTTGCATGGAATCTTCTGGTTTTGACTTTTTTGTTTTTAATTTAGCCTTTCTCTTTGGGTCCTCAGTGATGTTGGAGAATTACTATCATATGCCTCCCTCACCTGTTATTGGGCAGAGAGCCACCTCTTGCCAGGAGCTAGCCAGAAACCAATGGCCTGGATTTTGTTTTTTTCTGCTCTTGACCTGAGGAGGTGAAACAGCTTAAGCCTAGGTAAATAGATAGCTAATAAATTGACCAAAGTAGCATATTGCAGAGGATGTATGAAGTCTAGAGACGGAAGATGGAGATGTGTGTGAAGTTGTGTTGCCGGAAGACCTGCAATAATTAAGAACTTGCTGACAAAGGAGAGGTTTTATTTAGCCTCAAAAAAAGACAAATGAGAGGGGTTAAAAGTCATATAAAATGTGCTTTTGTAGCAAAAAGCAATCGACTTCAGTTTTTACTTGACCCGTAACACAGGAACAGTGGGTCACTCAGTGGGAATTGGAGGCATTTGAAAGGATAAAAGGAAAGAGTATTTTATGTGTATAACTTGTGAACTTTATTACTGGCAAAATCATTGAGGAAAAGATTTTATTTGGAAATAATAGTGAGATTTAGTTAGTGACTTATAAGTAAACATGAATTCTAAATTCAGCCTATGAATAAAAAACATACAGCTCAGCCCTATTTATGAAAAGATATCTAAATGTATTAAACAAATGCACCAGCTTACTTATAATAATATTATACATCTTCTGTTGTCTGAGGGAACCCTGCTTTTTAAAAGTCTGTATTCTGAGCAGGTATCAACCTCAAACTATATAGCCATGGAGATGCTTCCCGAAGCTGTGATTTAAGCAGTATACCACTGATTTTGGGAGGCCTGCTAGCTCCTTTAGGCCACTGGGATTCTATTAAGTGCATTAGAAGAGGTAATCTAATCTACTGAATGGCATGAAAGATCAAAAGCCCCTCCAAGCAAAGCAACTCCTCCACTTCTGGACACTTGTCGACAATAGGATCAGGGAACTGGGAATATTATTTCAACTGCTTAGGTAAGGTTGGTGAAAGTGCTGGGCAGAGGGCAGGCAATTATCTCTTTGCTGTGTGTTAAGCTGCATTTTCATCTAGCTGATAAATTATTTCCAGCTGTTGGCAACAATTTTCTCCTGATCATGGCAGGAGCAAGAGACCCTGGCAAATGTTGAAGAGCAGTGCGAATCGCTGATTAAATCCAAGATCCAGCTGGAGGCCAGAGTCAGGGTGCTGCCTGTGCAGGTGGAGGAAGAAGAGGAGATAAATTCTGAGTTGACTGCCAGGGGGCAGAAACTTGAAGATGAATGTTCTGAGTTGAAGAAAGAAATCGATGACCTGGAAACAATACTGGTGAAGTTGGAGAAGGAGAAGCGTGCTACAGGGCACAAGGTACTTTTTCTATAATGTTAGGAAGGCCTGGATGCTTGAATTCCTCTCCCAGTCAGGCTTAGGTACCAGACTTGCTCTGTATAAATTAATTAACATGGTGGCCTGCAACTTTGTAGCACTGGGAGTCAGACCTGGCATAAAATGAAGGGGCAGATGAAGTATGCTGTCTCCATTCAAATTTCCAATTCCAATTCATGGAACCCTACTTAATCTCTGAAGTGAAACATTTTTATTTGTTCTAATCTTATTGCATCTGAAATCTAATAGAAAAGAGCAAAATGGTTTCACTGGGCCTCTAAGTATCCGGTTTTAGAAGGAGAACAATGTGATGCCGGTTACTGAAAGGTGATTTGATATGTCCAAATCCCCAGCTCTCTCACTGACTTGGAGTTTGACTTTGAAAATGTCACTTTAATTCCAGTTAAGGAGTTTAATATTTTGTTCATTTCAGATGAGGGTTTTAACCTGCATATCTGTGTATGGACTGAAGTTAGCAAAGGAGTCTGTGTCAAACCTCTGATATACAGCTAGTCGACAGAATGACACAGTAATTTTGGAAGCTGATTAGATAGCCACTCCTGTGCCATTGGTTCCCCTTCATAAAAAAAGAACACACGGGCCTGAGATTGCCAGTTTTCATTTTTTCATATTTTATCAGCTAGAACTCTTCTTTGCCAGTTGCTTGGGATATTAAGGCAGAATAAGACTACTGCGTGTCCCTTGCATACTCAAAAGAAAGCTAAATTACCCTAGTAGTGTTCTTATCATACAATAATTTGACACTCTGAGAATTGGCCGCCCAATGATCTGTACTGATATGTGATTGACCAGAATGCCCCATTCCCTGACAATGACAAATAACAGATCTTTTGTGTCTGTGTGTAAGAAAATGTGAATTTAGAGTGTATAAAAGTGTATCAGGAATTTGGCTGAATTCGGTTCTTTATGATGTTGGATACCTCCTGAGATTTTTTTGTGCTAGAAAACAGAGAAGACTGCTGTTGGTGTCATGCCCAGCCTTCCAATGGCAACTCGTATGAAGCTGCCTCTATCTTTTTCTCACAAGTCAAGAACATGACTGAGGAAGTAGAATCTGTAAATGATAACGGCAAACTTAACAGAGCAGCCAAGATCATTCAGGAGACCCATCGGCAGACCCTGGATGATCTGCCCAGAGAGGAGGAGGAGCTCAGCAACCTGAGCCAGGCCAAGCTGAAGTCGGAACAGCAAGTAGATAAGTTAGGTGATGATATGATATGTCTAGCTATTTAGCTATTGGTCCACATATATACAATCCTCCAATTTTTACTTAGTTAACTTATCTTGATAATTTCATGAAAACTAGTAGCATGCTATGTTTCCTTTATTATTTAGAAATAGAGGTGTTTTTTTCTTTCTTAACATGCACTGAACTACTATACAGTATAAGAGAATTCCCAGCATGGAATCTGTCAGTTTTTAAATGCAATTTTCTTACAGCCTGGACAGTGGGAGAAGAACGTTGAGATGAATTGTGAAGGGTTATCACTGTGGGTGGCTTAATTTTCCCCACAACTCCCACAGAACCTGGTATTTTGACACACAGGTATGTTGGTATTCTCTTTGACATTGGCATTGAAGGATGAGTTTCAAGGCTCTGTTGTGTCTCCAGCGGTGTGCTGAGGCTTATTTATAGTTGAAAGAATATCTAAGTCACAAGGTGTATTCTACTTACACTATTGGAAAATATGTATAAGATGCTAAAGGCGGTTGCCCCTGTTCTGCCTCCAAACACCATGTGAAATAAAGATGCTTCAGACAGTCTCACTGCGTAGCTTCATGATTCCGCCTTCCCCACCACCCCACTCCGGCCAGCTGGCGTAGTGCACGCATTCATTCTCATATGAGCCCCAAAAGTTCAGCCTTTGTAAAAGTACTGACAGGGTAGGGTTTTTTTTCCTTTAAATCTGTTGCCTTTTCCTCATGCCTATTAATTTCCTCTATTACCTATTAGTTGTCTCACTTTTCTTTCTATTAACTGATTGCGTGTCCGTTCATGTGAGGATTTATTGGTGTTTGTGTGAGTACACACACACAGACACAAACACACACACACATACAGACACACACTCTCTGGCATATACTTCTTCTCTCTTAGAGTTGATCTACTTTCAGATTTTTATATACAGCTTCTCCAAGTTCTCCTTCCTCCTTCTATTTGAATTTCATCTCTTTTGCTGAATATAGGAAATATATCTTCTATTGCTGGAGAGGGAACATACAATGAATAAATAGCCTATGGTAACTGTTATCTAGCTTCCTGCTAGACTCACCTGGGTATGATTGTTAGTAATACAAAACGGAATGTTCTGACTAACTTGGTGGAGTACAAGAATATGACATAATGTATGGTACCTCTAAGAGGAGGGTGCCAAGGTGGTGAAGGAGGTTTGGAAGTCATGCCATGTGAGACATCTTTGAAAGGGCCAGTGATACTAAGTTGGGAGACTTGGGACAGCTGTCCAATATTCATGGATGATCATGGGGAAACAAATATTCTTGGTGTTGCTTCAGGGAGCAGACCTTAGAGAATATCCTGGCTTCTTATGAAGAAACACTCTTGAGTAAATGGACTTACCCACCCATGAAATGAACTGCCACGTGGGGAAGTGGTCTTCCCATCACTGGAAAATGATCGACCAAGGGCTCACTGGCCATTTATTATTGGTTCCTTTCTTAGAATAGAACTCATATTCCTTAATCTCCAAAGTTTTCTTCTATCACTCTGGTTTCTAGATTATTCTGTTATCCTGTTGATGCATGCAATATTTATTTTAAAACATCTGCATAACTAGGTATTGTTTACACATTCTGTGCCTGTTTTCTTCTTTCTTTTTCCAGAAGGTAAGTAGTTAATGGACACTCTAGTGAAGTATGAACATTACCTATTTATTTGGCTAAATGATATCTCTTTTTGTCAGCTTGAGGGTGCCGTTGAGCAGGAGAAGAAAGCAAGAATAAACTGTGAAAGGGAGAAGAGCAAACTGGATGTGATTTAAAGATGAACCATGAGGGGCTGGGGCACCTGGAGAGGAGCCAGCTGCAGCTTGAAGAGAAGCTGAGGAAGTATGCCACCCTCTTGTTGCCAGAGATTCTGGGAGACCTTGTACTGGAAGGAACAGCTCTCTCCTGTCATTTACCCTCTGACCCATGATTCCAGGGCCAGATGTCTCAAGACCTGAAGGAGAGGATAACAAGCCTAGGAAATGGACTTTCGTTTTTTTGGACTTTATGAATATACTCTCTGTTTACAACTATATAATTAGAAGAAAATACCTGTGAAGGCATCTGCTTAGCAGATGGGAATGAAAGATGTAAGACTTAACGAGCTGTGCATTATTGCAATTTGAGGCTACAAGTCAAAATATAAAAATAGTTCACTTCTTTTTCTCATGATGGGATCAATGACATAAAAGAAAAATGATTTAAAATTTCAAAACTACTTGTTTGCCATATAGAACTTCATTAACTATACTTACATAGCTTTTCTTGTTTTAGGTGAAATAATTTACTTTATAAATATTAAACTTTAAAATTTAAAGCAAAGTACAACAGTGATCAAAATTAGCAGAACTTTCAGTTCACGTGAATTCCTGAAACTCCGAGCAGACAGCCCTGCAGGTTAGTTTGACCTCTCCTGAGTGGATTTCTCACCTTGTTCCTTTTGTCTTCCTGTTTCTCTAGACTTTCTCCTCACCATGAGGGATTTTCCTGTTATTTGGAATAGACCAAATAAGAGGGGAAACAGTGAGGTCCAAGAGTAAGATGTGCCCAAGTTAAAGCTGGGAGTTTATCCATCCCTGGGACCCACAGTGCAAAAGGAAAGACAGGCAAGTGAGCAGCTATGAGCTGCTGGTTTTCCTGTTTATGTACATGAGTTGCCATTCGACATGCTTGTGGTCAGGCTTGATTAGTATTCTACTAATAAGTTACTGAACTTTATCAGTGTCAAGAAAAGATAAAGTAAGTAATCTTATGAATTGTGATGGAACAGTGAAAGGTAAGATGATGATAGAGTTCCCTTAGCCTTCAGTTTTGAAGATTATATTTCAGTTTAGCAAAGTGAAAATGATCCTCCAGGCCTTTATAGGCCACAAGTCAAAGAGCTCTGGTATTTTAGAAAACCCATGTTTTCAGGAAGTTATAACCTCATTGTAAAACCTTTTCTCTAAAGGGGTCTATCTATACAGAAACTCAATAGGTGATACGGGTGGCATTTCAAATTAGTGATGACAGGATAGGATACTTAATAAATAGTGCTGAGATTATTAGCTATTTTCTGAGGTAAAAGTTAAGTTTCTACCCCATATTATTCATACACACAAAATCAAGTTATACTAAAGAACTAAATGTAAAAGCAAAGCTGTAAAACCATTAGAAGATACAGTATTATTCACAATAGTTGAGATATGTAAAAAAACCTAAATGTCCATTGCTGGATGAATGAATAAAGGAAATGGGGTATAAACATATAATGGAATCTTATTCAGCCTTTAAGAAGAAGGAAATCGTGCCATACATGACAACATAGATGGACCTGGAAGACATTATACTAGTGAAAGAAGGCAATCACAGAAAACAGTATGAGGCACCTAACATGGCTGAGCTCAGAAGAGAAATAGAGAGTAGAATGGTAGTTGTCAGGGGCTGGAGTGGAGGGAAAATTGGGTATTGCTATCCAACCTGAATAAAATTTCAGTTAATGTAAGATGACTAAGTACCTATAGTTAACATTACTGTACTGTGTACTTCAGTATTTGTTAAGGTAGATATCATGTTAAATGTTCTTATAATAAAAACAGCAAAAACTATTAGGTGATAACATAAGTGGTAAGTCTTAGGAAATGGGCAGGTTAAGTCTTCTTGAATAAGTGGCAAAAGCCAAAGCATCAAAGGAGTATCTTGATAAATTGGATACCACATTTTAAAGCATTTATGTGACAAAAGCCAACATAAATAAGACTGTGACAAGTTATACAGTAGAAGAAATACTTTCAACAGATATAAGAAAATAAATATCAGGAATATAAAAGAATATCTATAATTCTATGAACAACCTAGTAGAATAATGAGCAAAGAACACAAACAAGTAGCTTATTTGGTTTATTGGCCATATTTATTTATATATTTTCCCCATGACTTATTTATTTTAAAATTGGAAGTTTGTACCTCTTTACCCCCATCTCCTATTTTGCTCACCCCCAGCCCCCTTCCCTATGACAACCACCCATTCTCTGTGTATATGAGTCTGTTTCTGTTTTGTGTTCTCATTTGTTTTAATTTTTAGATTCCACATATAAGTGAAATCATAAGGTATTTGTCTTATTTCACTTAGCATAATACCCTCTATGTCCACCCATGTTTTTACAAATGGCAAGATTTCATTCTCTTTTATGGCTGACTAATACTACATTGTGTATATGTACCACATCTTCTTTATCCATTCATCTATTGATGGACACTTAGGTTTCTTTCATATCTTGTCTACTGTAAGTAAATGCAATAGACAGGGTGCACCTATATTTTCAAATCAGTGATTTTGTTTTCCTTGGGTAAATTCCCAGAATAGAATTACTGGGTCACATGGTATATCTTTTTAATTTCTTGAGGACCCTCCATACTGTTTTCCACAGTGGCTGCACCAATCTACATTCCCACCAACAGTGCACAAGGATTTCATTTTCTCCACATCCTTGTCATAACTTGTTATTTCTTGTCTTTTTGATACTAGCCATTCTGACTGGTGGGAGGTGAAATCTCACTGTGGTTTTGATTTGTATTTCCCTGGTGATTAGTAATGTTGAGCCTGTTTTCATGTGTGAACCATCTGTATGTCTTTGGAAAAATGTCTATTAAGGTCCTCTGCATATTTATTAATTAGATTATTTGGGGGTTTTTGGTGTTGAATGGTATGAGTTTTTTAATATATTTTGGATATTAACCCCTTGCTGAATATATCATTTGCAAACACATCATTCAGTCGTTGCCTTTTCATTTTGTCGATGGCTACCTTTGCTGTGCAGATGCTGTTAGTTTGACATAGTCCCACTTGTTTAGTTTTGCTTTTGTTTCCCTTGCTTGGGGAGATGTATCTAGAAAAAAAATACTAAATGCTGATGTTAATGAGTTTACTGCCTGTTTTCTTTTAGGAGTATTATGCTTTAGGTCTTACGTTTGTGTCTTTAATCCATTTTGAATTTATTTTTGTGTATGGTGTAAAATAGTGGTCCAGTTTCATTCTTTTCATGTAGCTGTCCAGTTTTCCCAACACCATTTATTGAAGAGACTGTCTTTTCCCATTTTTTATTCTTGCCTTTGCCTCCTTCATCTTATATTAATTGACTATAGAACTGTATATTCTCAATTCTGTTTCATTGATCTATATGTCTGTTTTTATGCCAGGATGGCACTGTTTTGAGTGGTCATTTTTAGATCCGCATAGTTGATAAGATGTTATCTCACTAATAAAGAAGGACATACAGAATAAAACTGTTTATTTTTTCAGATTAGGAAAAATTAAGAATTATGCTAATATTAAATATAAACATAGAGAAATAATCTCACACTGCTTTTGGAGGGCAAAGAGCAGGGTTGTACATTTTTAGGCGTACAACTGATACCTGACCCAGCACTTCCCTGCTTAGCATTCATCCTAGAGAGACACATGTACACAAGGGGTATGTAATTAAATGGTGTTATTTATAAAAGCAAAATAATTGGGAAAAGCCTAAGTGCTTATTAATGGAGAAATAGATAAACTACAGGATATCTAAATCATGGAATAGTATTCTGGAATAGTCACAATTAATTTTTAAATGAAGTAACTTATGTGTGGGCCAACATGGAAAAATCTCCCATGAATTATTGGGTTAAAAATAAATTAACAGAACTATAATTTCAAATGTATTCAATATTATACCTTTCACAGTAAAGAAAATGAAACTATTTTTACTTGTATGGAAACACAAACATATGTCAATACTTAGAAAAATGTCTGGATACTGAAAATGGTGGTTACCTCTAGGGAAGGAACAGAGATAGGGCATAATAGCCAAGGAAATGTCAGATATAGATGTAGTGGTTGAATTTTTACAATGAGAACAAATTCATGTGTTATTATTGAAATTTTAAAAATATTTAAACAAAATGTTATTACTTTGAACAGTTCCATTTGACACCTTCTTCCCTAACAGGAAAGAATTAGGAATGAAACAGATGAATTCAAAGGTGGAAAATGAGAAAGGCCTGGTGGTTCAACTTCAGAAAATAAAGAGTTTTAGATAATCATTTGTCAGATCCCTGTGTGCACCTGTATTTAGATACACAGGTGATGGTGCTTCAGTGACAAATGCTCCGCCAAGGTCTCCATACCCTTAGCCAACTATAGGCAGAGGCTGCAAAGAGCATTATGAAGGCAGACTGGCATTCCACAGATGTGTGACTTAGGAAGTTACTTTTTAAGCTTAACTTTCCCTATCCTAAGAATATTAAAAGCAAATAGCTCATTTGTTGTATGTTTGTCATGAACTAGGCATTGTGCAAAAATCCTGGACGTATATTTTTTCACTCATTAATCCTCCCAACAACCTTGGAGCTGAAATTATTAACTGCAACAGTCCATCAGAGTGGTAAACACTGCCTGATCCATGGTAGTAAGCATTCAGTGTTAGCAATTTAGTTTTTTATGATGGTTAATCTTTGTGATTAGAAGGCAATTATGCCGAAAATCTGTTTTGTAACTACTTATAGCCTCAAAACATTATTTGATAATGGGAAGCTATTTATAAATTTAAGACCATGGACTGTTTTATATTATATGACCGTGTTACAAAGTAATATAAATAAATATATATGTATACATATAATTCCTCACATATACGTACAGATGAATGTTTTTCTTTTGAAGCTAAATACGTTTCTCAATAGTGTAACCATTATTCAAAATAATTTCAGAACCCCTTTCTGATAATTCACTTATGAGACATTTTGAGCCAAATAAGAAAACCAGTCTCAATGCTTTATGGAGATGCTTTTAAAAACAGTTTTAATGTCTATACAAGTATCTATCACATTCACCATGCTTGACTTCAAATGGCACTTGACTTTATCCAAAAAGTTTCAATTATCAAAAAGGCAATTTTTCTTATCTTCATGATTTTAAAAAGTGCCCTAAAGATTATTTCTGAAGAAATATTTTCAAAATGTTTGGTTCAGTGACAGTATTGTTTGGGATAAAGATATAGGATGTCAAGATAACTAGTTGGAAGAGGGTTCATATTTATTCAGATATGGAGATCCTAATTTTCTGTATTTTCTCTCTCACAACTTATTTACAGATCTGATATCCTACATATAGGGTATGATCTACAAAGTAGCATCCTCTAAGTCATAGTACGCTTATTTAATGGAAAGGAAAGCATATTCTAAAATAGATCCTATCTTTTGCCCCTCTCCCTTAACCTATGTCTAGTTATTTTAGGTGGTGTGAGTGACTATCAGTGGCTTTAATGCACTGGACTACAATGACGCTATCAAGATATGTTGAGCTATTTGCTCTATACTAAAAGAGTTTTGGGTTCTGTGAGTTCTTATCATGACTTTGTCTAATACTTTTGTCCCTTGTGATTACAATTCACTTCAGTAGCCCCATTTTCCACCAAATTCTAATTTGTTACTTCAGATCTCCTGGTACTTAAAATCACCTGCAGAATGAAAAACCAAGTAATCAATTATGTCAGAATTGTGTATAAAGTGAAATTGATGCTGCTTTTTATGAGTAAGTTGCTTGAACTGGGAAATATTCTCTCTATTGATCAGTTTTTGCCCAAGTTCCCAAGAGTTAAGACTGTCAGGTAAACAAATTCCAGATGAATGAGGTATTGTCTATAAAATTCAACATGTTATTTTTTATACATTTGTTTAAGATGTTTCTCTTGTTACATGAAAGATGTTTCCTATTCATTTGGAAAGTGGTTTTTACTGAGATTTCACCTGCATATATTTAATTCAATGAAATGGTTCATTGTTAAGGGCTTGGAGATCTAGAGGAACTGCAAATTTTAATTCTGGTCTTTCCTGATTTGGAGCAAGTCATTTAATTTCTGTGTATTCTATCTGCCTTATAAAATGGGAAGCAAAAGTGTTATGTTACTTTTCTTAGTTGTGAGAAATTTGAAAAAAAGATAGAGTAAAGCCCTTGAATATAAAATATGCTGTTAAGTGTTTAGTAAAAGTCAAAAAAATTACTTATTGCTACAGATTCAAACACAGGATTTGAAAGAGGCATTGGAAGTTGAAACGACCCGTTGAGCCAAGGTAGAGAGGGAGGGGGAGCTGACCTCCTCCAGGGGCTGGGAGACTTGCATGAGAGGCTGGAGAGGCAGTGGTGCCAGTTTGGCTCAGCTGGAGATAACTGAGAAACAAAAAACAAAATTCCAGAAGCTTTGCAGAGGCATGGAAGAGGTCACACTGCCCTTTGAGACAACTTCTGCCTCTTGGAAGAATAGTCATGCTGCACTCCCAGGCCAGGCAGAAGACCTATAGTAGGTGAAGCAGACATTGGAAAAAAACAAGAGTGATTTGCTGCTAGAAGTGGATGACATTCTGACCAGAGCTAAGGTAAACATTCCTAAGCCCTCCTTGTGGACTCCAGAACATGGAAGTAGGTAGGGGAGGGGAAGGAAAAATAAAATAAACCAGACTGGTGACTCCATGTGTTTGCTGATGGAGGCTGTGGTTCCTCAGACTAGATGAGGTCTAAAATCAGTGGTCATTGTTAAAGTCACATGGCTGTCACTGGAATGCGGCCTGAAAGTGTCTTCTGGTTTACTGGAGTTCTGGTCCATGTTTCTTATGCATCTGTGTGTTGGTGACATAAGTACCTGGCTGGAAGGTGAAGTCAGTAGCCCTGTGGGTGGTGTGTTTCTTAAAGAATAGCTATGTGTCACGCCTCCTTAAGGGTGGCTCCTAGGATTCTAGAGTCTTTCTGGATAAATGGTGGATGCAAAGAGCTTTGCTGAGAGGAGAAACCTGTTTCTCCCTCATGTTCTCTGGCATCTCTTTGACCAGCCAGCATTAGAAGAAAGTTGCATCATAAAGTCTTTCTTCACTGAGCTCATTAAGCTGTACACTGAAAGCTCTCCTATTAAATGACTAGTATCGTATCACAATGGCAGTCCTGCCCTCTGGTATTTGAGAGGAAGCTTACTTTAGGTTAAGCAGAGAAAATAGCTAGTGTCAAATTCTCCTTGGGAGCAGAATTTGTCAAGTTATCTGAGCAAGAGGTAAACCAACAATAAAGCTTGATATTGGTGCACTGTGGCCAGAAAAAAATGTGGAATTTCTTCAGATATTGAGTGGCTCCTAAAATGTTTAACATTATTTCCTTTTAAAGACCACATTGAGTAGAAAGAAACATAACCATCAGCTTTTCCCACTCTTTCTCTCTATTACCCCTGCCATCCCACCCCCTAATTATCTTAGAATATAAATCTAGTAAGGAGTTTTTCTTTCTCTGCTCTCTTTTCTATTCTGTATTTTATATAGATTCCATCTTTCATTCAGCAATGAAAACATTCTCTCTCCATGCCCTGCAGGCTCCATTGGCCTTCCACAGAGTAGCTGAGGGCTTGGGAGTTCTCACTTTCTTCATAAGCTGCTCTCATTTATCCTCAGGAACTCTCCTCTTTCTGTACATTTTAGCAGGAAGTCATATAGTCTTAACACTGCTGATGGGTCTGCCTTGATCCAGACTCATTAAGCATAGATGTCATGCTTACCAATTTCCTCTAGTATTTCACTGCTGTTTCGAAGTTCTTTGTTTTTTCTACTCACTTTCTGTTTCATTTTATACAAAATCCTCCCTCAGATTCTAACCCTGCCTGTCTGAATCCTTCTTTTCAATAAATGGTGAGATCAAGAACATTCAGTATAACTTTCCTCTTTACCTTATGTTATATTTTCTATTACACTCATCCATTTCTTTCCTTATTATCCCCAGAAATAAAATATTCTTCCACATAACCGTTATTCACCCATTCCAAAAATAAAAACAAACCAAGAAAGGCATCTCCTCAACTACAGGGAGATATTTTGACCGAAAAGCAAAGTCAGCTCATATCCACCTTACTCTGTCTCCTTGACCCAAGGGTATTGTTTTACTTACCTATTGCTGTCTAACAAATTGTGGCTTAAGACAGCACTTTGTTATTCTTTCTCTTTGTTCTGGGGGTTCACAGGCTTAGCTCAGGTGGTGGTTGAAGTGTAGTCATCTTAGTCATGGGTTATCCCAACTAGGATATCTGGGGACTGGCTGGAAGTCTCCCTCTATGGGAGCTCTCCATGTGGCTGGCTTGGGCTTCCACACAGCCTGGCAGCCACGGAGGATTTGGACTTCTTACATGGCAAGTCAGGGCACAAAGAACAAGTGTTCCAAGAGACCAAGGCAGAAACTGCTGTAATTCTTGTGAGGCAGACTGACAACGCTGTGGAGTGATTGTGTGTGACTCCCATCAGTTACAAGTCACAGAGTAGAGGTCGACACAAGGGAGTGAATGCCAGAGGGGCTGACTCACAGCGGGGCCAATCTTTGGAGACCAGCTCCCACAAGAGGTGTACCCCTCCACCTCTTCATTCCATTAACCCCCACAATAGTTTTTATTTCCCTGCTTTTCTTCTTAAAGATATTCTATAAAATCATTCTTTCAAAGGTCAGTAATGTCTTCCTCTACTCAAATTAACATGTCTAAGACCAAACTTATCACCTTCTCCTAAAGCTGGCCTTTGCTCTGGACATTTCTGTCACCGACATCCTATGCCTTCCCTTCACCCAGGCTCTAAGCCTGTTTGATTTGTTTCCTCTCGTATTCTTCTTGGCTTGCCAATCAATTATTGTAGCAGTCAATTCTGCACTGTTTCAATTACAGTTTTCTATTCCAGTCTCACTCACATGTGGGGTTTTCATTACCTTTTAATTGGAGGATTGCAGTGGTTTCTGAAACTATCTCTTGTGCTTCTAGTCTTTTTTTTCTAATCTATTATCTATAGCATCCATATGAATATTTCTAGACATGGCTTTATTAAAACATGTCTTTGACTAAAAGTAAACTACAGACTTCTGCCTTTCAAGATACTCTGTGGCTTGTGATCTGTCTCAATCTGCCCTGCTAATTTTCTATTCCATTATTTTGTTTCATGGACTTCCACTTCAGCCAAGTTAGAATGCTCGACTTCCATCAAATATCCACTTTATTCTACCAATATATAGGATTCTAAATCCTCTCCTTGGAATGCTCAAATCCAACTTCCCCTATTAAAATATTATTTGTTTCTGAATTCTTGTAGCACTTTTGGGGGCCCTCTTATACTGTTGCATTATATGGTCTTGTAACTTGGCTTAAGTAGAATACATCTCTAAGGCAAAAATATGTTTTATTTTACTCATATTTACTACATCTTTTACATAATCTGAATTAACTTGTATACATGCCTTTTGGGAATTCTGTGGCTCATAGACCAGTGACTTGTCCATGGTCACACAATTCTGTGGCAGAGATGGACCTCAACTCCAAATCCTATATATGTCTATGGGTGACCACATTGTGCTGCTGCCTTAAATATTTCCTGGTGGGATAAATTGATTCTATTCACCCTCCTAGGCATATGCATTATGCCAAAATTTTTCTTGAATTATTTATTTCATCTTCCCTTGAATTATAATGCCAGGAATGCCAGTACTCTGTGGTACAGTGGAAACTGAAGCATTTTCAAAAGCATAGTATGCTGACAGAGAAGCCCAGGGCAATTTAGAAGTTCAAGGCAATCTCACAATTATCTTGGTTATTTTGCATTCCCATTGGCTCTTGCATTTCTGGGAGGCAGCATTCTTAGCTATCATTTCAAGAATCAGATATAAGATGAATGTGCACTATTCCAATAACTTCTTTCCTGGTGTCAAAATTCAGTGTCTATCCTTATGCTTAAACCTGAAACTCTTTTGAAAATACAACTCCTTTGAATGGTATATCTGTGTACAGACCACCTTTAGATAAACAAACTCATTGCCTTTTGAAAAATCTGCTTATGAAACTACTTTGTCAACTGCAAATATTTCACCAGCAGTTAGCAGTGCCCATGGGGACCTACTCTTTGAAGCTATGCCTAAGGGCAAGTGCCTTTTATGTCAGCCCAGGTGCTGCCTACTTTGCAGATATGCCCAGTCCAGCTGGGCTTTATCACTCAGGGGACTCTTAAAAACGGGATTCTCTGGCTCCTTTGCTGCTCATTTCCACATACCAGTGACTAGTTGTCTTATAGATCTCTGAGCTCTTTCACTCTCAGCAAACAGGTGCATGGCATAGCATGTTCAGGGCCATAAACAGCAGTGCCATTTCTCACACCTGGATGTGTCCCTTCTGGCCCAGTTATTGGGTCATTTATTATTGGAGATAACATAACATAAAGATGGTTCACAAAGTCATCCTATCTTTTAACCAGTTTTTCTCTGGAATCCAGGATTCATGACAATTTGAGCCAATAAGGTTGTCATTGGAAACTTCCCTTTGTTATTACTATTTCATATAATAGGTGCTTGAGAATCTAATATTTGACTTTTTTTTTGTATCTGCACAGTTATCAGTTCAGATTTTGATTCCAACAGTCACTAGTTGTGTGAATTTGGGGAAGTTAATTTGTTTCTCTGACTCTTTTCTCATTTATAAACAGAGTCAGTATGAACTCTTGAAGGATAATGAGAGGTTAAAAATGAGTATGCCAACTTCATCAAATTACTTTCAGAAGTGAGAGCAAACCTATTTAACATTAAAAATGTAATTAGAAACTGCAGACCATCTAAAAACTGTTACACTTATCACTACTAGCTTTCTTGTAATAGTAAGTGGAGAGTATGGGTAATTGAGCATGCCTGACATTTAACATCAATGCTCTAACCTACATGATACTGATGGCACTGTATGAGAAGCTGGGCCCTGAATCTCTGCCAGGTCTGGTTTTCCAGCCACCTGTAAGCCTGGGTGTGCTATGGAACATCTGTGAGCTAGAACAATATGACATTCCTTGTCAGCCTTCAAGTGGCATGCACCTGAATTGGCTCTTGGCTTGTTTGCTAATCAGCAGATCATATCCTCACCAAGTTAAAAAACAAATTTGTGGTTCAGGTTTATGAGAAACTCTTGAATATGACCTCTAAGTAAACTTCAGTGGGAGTATTGACCAGCCTCTTACTAAAGTCTGAAATAGTTTGAGTGTCTTAGACATTTATTAAGTGCTTATTTTAGGTCAAGCACTGCACACTGCCTTGGCAATATAAGAGGTTGTGATCTAGTAGAGTTGTGCTGGGAGTTTAGAAATAGTCACTAGTGTAAGCTTAAAGAGAACAATTGTCAACATGGCATTGGCTCTACCTAGAGATCTCTAAGGTTTTTGATGATTCAGGAGTTTCCCAGAGGACTAAACCTGGCATCATTTTTTAAATGTTCCTGGTCCTTGGTCATTGCTCTGTCGTACAAATTAGGTCAATATTCAGATTATTAGGTTTGCCACAATTTCATGGATGTCACCATTTTCTCACAATGCCATTGGTGTGACTCCTTCTTTGTCATATCCTTTTCCTTAGAGAGAGAAATTTCCCCTTGGAGCTGTTATTTGGATTGAGATTTAGTACATGTAAAGAGCAAAACAAAAAAACAGTGAAGTAAAATCTATCCAACCAGGGATCTATAGAACCACCAGTGTCTTTTCTGACCATATTAGTAACAAGAATGCAACTCGCAGCTACGTAAGGAGACACCACCACCTTGCATCTGGCAGCTCTTGTCCTGTCTGAGGACCTTGGGTCTCAGAGCACTAGTGTGAGTTTCCAGAGTGTGGCAAGAATCTGGTGATTAGACTGGTTACCTACACCATGTAGAAGTACCAAAGCCCAGAGGCGTATCCTTTTCTCCAAGCATGAAAAGCCAACTGTGAGAAGTTGGAGTTCAGAACTGAAGAGTTAACCCAACAGGGTTATTCTGAGTCTACAGCCTTAGTGGTGTAGAAGGCACAGTTGTTTTGACACTTCAGATAGCGCTATCTGCTTTCTCCTATCCTGCTTTGTCAGCCCTTTGGATTTCCTTCCATCTTCTCCTCTTCCCCCTTTCCTTTCTCAATCCCTCTGCTTTTCCTTCCTTCTCTCCGAATCTTCCCCCTTGTTTATTGAGCTCCGACTAGGTGTTAAGCACTAGTCTAGGCACTGGTGGTATATCTGTGATCAAACAGAATCTCTACCCTTATGAAAATTATATTTCAGTGGGAGAGAAAGATAGTTAAATATATAATTTCAGGAAGTAGTTATGTACTTTGTCAGTATTTGACATGTTTCCTTCTTTGAAAGCACAAAGGATCCTAGAAAGGGTTCCAAGACCCAGAGAGAATTGGGTTTCTCCACTGAAACTATAGTCTGAGAAGTTTGGGCCTCTTTGGGGCCCAGACCCTGAGTTTATTATGCTTGCTTAAATTAGAGGATGCAGTGTCCCAAATGCTAGCTGTGGTCCTCAGGCAGAAGGGAGCACAAGGGACCCAGGAACCATTTCCTCCTTTATGCAGCTAATTCAGCATGGACTCTATGAGCCATATCCAACCATTCATACTCAACTCCTGACTAATGTTGAGGAGCTCTTTACTCTGTATGAAGAGCACTTAAATGAAGCAAATGCAAAACTAGAAGAAGTAACTCAGTTGGCAAATGACCTGAAAGCACAGAAGACCAAGCTATGTAGCGAGCATGGTAAATGAATGTGTTGCTTCACCTGCGAGTGAGCCTCAATCCCAGTACACTGGTGGAGGGACACCTGAGATGACTCAGTTACTGAGCCTAAGTGGGCATTTAAAGATCATGTGGGAAGAATATGGCCTTTAACATAGCTTTGTCTGCAGAGTTGGTCTTGTCTGGGAAGGGTTAACTGCCGTTTTGGAAGCTCTGCCCAGCTCTCTTTCATGAAGGAGAAAAGCAATATGCAGTTGGTTATAGCAACTCCCAAGGTCAAAGGATGGTAGGGGCTGTCCACGAAGCCTCTAAAACATGACTCTTATAATGTCAACCTCACTGAAATAGGCATTTTTTCTAATTTTCAGCCGTGAACCCACACCTCTTCATTTATACTTAGTAAAAGCCGTAGTCTATACAGTGATCTACAAGGGTCACATGTCTGGGCCCCCATTACCTCTGACCTCTCTTGCTGCCTTTCCTCTTCTCTCAGTCTGTCTTGGGCCATTGGCCTCTTCCCTGTGTTTTGAATACACGAGGCTCACTCACACTCTACAGTCTTGCCCTTGCTATTTTCTCTGCAAAGCAATTCCTGTATTACGTCTGCAAAGACTTGAAGATGAGAGTTATTTAATCAAACATATCTGGGGGAAGTCAGCATAGGCCTTAATGAGAAGGTGACATTTCAGCATCTCAACCTGCTTTCTACATGTGTTTCTTTTTTCATGGCATTTAATACTTTCAAACAACCTACATACTTGACATAATAAATATGCTTGTCTGTGTCCATCTGCCAGAATGTAAGCTTTATGTGGGCAGGGATCATTTTTGTTACTATTGTATATCAGTTATTTAGAACAATGCCTGCAACTTATTAGCACCCCACAAATATTTAATAAAAGAATTAACAGTAGAAAAAAATCCCCTGGCTTACTTTCTGCTATTAGTCACTATTGACAGTTTTAGGGGTTTTTTTGAAAAATTATACTGTGTCAAATATTTGGTGTTTTTCTCTTTTCAATTTGTTATAAGCTTTTTTTGTATCTTCCAAATTCAGTCATTTATAATGGCTACTTCCAATGCATCAAGTACAGAGACTCTAGTTTATTTAACCTTGCCCTATAACTGGACCTATTACTCTGCTATGAACAGCATGTGGCTAGATGTTCATCTGTAATTAGAATTGTTTTTAGTAATATATCCCCAGAGACAGAATTCCTCGGTCAGTGAAAATAAACAATATGTTCTTGATGCTCAGGGGCATACTTTGAAAAGATGATAAAGACTATTTGGATTGTATGACATCCTTCTGCTAGTGGACAACTCTGTTCCTAGGTGCTGCCTTTAGAGACAAAGCTAAATTAAAATGAGCTGGAAAACCTACAAACCTGGAAACAGAGAAAAGGAAAGCATTTTTGGTTCTAGCAGGAACACTGACTAGGAGTCATCTTGTATTGTCAACAGGGTGTTTAACGTTTGGCCTTGTTCTAAACACCTCCCCACCCCAGTTTGGTCTTCTGTGCCATTTTGGATGTAGTGTGTGTGGACTCCATAGTCCAGAGACAAGGTTTGGGAATATTTGTATGTCTAGCCCTGAAGGATGTGCTGTATAAATTTTTTTTGTTTTGATAGGCATTGCCTACCTCCCCCTACTTATTGGCATTAATTTTCTGCTCATATTTTTGATGAGGAAATTGGTGGGTGAGTGAAATGAAAGAGGGTCTGAAATGAAAATTCTGCCTAGGATGCAGGACCTTTTTCTTCCTTCCTTTAATTCTTATCTTTGCCTTTGGCTTTTGTGTGAATTAAATTTTAAGTATATACCTATCCAAACTTCCCCTCCCCTCACTGGGTCTGTGCTCCAGAGGTTTTGCTACTGCCACCAGTTTCTTTCTCATGTCTATCAGCTTATCACAAGCTGCTTTCAAAGGAGACCAGTAGTAAATTTGATCAGTTAAGCATGTTCAGTGGGTCCTGGTTTTATAATATATATGATATGTTACTCTCAGCCCCCTAATGGATTGGCATTTCTTCAGAATCCTTTTATTTATTTATTTATATTCCCTATGCTGTACTTTTCATCCCCATGACTTATTTCATAAGTGGAAGTTTGTACCTCTTCATCCCCTTCACTTATTTCACCAATCCCTCCACCTTCTTCCCCTTTGGCAACTGCCAGTTCTCTGTATTTATGAGTCTGTTTCTGTTTTGTTATTCACTTGTTTTATTTTTTAGATTCCATATATAAATGAAATCATATGGTATTTGTCTTTTTCTCTCTGACTTACTCACTTAACATAATACCCTCTAATGACAATATCTGTCTATATTGCCACAAATGGCAAGATTTCCTGAATAATATTCCATTGTATGTAAATACCACATCTTTATCAATTTGTGATGGGCACATAGTTTGTCTCTGTATTTTGTCTATTATAAATAATGCTGCAAAAAACATAGGAGTGCATATATCTTTTCAAATCAGTGATTTTGTTTTCTTTGAGTAAATTCCCAGAGGTGCAATTACTGGCTCATATGATATTTCTATTTTTAATTTTTTGAGGCCCTTCCATACTGTTTTCCACAGTGGCTGCACCCGTGTATATTCATACACGAAGAGCTTAGAAGAGTTCCCTTTTCTCCACATCCTCACCAACCCTTGCTATTTCTTGCCTTTTTGGGTATTAGCTATTCTGATTAGTGTGAGGTGAAACCTCAGTGTGGTTTTGATTTGCATTTCCCTGATGATTAGTAACAGATACCGAGCACCTTTTCATGAGTCTGTTGGCAGAAGCCTTTTAATTACGAGTTTTCACCCAGAGATTCTCCAGATTGGGTCCCTAGGACCTCAGCAATCACCAGGACCCTTTCAGGGAACCTGTGAGGTTAAAGCCATTCCATTAGAATATGAAGATGATGTTTGCTTCTTAAATTCTTCTGTGATTTATATTGGTGGCATGAAAGTAATGGCCAAAATTGCCAGAGCCTCATCCCAAGTCAAGGCAGTGGTGCCACACTGTAACATTGTCACTGGATTCACTGATACATGCTCACAGTGAAAAAGAAAGTCAGCTTTACTTAGAATGTCCTTAATAAAGCAGTGAGAATTTTATTATATCTTGACCCTGATATATATCTTTTTAAAATTCTCTGTGACAAAGCAAAAAGTATGCACAAATCCCTTCTGTTTCATATACTGACATATGATGTGTGACTAAGTTCCGAGCCAAACTAGCAGCTTTTTCCAGGAAGAATCATGTTCACTTGTGTTTATTCACATAGATTTTTGGCAGATATTTGCTCAAAAGTGAGCAAAGTGAACTTGTCACTTTAAGGAAAATAACTGACGATATTTGTCGTCAGTAAGAACATTGGAGCTTCTAGGCAAAAATTAGGTTTTGGAAAACAGGTATATGACATCATGAGCTTGATGGCTCTCAATTCTTTAAGACTTTTCTGATGAGATCAGTAGTAATGTTAACAAATAAGGTTTTTTTAACACATGTAATGGAATGTGTTCAACATTTTGGAAGATCTGCATAATTCAGTGAACACGTATTTTTCAAATCCTTATTGCATGATGTTACACAATCATGTGTGGGCCATTCAAAGTTTAAGATAGATTTCGAATTTTGATGTAACAGAGTAACATGTTGCAACTAACTCTTAAGAAACTTTTATTTGTTGAGTTGTGGTATAGTTATCAAAAATGGGCACAATTTTCTGAAAAGACTGTGAAAGTACATTTCTCTTTTCCAACTTACCTATCTGTGACAGGTTAGATTTTCTTCATATACTTCAAGGAAAACAGTATAATAGATAGAATTCAGAAGAAAACATGAGAATTCAGCTTTTATAAAATAGATTTTTTAAATATAAAAAAATGTCATTTTCCTCACTAATTTTTTGGTTGTGGAAAATATAGTTTTTAACTCAAAAACATCATTGGTTATGTTAACATGTTAATACATCATTCAGATGTGTTTTTCTTTTAATTCCTAATATATGATCTACTAATATAAAACCCATATAAATAAAATCTCTTTGGGGTCCTCAATTATTTTTAAGCATATAAAGTGTTCCTGAGGCCAAAATGTTTGGAAATTGCTACTTTAGGCCAAACAGATGCTTCCTTACATTACTGAGAATTTTAGAACTTGTTTATAGCAAGAGGTCATAAATATTTTAGGTTTTTAATGTTCCACTAATTACACTATACAAGCAATTGCTTTTGCCCAGAACTGGATCAGCTTTTGGTACCATTTCCAATAACCAGGGCATTTCTGTCCTATCATTAATGAAGTCAGCTAAGGAGGGAGGGTAGACTAGAGCACTAATAGAATATCCTCCCTTCATGGTCATGTTCTCTACTATCTAATGACTATTTCTAGTGTTTATGTAGCAATTAGTCTACAAAATACATTCACATTCATTTAATTTCCATTAATAATCTTTTATTGTTATTCTCATTTTACATACGAGGCAACGAAGTTGTAATCATTTAAAAATTATATAGCCAGAAACTGGTAGAGTCATACAAAATAAACAAGGGAGACTGGAGTAGAAGAAAGAATGTTTTTCCTCAGGGTTAAAAACTTTTAATTTGAATCTACCCCCGTCAGTTACTGGTTATGCATGTTTCTGTCTCCTGCAGGCTGACCTCAGAGATACTGTGGGTTCGGTTCCAGGCCACTGCAATAAAGTGACTGTCACAACAGGAAAGCGAGTCAAAAGAATTTTTTGGTTTTCTAGTACATAGAAAAGTTATGTTTACACTACACTGCAATCTGTTAAGTATGCAATACCATTATGTCTAAAAAAAGTATGTACCCTAATTTAAAAAGGCTTTATTATTAAAATAGCTAATCTTCATCTGAGCTTTCAGCAAGCCCTAATCACTGATCACAGATCACCATAACAAATATGATAATACTAAAACAGTTTGAAATATTGTGAGAAATTACCAAAATGTGACACAGAGATAAAGTGAGCAAATGCTGTTGGAAAAAGGGGGCCAATAGGCTTGCTTGATGCAGGGTTGCCACAAACCTTCGGTTTTCAAAAAAAACTCAGTATCTGTGAGTGCAATAAAACAAAGTACAATAAAACAGGTTATACCTGTATTTAAGGAATTTGCCCTGTTTCATCCTCTGCAGAATGGTAACATAATTCTTACGTTTATGTTATCAAGGAGTTATGAGAATTAATCCAGATAGGAGATCTTCTACTGCATAGGAGATTCTCAACAAATGGTAGGTAGTGTCATACGTTATCAACTCAAACTTACTGTAAAAATCAGTACTTTGATAGGGCTCTTTTGTGAGTCCTGGAAAGGATCATTGTCATAGTTTTGCTGATCACTGCACCCTTCCTAAATATCAAAAATATGTGTAAGAGTCATTCTGGTTGCCCTTAAAGTCAACAAATTAGGTAGGGTAGGCAGTAGATGAGGGGGAAAGCCATGATTAACTTGTTTAGTGAAATCTTTCTGCAGGCCATTTCCCAAGGAGGCTCTAATCAACCAGCTTTCCAGGGAAAAGAATACCTTCACTTGGCAGGATGAAGAACTGAAAGGGCAAATGAATGAGTTGTCCAAAGTAACCTATCTGTTATTTTCCATCAGTAGCTTGACTGTATGTTAAAATAAAAAGATAATGTTGGGTGGGTTTGCCTGAATATTGTCCCATATACAAGAAGAGGGGAAAGTGCCCTAGAAATTATGGGGAAAAGAATATGTTGGACTTCGTATGTGCTGGAAAGGACCTTGATCACTGAAGGACCTTCCTCAGTCATTCAGAGTGCTTCTCTTGCTTGTCAGATGAAGAGCCAGCAAAGTATGCATCTGCATTTTATTATTACTTGAACAGAAAGTTGGCAAGTTTTTATGGATCTTTGATTCTTAATTGCACCAAGAAGTGCAATTACATAAAAAACAAGAATGAAATGAATGGGACTGGCTTAGCTCAATATTACTTTTTAGTTGTCAATAAATTATAGCTATTAGTCATTGTGTCCCAAGAGAATATATAGTGTTGCTTACAGATGACCCCAGGGAATGTGGTTCTTCAAGGTGAAGTTGTACTGACTCTCATGACAGATGAATTCTTTGAGCCCTGTGTTTCAAGTTAATTCTTAGTTCACACTCAAGGCATTTTGTTCCTGAGACCCCAAAGTGCCTCACTCACACATAATCTCACTGCAGAGTCATCTGCTCTGAGGGTGGAGGTCATTGTCTTCCTATCTGCCTTTAAATGTTTTATTCCTTCCACTCTCCTTATTTTCCATATTATATGTAAATTTTTAGATTATTATAATGTTTGTACATCATACATTATAGATGCTTCTCCTATGTTATCTCCATATTCATAGAAGTCATATGAAACAGGTAGACTCATAGCTTCCTACATGAGGGAACCGAGGCTCTGAGAAGACAGCTTGTCCAAGGTCATGCAGTTAGTAGGAGACTGTGAAGGAATTCAAGCAGGTAGTGAAATGAGTTGATTTATATTTTAGAAGATCTCCCTGGCTGACTTCCCCATGGCATTTTTTGTAATTTGCATAAAGGACCCATGAGAACTGGCCAAGATCCCAGTCTTTCCACTAGACAGGGTTTCTCCTGGGAACAGTGATGCTGGGTTAACCAGGCCACCATGAGAGTGATAGACATGTTCATTAAACTCAGTTCTGCAGTCTAATCAACACAGTAGCCACTATTACACTACAGGTAGGTATCCAAATTCAAGTTTATCTTAATTACAGTTAAATAACATTAAAATTCACTCTTGACCTCACATTGCTCTGGGCACATTTTGTGTGTTCCATCAGCCATGTGGGGCTAGTGTTGACCATATTGGGCAGTGTGGACATAGCACATTTTCATCACTAGAGAAAGTTCAGTTGGCTAGTGCTGTTTTAGAGTGAGTGAAGATAAAGTTTTCAGAGATTTACATGTGAAAAGGTTTTGTTTTCTTCATCAGTGGAATGAAAAGGCTAGACTAAATAGTGGTCCTTTCTAGTCCACACAAGACCTAAATCTAACATTGTTAATTATACATCTTATTGCCTAAACGATAGTGAATATTCTTGCTACTATTTCCAGAACTCCAAGTCTGCTATTGTTGAGGCCCACATAGTCAGACTGGCGTTTCCCTAAATAGAGCTCTATTCTCTATTTTAATGGCAGCAATTAGATACTCTGTCCTCTCTCTTGTCCCCAGTATCTCCCTGGTATTATCTTACTAGGTTTAGGTTCAGCTTGAATCTGTGACAGGTTGTTATTAACCTTATCTGAAGAAAATGGTGTCACCTCCAAGCCTTTAGTTGTTGATAGTGGCAGTGCCTTTTTTAAACATGGGTTGTGTCTGTTAAGTCACAGAGTGCCCTGGCCCATGCCCTGCAGTCAGCCAAGTGTGACCATGACCTTCCACAAGAGCAATATGAGGAAGAACAGGAGGCCAAGTCTGAGCTGCTCTGGGTCCTATTCAAAGGCAATGCTGAAATGGTGCAGTGGAGGATAAAGTATGAAGACAACACCTCCCAGGGAACAGAAGACTTGGAGGATGCCAAGTGAGTAGAGTAGGCACACCCAGCCCTGGAGTTAGTTACACAGAAGAGTATGAGAATAGTGCTGTGTCCTTGAGGCCTCATGCGTGCACTTAATGAATCCTTACCCTGTGCACAAGCCAGCTCAAGCCCAGAGCTGAAACAACCGCTTCTGTTAAAGCCCAGAGCTGAAACAGCCGCTTCTGTTAAGGAGCACATACTCTAGAGGGGCTAAGAAAGAAAAATTACAATACAAAGTGATAAAAACTCTAGAAAGGTCCTGGAGAAAGAAAGGAGGCTCTTTCTAGGGGTCAAGAGAAGTCTACAAAGAAGATTTGGCTTTGAGAAGATGTGAGTTTGAAAATTTAAAATCCTAGATTTCATCTGAACACCAAAATCACTGAGTCAATGTGTATACATGACTCCATACATTAAAGCTATCATGTATCTGGTTTACAACTTGTAACTGCAAATGTAGTCTGTGAAAATGGGTAGGGATAGCTGGAAATATGTTAGGATCTGTCACATGCCTTATGGGACAATGGTTTCTTTGAAAAGAAATCACCCTCAGACCACCTCTAAAGTTAGAATGTCAGATTTATAGCCAACACTACATAAAGGCTTTAGAAGTTCTTCCCAGGAACTATAGAAGTCTGGGCCCAGATGAATCAAGACTTGCTACCCTAGTGTAGAATTGATACATTTTTCTCAGAAGTCAAAGGACTGTGTACCTTTGAGAAAAAGTGTCAAACTAACATCAACTTATACTCTTTAAAGGTTGACTCAAAAGAATGTGTCCCTGGCTTGGTAGCTTGGCAAAAATCCAGGGCAGATCAATACATTTCTCTTTAGCTTCAACCAAAAATATTGCTTTTCAGTTCTTCACCTAAATCTTTGAGGGCCACCACTGCACACTGCTCAACACTGCTGTGTTCTATCTCTGAAGGAGTACCCTCTGATCTTTCTCTGTAGACACAGTGACTTGAAAAGGGTTTGGGAAGACAGATACTAAGAATACCTGTAGTCAATTTTTTAAAAACTGGACCACAGAACAGTGGGGCTTTGGACTGAAATGGTTCCTCACACCTAAAATATGGCATTTGCTTCTAAGGTAAAATTTTTTTTCTTCTAATGAGTGATGAATTTGGGTATAAGTGCTGAAGGTTTCTTTGGGAGGGGTAGAAAAGGGGGAAAGTATGTGCAGTACTTATGACCACAGGGATTTGTTGGAACTAACGAATTGTCCTGTAGTACCTGTCAACTAAAGAAAAATAATGGGCAGATGTAGTATCTGAAGATCTTTCTTGCTTTAAACTTAGTTGAACATCAAGTAAATAAATCATTGTCTGTATTATGCTTTCCCTCTAAGTCACCTCAGGGACATAGAGCTACCAAAAAGTCTGTGATCCTATTTTTTAAGTTGGAAAGTTGAGGATCTGCCTGCTTTGATTTCCAGGCTTGGATTTGCATTATGAGTTAGTTTATCAGTATCAAATGTTTATCAATATCAAATTCACCCAAGACCTAGTTCATCGCTTCTGAGTCCTAAGATCCCCAAGGATAGTAATTGGTTTCTTAATCTCCCACATCTTCTTGCATACCTAGGCAACTACAAACTTATGGCTGGCAAGTTGAGGAGCAAAATGGTATTGGTATAAATGTAGAACAAGATTATCAGTGAAACAAGGGTGACTAATTTGTTCAGTTTGCCCTGAACTTGCCCAGTTAGTTTCAGCACAGTTAGTTCTGTGTCCTGGTGGTCACAATACAGTTAGTCAACACACCCTTTACCCCACACAATTACCCTTTTGTTATTATTGGTATGTTGGGAACATTAAAACTCTACTTTCAGCAACTTTCACATATACAATACAGTATTGTAAACTATAGTACCATGCAGTACATCAGAATCCCCTCTTAACAGTTAAGAGAAATGAGTCACTTGTGATGTGACTACGGTTAGAAAGCCAGTGATCAAGCAGTAGTTGTTAGGGCTCATATACTTCTAGATGTGGAGCACAGATTGGTTTTTCAGGACTCCCCCAAAAAGGGGCTTTATGACCACATTGCTCTGTTGGGCTTGTTCTGTGGCACGTGTTAGTTCCTGCATATCTTTTTGTGTTTAGTAAAAGTAGATCAGAAAAAGCTTTGGCACATACACAGTACCTTTCATCTAAGACATGTAATGAGTGAGTAAAAAAGGGACTGCCTGTGTCCCTGCAGGAGATGTGAACAAGAGAACACAGGCCATCCACTGGGAAACCTAGGAGCCCTGTCCTGTGGGCATGGTAGAGAAAGCTCTTTGATAAACTCTCCATCAGAGGATGCTGGAGGGACCTCAGGTGGGGGCTGAGCACCCCTAGGAGCAGTGGCACCTGGTGAGTGAGCATAACGGGAGGATGGATTTGGGCATATAAATTTGGGAAGAGGAGGTGGGTGGAGAAAAAATTCAGAGGAAAGAAAATTTGGGCATGTTTAGGAGCCACATGATAAGAAAGGGAGAGAATAAGCTAAAGAATGTTCTTTGATAGTTGAGGAGCTCTGTAGGAACTAGATGTGCCTAAGGACTTGAATGGTTGCTGACTGTTGGTGGGGTGTTCAGTGTAATCTTCCTTTTTCTCCCATTTCTTATTAGGTCATCAATAAAGTCTTTATCGCTTATTTCAGGTTAAAGGTAAACAAATACCTCCAGGGATTCAGAGATCCTGAGTTCCAAGCTCAGGCTGGCAAACGTGAACACAGGTGGTCAGCAGACAGCTGGGTTCTGTAGGCACAAGGAGATTGTTTCAAGACATGAGCTACTTTTGCTTGGTGCTGGTAAGACAGCCTCAGGGGCCACCCTGTTTTGTACCCAAGCACTATTTTAATCAAGGACAAACTGGATGAGCTCCTTAAGGGCTGCGGCTTCACTTGCCTTCTCAGGAAGAAGCTGGCAATTAGGTGGCAGGAGGCTGCCGGAGCCATGGGAGTGGCCCATGCCAGAAGTGCTTCCCAGGAGAGGGCCAGGCAGCGACTGCAGCTCGAGCTCAGGGACACCCTGTCCGACCTCGGGAAGGCCCGCTGCTCAGCAGCTGTGCTGGGACAGAAGCAGCAGCATTTTGACAAGCGCCTCAGTAAGTGGAAGCAGAGGCACAAGGAGTTGCGGGCAATGGTGGACGCCTCTCAGAAGGAGGCCCGGGTCCTCAGCCCTGAGCTCCTCAAGCTCAGGCATGCCTGCGGGCAGGACACTGGGAGCTGGGGGCCCTCCAGAGGGAGAGCAAGAATGTCCAGGGTACTCCGAGCCGGAGCAGGAGCGAGGTTGGGAGAGCCCTGGCTGCAGGGACAAGGCTGTTCTCCGTGAGCACACAGCTCAGCACCGTCACCGTCCCACGCAGGTTTCAACTTCCCCATTTCTCATACTTCTTTTCAAAAAATTTTTTACTATAGATATTATTTTTCATAAATTAATTCTAAAGATAAGACTACTTTCCTACTATTTTAGCCCTAGTTCCACTCTCTGAAGGAAACCAACTATTAATAATTTCTTTATATCCATACCCTTACCAAGAGTTTCCATGCATGTATTTTTCACTCAAATTACACATTATTCTATACCTTTTTTTCATTTATCAATGTATCTTCTAATGTAAATTATTTTTGTAGCCCATACTACATGATAGGTACTGTTCTAGATATAATTATTTATTGCTTATTCTCAGAAAAGTCTTATGTGTTAGTTTATTTACCTGTAAAATGCAAATTATACTGAATCACACAAGGTTAAGAATTTATCCAAATTCACAGTTAATGGGTAGCAGATCTGAGATTTGAGCCCAGCCAACTTGACTCTTGCATATCCACACCTAACTACCGGGCTTTGCCACTTCCCATGTGCCTTGGGATCCTTTGCATGCCTACAGCATTGGGACCTACCACATACTTGCCATTAACTACATAGTGTATCATAATAATGACTAATACTTATTTAACTAGACCTTACTCATTTTAGATATGATTTTTCACAATTATGAATAATCCTATTATTATACATCTCTGGACATATATTTGTGAACATGTACAAATATTTCAGTCAGATAGATTCCTAGACATCAAATTTATGGACTAAAGGAATGAATTTTTAATTTTGAGATACCACAAATTAGCCTTTCAAAGAGGTTGCCAACTCATATGAGCACCAACTGTGATGTGCATTAAAACCTGAGATGCCCTGGGAGCAAGCTCATTACTACAGGAGACATAGATGAACCTTGCTTTCTCTGTTGACCTACACTGTCCATGGTCAGGTCACTGACTGGACGTGTGAGAGGTGCTGGAACAGTGGTTAGAAAACTTTAGCTGCACAGGAACCACCTGGGGGGCTTGTGAAACACAGTTGGCTGAGCCACTCCCCCAGAGTATCTGATTCACTAAGTCTAGGGAGAGGTCTGAGAATTTGCATTTCTAACAAGTTCCCAGGAGAGGCCCATGCTGCTGGTATGGGGGCCGCAATCACTCAGCAGTGGGGAAGAGGTGTTTTCCAAAGGTTCCCCAATGAGTCCAAGGTATGGTCAGAGTAGAAAACCACTGCCCTGAGTTTTGCCTTGGGAACCCCTCTTCTGGAGAGGGCTTAGTAGAAAGGATTTATTATTCACATGAGAATTGGCATCTGAAGGGCTTTACACATTGGAAACCTTTTAAAATTTCTTGTCACGTCACATCACAGCCCAGGATCTCAGAACCAGAGAAGCAGCTAAGGTCTCATGCTCCTTCCCCCGCCTCTGGGCTGTGGTTAATTCCCACAGCTACTTGGACCTACTCCACACCTCTCAGGGGCCAGAGGCTTCTCCCATGAAGAGGCAGCACTGACATTAACTGTGTCAGGGGCTGCAGGTTTTGTCAGATCCAGATGCCATACTCTGCCAAGACATGAGAGGCTAGCCACTCACCCTCAAGGGCTTGAGCTCCTTTGAAGTCATGTGTTGGCTTCTGGCAGATGCACTTTATGCTTTAAGTTCCCATCCTGGTGTCAAGAGGCAGCTGACTACAATGGCAGCCACCGGTGGTGGTAGTGCACACTCGCTCTGGAGTGTAAGGATTCTGGGTCTGTTTCCTAGAGCACCGCGGGGTGGAATCTGCTATGGCTTCCACAGACAGGGCCACCCTGTAAAGTGGTACAGGATATTTCGTGCCCAGTGCTCAAGAAGCACCATCCTCACCTACCTTAGATGGTGATGGCAAAAGAATACACTGAAGGGGCCTCTTTCTAATTCAAACAAAGTTTCCATATGAGCCAGCAGTGGCCTTGCCATCAAGTTCCCTAGGCTGGCATGACCACGGTCCCAGCAGGCCTCTGGGAACAGGCTGTTGTGCCTGGTGTCATGGGTTTGAGAGTGGTTTCTTTCACTAGCTTTGCTTTTCTTCCCTCCCCAGAAGAGATTTCTAATCTGACAGATCAGGTGAGAAAGGGAAACAAGAAACCCATCGCTCAGTGAAATGGAAAAGGCTGGGAAGCAGATCAAACAAGAGGAGACTGAAGTCTAGCTGGCACTGGAAGGAACAGAGGTATGACATCCAGGCAACAAAGATAATATTTTATCATTGTGACAAAGTAAAAGAACTACATTATAGTAACAGTGGCAAAAATGACATGATACACTTATTCAAGTATTAACTACACGCGAGGCACTATGCCAAATGCTCCCCCCGTGAAGCATTATTTCATGTAATCACTTTAGCTAACTATTGTCCCCATTTTACAAAGGAGGAAATTGAGTCTCAGAAGACAGAATAAGCAATAGTGGATGTGAATCTCCTTCTTGTAATGAAAACAGGAACCATTGTCTGTCTTGTGCACCAGTATATCCCCAGGCCCAGCCCCTCACTAAGCAATGTGGCTAATGGACCAGCTGTAGGGGCATTGTCAGGGAGCTTGGTAGAAATTCTGACGCTCGGCCCTCTTCCCAGCTCTCTTAAACTGGAATCTGCACTTTAACAAGATCCTTTGGTGGTGCATATTCACATTAACATTTGAGAAGCACTGGCCTACAACATTTTCTCGTGTGTACCAGAGATTCAATAAATATTTGTTGAATGAATAAATATCCTCATCCCTCCTCCTTTCTTTAAAAAGAGTCAAAACACTTCCTTTTTTTTTCTAAAACCTTAGGTAGTTTTAAAAATGAGATTCAAAGCATTGTTCTCAAATAAAATCTCTGACTTTCTCTCTCCTTGCGTGCTAGTGTTTGAAAGGATACTGAAAAGACCTTTTGCCAAAGAGAGTGAACTAAAATGGAAATCATCCTGTCACAGTCATTATGTAGTTAACAAGACTCTTCAAAGCAAAGCCTTGTCTCTCATAGCTGAGTTTCATCTTCTTGACTCACCCTTCGAATAAGCTCCAGTACGTTAAAATGCAGCCCCCACGCACTCAGCCTCCAATAGAGAAAATGATTTTTAAAAGGCATAGCAGTCAATTTTAGGAAGGGGCCCTTTAGAAGGTATGATAATGGAAAATTAGACCCCAAAGGACTGTTTTGTGCCAAGCCATGTCTGTTAAATTGATCTCACTGCTACATTTCTGTAAGAAACCTGCCAGACAGAGGACATGCCCATATTACCCCACATACAGAGTTGTCAAGGGGGCAGCTCTTGACACCGCTCTTGTCTTCTTAGGCACAATTGTTTTCGGAGATCTTCTGCATTTTACATAGAATCCTTTCAGTCGGCAAGGATTGGAAGGCTCCTAGCAAGGCTGGTCCTTGTGCGGTTGATGAACTTTGTGTACTTGTTCCCTTTGGTTCCCCAGCCATCCTGGCTGGGGACTTTCTAAAGCCGCCACCTTAACCCCAAGAAGTACCTTTTATGGTAGGAATTCCAAGCACCATGTCAAGCCAATGAGAGAGATGATTGTGCAGGGGCACTGTGAGTTCTGTATAACATAGAGCCATGTTTGTATATTAAATTGACTGGCATACACCTCAAAGGTGGGACTGTTAAGGCCATAGCGCTCATACCATTTAGTACCACTAGATGGCATTATATTCTATTTGCATTTTCTCAAGTTGTGTCTTCAGCTCCATTCATAAATACTTTATTAGCTTGGACATGTATTTGTAAAACTGGGTTATTTATTTTCCTGGGTGAGCCTTTATGAGAAACTTTATTAGATTATTTCTGAATCCCCAAAACTCAAATTATCCCAGGTCACTTTCTCCAAAGATTGACTTTCTCAGAATGTTCTGGAGGGTGAGAGGTGCCAGCTTCCCCCTGAAGGAAAGACACTATTCCCTTAGAGGAAATTGGTATCCAAGCATTTGCTTTGGATTTATTTTCTTTTATATTGAAAGTAGTGTTGAGAGAATAGCAGTGAGGCCTTAAGCCATATAAAAATTCCTAACCCCTTGTTTTTATTTTGAAATTGCTACTCAGTTTTACTTTTCACTTTTGGTGGTGTGTGCTAAGCACTCCTCTGAAGAGGCTATAAAAATTACTCCTGCCCTCAGGATTATCTGCCAGTTGTTAAGTGGCCAATAGACAGTTGCCAACCCTGCATCCTTTATAAACATCCTCCTCAGTATCCTCCAAGGGTAGTTTGTTTATTTCTTCTTCTATATAAAGTTTATCTTTGGAACAGCCTTTAAAGATTTAATCAAACCTATGCTTTTAAACCTGGCTCACCTTTATAACATCCCTGGCAGTAATTGCCTTGTCCATATTTAAAGATCCAAGGGGCAGGAGATTTCCCTGTCAAAGCAATCCATTTGAAGTAGGGGTGATGATTATGATGATAACAGCTCACACTGAGTGTTAGGTGTCAAGCACATTCCTAAATTCCTTTACTGTTCTTCATATGCCAATATTTGGGCACTCTCCTGTTTCTTGCTTTCCGAATGCTTTCAACTTTTTTTATTCTCTGTGTGATGTCCAGAATTAAATAAAAGATTCCAGGTAGAAGTTCTGATTTTGATACTTTCATTGATTATTCCTGAAGATGGAATACATTAGGAAAACTCATGAATAATAAATTTTGAATTTTAAATATAGTCACAGACAAGATTGAAACTTTCTATTTTGAAAAATGCTTTAGGATCCTATTTCTTGAACTATAGCTGGAAGCCCTAAGAAGGTCAGAGCTATAAGTGATGAACAAAAGTATAATTGCTTGTCTCTATCCTGTTCCAGTCTTCAGGGACTTGATTTGAACCTGGATTCTCCCAGCAACTCTAAAGATTGCTACATTAGTGACATACATTTTGAGAGGAAAAAAAACACCTTTTGTCCAAAAACTGGACTTAATTTAATGATTTGTATTTATGTATTTCAGGGAGCTCTGGAATGTACTGAAAGCAAGATTCATTTACAGCTTGAACTCTTGGAAGCTAAAGCCTCCACAAAAGTATGCAAAATAGAAAATTTTAGGTATTTAAGATTATTTTAATAAGCAATATTTGCTGATCATTGACTAAATGGAACACACTGTGTTTGGCTGCTTTTTTATGATCCTTATTGGAACATTACCAAAGAAACTTAGCTGGTCTAACAGGACATAAGAATCTTTCTAGTAAGCTCACCACTATTATATAAAGGAATACCTCTACACAGTTACTGTGAGTCTATGATTTTCTTATATTTGAGCAGCTTTCACTCTCATACAAGACTCAAGATAACACACCAAAAAAGTGTAATTATATGTACAACTTACATGTGTATGGTCTTTGTCGCCCTAGAACAAACCTTTCTACTGGGCATTCAAGAAAGTGTTAATGATGAACAATACAGGAAAGGAACTAAACAATTTGATGCTGTTTATTAAGATTGATGCCTGATCAGAGTAAAATTCTCACATCCCCTCTGTCTGTACCTGTAGCCATTTGTTTGGAGAGAGGGGAAGCCAAGAGCTAAGCTGCTTATTGAATCCCTCCTGAAACAGCTGAGCCTTACGAGTCAGGAAACAGAATTGGACGGGACTCACAGGCTGCAGGATCTTTTCTTAGCTTCATCATAACAAGCTGATGACTTTAGATGTTCTACTTCTTAGTTTCTGAGTGAAGTGAGGGGATAAAAGCAGCCCCATACATGCTACAGAAGGTGGTGAGAAAGATCAGGAAACTGATGTTCGTAAAGTGCTTTATACTCATACTCTATAGATCAAAGGCACAATTATAAATACATGGCATTAACTGTGATTATATTATCTATCTGATCTGTTCCAATAAGTCAATGGGATATGCCACAAAAAAAACCATTTGAGTCTGAGGTTCAACTGGCAACTTGCCTCCAACACATTTGTTAAAATAAGATTTAAAAACCCTACTAATACATGGGTTGACCTGGTCTCCTTCCCATAGCCCATATTCAGACAAAATTCCCATAGGGGTCATTTTATTAATAAGGATCACAAGCCACATTCGGCCCTCTGTGTGCTTTGAGTTAGCTTTGTTCTCACTCACCAGCACTTTCACATCAAGGACTGACTGTGGTGATGAATTCTGTTCTACTTAAGAGGCTCAAAGTCAGGTCTAAAATAATTTTTTCCATGAAAGACAGAAAAGTGGGCCCTGAAATTTGCCCTGCTTGCTTACATTAGGAACAAAAATGAGTGTCTCCTTGTGCAGTTAAAAAAAAAAAATCTCATTTCAGGTAACGTCAAACTTGTGCCTATTAATAAACCTAGCTGAGGAAAAATGAATCCTCAGAGAGTCTGCACCTCTTCAGGTACACCTGAATGTCTTAGAGCAATTCTCCAATTATAATAATCTTAGTGCAAAGGAAGTCAGAGATCCAAACAGCTAGGATTGGAGGAAGGATGAACCCAAACTAGGCAGGAGCTGTGAAGGGGCTGAAAAAGAAGAGGTGGGCTGGAGGGAGGCGGTGAGCTATTCATAATAACTGTAATAGGTAATCCATAAAGGAATGATGAGCGTATCTTACAAAATATCACAAATAGTGACCCACACTCTTTGTGTGTGAGTCTAGATTGTATTAGAAAGCCTGGCTTTAATCTGATGATTTAATCTGACCTCAGGGCTAGGGGAGAAAGGATCTTACAGAAATGAGTAGAATGCCAGTGGGAAATACAGCTGGCCCTTCAACAACAGGACTTTGAACTGCACAGGTCCACTTACATGTGGATTTTTTTCAATAAATACACTGAAAAATATTTTTGAGATTTGCAACAGTCTGAAAAAATGTTTTTGTCTAGCTTACTTCATTGCAAGAAAACATTATTATGGGTAAAATTGAAATATTTCCAGAATCTTTTGCCTGACCTTAGTCCATCTCCATATCAATAGTTGTTTACAAGGGGTGGGAAGAAGCTCTTCTCTCCTTAATCCAGCCAGGAGGGGGAGAGAAATGGTTGAGCAAGAGTAGATGACTTCCTTTGATTTTGGCTTCACAGGTTTCCCTTGTTTATTTGCCCTGGGCTGGGAACACATTTTCCCCCCAGAGTTACACCTTGCAGTAGTCGGCAGTACCTCTGAACCCTAAATCTGTCTCCATGGGTGCAATGCTTGGGCAGGCTGCCCCTAGAGATGGTGAGGAGATACCCAGAAAGTCCCCTGTGGATGGTGGGGACCAACCTGAGGATGATGCAGCTTCACATGGAAACTCATCTGTGAGGCTTCCACTCAGGCAGCCTGTAGTGGGAAATTGGTCTAGAGTAAAGGGCCTCCTAGATGAGGGGGCCCCTCCCCAGAATGGGGGAGGGAAGACACACCAGAAGCAGTGGAATCAGCCCTCCATGAGACAGGAAACTGTTTAGAGGCCCTAAGTGGGGTGGAGGTGGTAGGACTTGTGGGTTGCTTTTGCTTGAGGTAGTGGAAGGGGTTACCAAGGTGAGAGATGCAATTTGGCATTGCTTAGAGAGAGACAGTTATTGAGAAGACAGGTTGAGCTCCTGGAAGATATGATAGCAGCAGCAAGAGAGGAGACGTCAGGAGAATCTGTGTTGCAGGAGGCTGTGGGGGAGGGGGAGGAAAGAGCAGTGACTTCAGCCCTGGAGATGGTGGAGGAGATGTTGGGAGAGGATGAGCGGCTGGGGCTGAGGGCTGATCTGTTGCCGAGGCCACCACCCAAGGCACTCTCCTGTATTAAAGGCCTGCCAGGTTATAATTAAGAAAGTAAAAACACAACAACTCCTCAGGGGGAGGAGCCGCCCCCTCCCCAGGGTGTGGAGCACTCCATGCTCTGCCCCTGTACCCAGGATGAACTAGTGGACATGAATGTCCAGTACCGGCAGAAGCCATCGGAACCTCTGCTTACATGGCTTTTGCATCTCTGGGATAAGGGATAGAAAACATTGTTATGTCAAGTACTGCAATGGGTAGACTGGCTTCCCTGATGACTCACCCTTACCTCCGGCAGTGATTGCAAAGTGCCCATCACACCTCAGTGAATCAGGCACTTCTGGATTGGCTGACAGCAGCCATCAGGGCAATTTGGCCTAATCAAGGTGATTTTCCATACTTACCCACTAGATGGAAAACTTATGCAGAGCTCCAGCAGGTGTTACAGGAGTTGGGCATGAAAAATGTCATCTATAATATGGACCCCCAAGGCCCCTATGAGTTGTTGTTCACTGTATGAATGAGAAACCTGGTGCTGTATACAGCTCCCACATCTCTCTTTGGGTCCCTAGTGACTATTCTTGCTCTCCACTTAGGGTAACCCATAAGTGAGGTCATTCATACTTTAGCCAATCTGAGGGAGGTTGGAACAATAAAATCACAGAAGGAAGTACAGGCTACAACTGAAAGGAGAGGTGCAAAGGGCCCTGTGAAGGTCATGAGGACACAGATGTGTATTGATTTGATAAAGGCAGGGGTAGTGAAAGAAAAACTTGATGGGCCACCAAATAGGATCTTTTTAGAACTGTGGCACCAATTAAAGCCAGAGCAGTGGTTCTAGCCACTGAGGTCCAGGACATGGAAGCCAGAGGCAAAACCCCATGTCTGGCCTGTGTCCCTGCAAGACTTCCTGGGTGAAAGTACTCAGGATCCGCCTGTGTCCCCGACCCCACAGGAGGATGATTGGACATTATGGTTTGAATGAGGGGGGTGGGATCACAGACCCTATCTTCAGGGACATAGTAGGGACTGGAGGCCACATGTAGAATTACCAATTTATTGGTCCCCATGAAAATATAATATGTCTTGTCACTGGTGGATATAGGAGCTAAACATTCTCTGATTTATGGGAACCCTGAGTATTTTTGTGGGACCCCTGCTGTGATAGATGGCTACAGGGGTAAGGAAATTAGAGTGAAGGAACCCCAAATTCCAATGGGAATAGGGCATTTACCCCCCAAAGGAGTATATTGTGTACATTTCTCCCATCCCTGAATATGTTTTGGGGGTGGATAGTCTGAAGGGCCTGTGGTTACAGACCACTTCAGGTTAGTTTCGACTGAGGATAAATGTGGTAAATGCAGTTCTGAAGGGACATGTTAAGCACCCACCTGTAGCTCTGCCTATACTTTGGTAGATGACAAATACTAAGCAATATATAATGCCTTGGATGCACAAGGAAATTGGAGAATCTACAGGAGTTGGAGAAGGTGGGTATCATAAAGCCCACTCATAGTCATTTTAATTCCTTGGTGTAGCCAGTGAAAGAGGTGGATAGTCCCTGGTGTATTACCGTGGATTACAGGGAACTGAATCAAGTCACACCCCCTTCGCATGCTGCTGTCCCTTCTATAGTAGTTCTTATGAACACACTAAGGCATGTACTAGGGACATATTAGGTTGTGGACCTTGCTACTGCTTTCTTCTCTGTTGACATAGCACAGGGAAGTCAGGAACAGTTTGCCTTCACATGGGAAAGCCAGCAATGGACATTCACTGTCTTTCCACAGGGATACCTCCACAGTCCCATCATTTATCATGGATTTGTAGCCCAGAACTTGGACATATGGAAGAAACTGCAAACGGTGTGACTGTTTTACTACACTGATGATATCATGCTCACATCTGATTTTCTTGAAGATTTAGAAGGGGCAGTTTCTAGACTGCTGCAACATCTTTAGGAGAAAGAATGGGCTGTGAACAGCACCAGGGTTCAGGGACCTGGTTTGTCAGTAAAGTTTTTGGGGTTTGTCTGGTCAGGTAAAACTAAAGTTATCCCAGAAGGAGTCATAGACAAGGTCCAGGCTTTCCCTGCCACTATCACTGTGGCAGTGTTGCAAGAATTTTGTGGTCTTTTGGTCTACTGAAGAGTGTTTATCCCACACTTGGCACAAATTCTGAAGCCACTTTGTGGGTTAGTATGAAAGGGCATCAGGTGGGACTGGGATGAAACATGCAGCTGCTTTGATTGCTGCTAAGCAACCAGTCAAGGCCATACAGACCTTGAGTGTAATGGACTCATCAAGTCCCAGTGAGTTAGATGTTCATATAATGGAAGATGGCTATGGATGG